TAGAGAAATGATGTATGATATATCCTGGCTTGGCTTTCTGGTGGTTTGAACAATCTTTTAAGTGTTATCATTGAAAATTCATTCTTAAATCATAGGTCTGCAATCGATTAAATTCATGTATACCATTAGTATCATTCTACTGGTATGAGCATACTTGAACTAGCTATGATTTCATAGATTAGTTGTTTGATGTATGACATATTCCAAGCTGACTTTCTGGTGATTTTAACCATCTAAGAGGCTTAATCATTGAAAACCATTACAAATAAAGGCCTAAACGGACAGTATTAAGGTAGACTATTAGAACACCCTTATTAATTCCAGAGTTAGAGTATATTGGTACCTACTACTGTCTCATAGCTCGGAGGTTTGATATATGACATATTCTGACTAGTTTTTCTGCAGATTTGAACCACAGGTCTAATCATTGAATATACTTAATATACTAGGTCTAAAATTGAAGTATTCAATAGAACCCTCTATGATAAATTCAAAAAAGATTCAGAATGACATTAACCTCAACACTGGATCTGAATCAGAATTACAATTCTGCATAGAGCTGAACTAGGAAGACAAGGCTAATTTCATTCTAAGCAGCCTGACAATTGCATGACGTGACAGCAAAAGTACCAATGATTCATACAAATCTTCATTTTATGGAGTTTTCTTCCCTGAACAATGTTAAGTCATATTAACCCCCCCCCCCACTGTCCCCATTAACCTTTCTGTGTTACTCTTGGAGTTAAGACAGAAATTCTTGACAAATGGCGTATACTCACTTTGACAACATTTTGAATTAGTGGGATGTTTCAGTTAATGAGAGTTTTTGCAGAGTAGCAATTTTTGAAATTTAAATCCAATAGGACCATATATGGGAAATTCAAAAAAGATTCAGAATGACATTTACCACAACATTGGATCTGGAAATCAAATAAAGCAACTGATTGATGTGATCTCGAATGACTCTTGTAAATCAGAATTACAATCCTTCATAGAGCTGAACAAGGAAGACAAGGATTACTTTTCATTCTGGTAGTAATACATGGACCAAATCTTGATACGCTTCACCATAGCCCAAAGAAAGGGAAATTGGGAGCTTCATCTCAATGTATTTCAATGCATGATCCCCTTTTTCATGAGATATGACCACCAAAAGTATGCAAGATGGGGCACAGTACACTTCACTGCTGAAGTTTTGCTTCCTTGAAGACTGTAGCCAAATCCTCAGATGTAGATGCAATTGATGCTAATTTGTAAGAAGGATCATATATTGGAAATATTACGGTTGGCATTTCAATACCATTTGTTAAACAGTTAAGGAGTAGAGTACATTTGAGTTGGCTTGAATGTTTCATTCGTCAATGAGAGGGCTATTGGAAAAGACATCAGCTCATGTTTCATGATTTCATTGATGCCCACAGGTCTGTGGTTAGCTTCATATGCAGTGATAAGATTCTGTAAAACATTCCTGTCTGCCTTAACAACTTTCTGCTCGTTTTTTTATTGGGATTAGGCATATAGTTAAAAAAATGTTGGTGCTTGCTCAGTAGATCAAGAAATGTTGTGTCTTTCATTTGACCCTGTTGGTATCAACCTCTAAGACACAAAGACATCCAGTTGTTGTTGGCCAAACTGTCGAGCCTGTTGATTGTTTCTGTGAGTACATCTTTTGTACATATACTTTGGAGATTAAGTAATGGATCTTCTGAAAACATGCCAAACTTCAGCAGCATGTCACATATTTTATCTTCTTCCAGAGACTGAATACTCTATCTTTTATGAGTACTAGTATCTACAACTATTTTTGATGTTATGAGTATTGGCTATCAATTTTTTCAATTTTTCTTCAACATGTATTGTAATAACTTCAGTATGAATGAAATGTCCCTTGGTGTTCTGGTCCTGGATTGTGATATTGGTTCTCGATTGGAGGGGGGAGGGGGATGTTAGACATTGTTTCTTTTCACGTAAGATTATGGTTTTGGGATATATAGGGTCTACTTTTCTTATGACAGATTTGCACTTGCGGTTTGCTTTTCTTGTTGGGTTTCTTTAATGTTTTTAGTCACCCTTCCCTTTGGCATTTGTGCTTATATATCCATAGATTCTTGTTTTGATTTGCAAATTACCACCCCCCCCTATAAAATCTCAAAACGCAAGTCCAAACATCATTCTTGTTTGGACTCCACATGTGTGACCTAAGATTATACCCCAGTGCCCATCTGTTCAATGCAGATATTGGCTTTGTGTTATGCCTACACTTCTGCCACCCTTCTTACCAATAGCATACTGGCATAGGGGTCAATCAACTTGGTTGATTGAATTTGTAGAGCCTTTTACCACATAGTTCAATGCAAGAATCCTCGCTCAACTGCAGCAGGTACTATATTCTAATAGTTAGTGCATTTCCTCTAAGTTTACTGTGCCACACCTTCCATAATTTTGGTGGTCATGAAATAAGGGATCATGCATTGAAATGCATTGAGATGAAGCTCCTAATTTCCCTTTCTTTGGGCTTGGATGAAGTATAGCAAGATTTGGACCAGGTCCATGTATTAACACCAGAATGAAGTTAGCCTTGTCTTCCCTGTTCAGCTCTTTGAAGGATTTTAATCCTTATTCAGATCTAATGCTGAGGTTAATGTCATTTTGAATCTTTTTTTGAATTTTCATAGAGGGTTCTATTGAATACTCCAATTTTAGACCTAGTATATGAAGTATAATCAATGATTAGACCTGTCATTGGTTAAAATTTGCAGAAAAACTAGTCAGGATATATCATATATTAAACCTCCGAGCTATGAAACAGTAGTAGGTACCAATAAACTCTAAGCCTGGAAATAATAAGGGTATTCTAATAGTGTACCTTAATAATGTCTGTTTAGACCTTTATTTGTAATGATTTTCAATGATTAAGCCTCTTAGATGGTTTAAATAAACAGAGAGTCAGCTTGGAATATGTCATACATCAAACTAATCTATGAAATCATAGCTTGTTCAAGTTGATTATTTTGGTCAATCTTGCATATTTTGCTTTAATATTTCAGAATTATTTACTTCATTTAATGTGAATTTTGTTGTGAACATTTAATAGTAATCTGCTTATAAAGTAAAAAACTACAGCATTTTACAACACATGCCCCATGTGGCCACCACTCCAGCCAACGAAACTGTTGATGACTCTCCTACACATACCAACATCGATTGCAAAGCTTCTGATGAAGCTATCCACTTAAAATTGAAGAACATCTGAGAATTTGTCTGACACTAGTTTTACTTCTCTAGATAGATTTTAGTCACGCCATGGACAATTGAACAACTTCCTTCGCCAGATTTGATTGTGCATGTAGAGGAGAAGTGGCCACATTGGACATATGTTGTAAAGTGCTGTAGTTTTTGACTCCACAGGCAGATTATCATGAAACTTTCACAACAAAATTCATATTGAATGAACTGAATAATTCTGAAGTTTTGAGGCAGAATATGCAGGATTGACAAAGTTAATTAACTTTTCTTCGGTCCTGTTTTTAAGACACCCTGTACCAGTAGAATGATACTAGGCTAATGGTATACTTGAATTTAATGGATTGCAGACCTATGATTAAAGAATTAATTTTCAATGATAACACCTAAGATTGTTCAAACCACCAGAAAGCCAAGCCAGGATATATCATACATTATTTGTCTAAGCTAGAAAACTAATATTGGTACAAATATGTTCATAAATAAGAAATTATAGGGGTCTTCCAAGGGTATACCTATAACTTATCAATTTTAGACATCATATTTCATGAATTTTTAATATTTGAACATGCTAGAAAGCTTAAATCTTCCTAAAACTTAGCTAAAATAAGTTTTATATTTTAGATTTATTCTAAAATGCCAAATATATGAACACAGAGGGATAAATGTTAAAGCAATAGGGGTCAGTTATAGTCACACATAAAATCAGTCCCAGTTAAAATGTCATTTTTTCTTAAATTCACTAATTTCTATCAAGGCAATTATCAAAGGAATTACTTTGATTCTTGCAGGATTAGTAGACCAGGCATTAAGCCTTTTACATGGATTTTTTTAGCATCCATCATTGTCTAATAAAAAAGTTATGACACGAAAAGTAAAAAATGGGTCATAAATTTGCCCCCTGGGGTATATACTTTTTGCTTTTATTCAAATTTCTTAAGTGTTATCCATATCATTCATACTTTAAATGTTTATTTTATACAATGTCCATGTATTTCACTTACAAAAAACATAAAATCAAAGTTACTTTAGGTTGACGAACTTTTTCCCCCTGATAGGGGTGACTTTTGGGGGTAGGGGGAATAACATGGTATTTTAAGGGTTAAATAATCATATTTCAGCTTGCCAACATGGTTTTCTGGATTCAGCATAAAAAGTTACATAAGAAACACTTGTCAGAACACTTTTAACACTAAACGCCTACCACATTTCCTCTAGATGAAAATGCACCTTGTCTATACAGAAAAACTCAGAATTTTCCATAACAATTTCTATGGAGTATTTTGATAGAAATGCCTATGACATTACATTATCCTATATAATCAGCAGCCAACTCTTGATAGTCCAGCATGGACTTTTCAATTATTCTTTTTGCATATTCTGATTTTATACAAGGTAGAGAGAGACCTGGTGTCAAAAGACACCCCAAGCTTACATATAAAACGTTTTTTCTACAAATGCCATGGTTTGGCGCAAAGGAATATATGGACACCTGATACTCATTGGACAAACATACATAAGTAGCAATTATTATAAAATGTCTATAGAATTATATATACAAGTTAGACAGACTTGGTGTCTATAGACACCTCAAGTTTACATGTTAAACATGGTAAAACGTTTTTCTACATGTCCCATGATGGGGTACTTAAATTAGACTGGGTGGTGTCTATAGACACTCCTGAAACGAATACACGATACTACACTGAGACTCATTGCGCATACATAAGTCGCAATTATTATAAAGTGTCGATAGACACTGCGAAACTAACACATGAAACAAGAATTGCTGCTTTCAAAAGTGTCTATGGACACTTACTGGATTAAAATATTATTAAATGTGCATCAGTAAAATAACTAGTTTGCTTAAAAACGGTGACTAAGATGGTAATAAACAATTCCATTTGAGTTTCACAATGCTTCGAACTTATATTCTGTATAATCGTTATATTATGTACCAGTCATCTTTGACAGATAAACATGGACAGTTTTATTTACATATCACCATTCTTTAATGCACATCACTTTAAAAGCCCAAGCCATGGGTGAATGAATAATATAACCGATAGCAATAATAGACAAGTACTGAATTATTTATATTCAACTCACAAATCCAACTATTTAAAAATTGGATAATCGCTTAGTCTTTTAATCGCTATACAAATTTTTAAGAGCAGCAATATGACTGCCTAAATTATATATTTCTATGATTGTTTGCAGGTGTGTTTTATTGGTATGTATTTGCCTTTCAATTTCTGGTATCAGCACAGCGCGCATGGATTGCTTGTCGGGTTTCATATCATTCTGACATACAGCGTATCAATTCATTATGTTTGTTAAACATCTGCCTTTTATATATCATTTATATTTTGTCAAGCATGAAGAGAAACTTTAGGACCGGACCTATTCGTGAAACCAAAGGACTGAGGGCTAACATTTCAAAACTTTGCTACATGGGAAGAAAGGCAAGATATAACTTGTTCTTGGCTTTGTTTAATTATAATTATGGCACTATGTTTTGGTGCGGTGAGATATCCATCTTGCACAACGAAATAATTGTTTGGGCTTATTTCCTCTCCAACTTTGGCAAAGTCGCAACGATTGATGATTCGCATTTTGTTCGAAATTGCAAGGAGGTCGTTGAATTTATCAATTTGTGCAAGGGGCTCCTTGCAGTAATAAATCGTGTCTCTTTCCTTTACCCCAAGATACACATCTTCCTTCCACCTAGCACAGACAACCTGAAAGTATTTTACATCCCGTTAAAAGTGGAACAGACAAAACATCCTTTACATTACTCATTTGTTTCGGATGATAATTTTCTAACGCCTAAGATAAAATACTTTCAAATATTTTTGTTGAGCTGTTGCAACTTAGCCGTTAATCTCTTCGAATTTTTATTATAATGAGATATTATTAACTACATATAGAAAACGTCACTTTGTCGTCTTATGCTATACATTGTTCATATTTAGCTCTATCATATTTAATGGAATAATACAGATAATGAGCTGAACAAGTACGATACCTCTCTGTCTCTTTGTTGCTCTTTGTATTTTGTTGCTTTCCCATTTTTGCTGTTTGTACCCTAAAAGTAATTTAAAATGTTTGATCCAAAACTAGTTCATACTAAATGCTTTGTATGACGATGCTGTGTTTATCATCATTCTGTATTGGTAAAACAAGCTGAAGTCAATTGAACACGACTAAAATACAGCTGGATAATTGGATATATAAAACAATTGAATCAAACAAAACTGTATGTTACATTTTGAAAAGGAGAATTTAAAGAATTACTGAGAATGTTGCTTTTCTTAAAAAACAGCCCAAGAAATACAAGGTTATATGTGTTGAACGTGTTGAAGATGTAAAATGTTGCCGGACACTACCTATATACTATCCAGATCTTTTGGTAACTCCCTGTACTATAAATCAAAAAGAATCCCCCTCCCCTAAAACATGACGTACCTTCTGATTGCCATCTGGTCCACATCTCCTCTTTGTGTCAGATCCACCTTTAACAGGAAAGTTATACTATAGTAATCGATAAAAGGAACATTCTATGCAAATACCATGTAATCAACGCATTAAAATAGAAATATTCTTTTCTAATTTTCCTTTATAAGTAAATCTTTACTATGTGGAGTTAAAAAATGAAATACTTACCTGCCCCATATGTATCGTTAGTTGGGCCAATTTTCCTCTTGGACGCTGTAAAAGATTTGTAATATTATGATTACCTTAGCTGTTACACATCAATGTCATGAACGTATATAACTGTATAGATAAAACACTATGTGTATTCTAACCTACCCCCTTGTTTGAATACCTATGTCCCTTATCTATGTTGCCCTATGAGTCTCTATTCAGTTATAAAACACCTTTAATAATAAAATTAAAATACCTTTTAAGGTGATGTAATACTCTTGTGGTATATTCTTTATTAGACTCCAGAATGAAAATTGAGTACAATGGACATTTATAATGCATATTTTAATGGCTTTTTTATTAATGAGGCATTTTGAAAGTGCTTGTTTAGTTTCCCTGAAATAAAGTGTGCACTTCGGGGATTTTTAGAAAATAGACATGACAAGGAATGATATGACCTAGAAATATTCAAAAATTGAAACAATTTTTTGTTGGCCTGCTCGCTAAATCTGATTCTCTCTTTAATGTTAGAAGAAGAAGTCAATGTTTAGCTCACAATCTATTTTTATTTTCCAGATCAAAGCATAAATTATTAGAAATTGAAATGAGTTATGAATTCATTTTGCTAACTAAAGTTAATTTGAGGCCAATAATCAATACAGTTACCATATTATATTTTGTAATATGATCTGTAGGGTATAAAGGGTATGGATTCCACTATACAGGTGAATAAAAAAGAAAGGCTCACCTCCTTTCATTTCTGGTATTGGTCTTAAATTTGCTTCAGTGGATGTTGTTGCACTTTCAGTTGGTCTGTCATCAGTTGATCTTTGTTTACTTGTGATTTCTTGAACTAGATTAATGTATTATTAATGTAATTATGAGAAAATATCTATCTAGGTCACAATTTATGTTATGGCATCACAAAACTCAATTCAATACAATTACAGTTTTAGTTGCAATATTAGATTTAAAGAATGAATTGTATGAATATTCTAATGAGGAACTCACCACTCATGTGAAGTTTTGAATGCTCTCTAAGGAGGGAAGGACTTTCACATTGCTTGAAACATATTAAACATTTGACCAGCTCTCCATCTTTCCCTAAAACAGTTATTATGAATTGTAAATAAAAAATACAATAGTCAGTGGCGGATCCAGAAGCCAACAAGGGGGGGGGGACAAAGATTGAAAATTTAAGACCCAATTTTTGATAATTTGGCCTAAAAAAGGCCAAAAAGACCAAGTTTTGCCAAAAAGGCAGGCCCAATGGTCTCCCTGGATCCGCTAGTATAGTAAATATTCGTTTAGCAAATAGTGAGTTTACACCAAGTACTGCATATACATACACTGATTAATGTTTATTTTTTTGTACTTAGATCTGTTAGATTATCTTTATTTGTTTTGCTGTTAGTGAATTATTTATGCAAAGAGAAAAGTTGTTCAGAGATTGATTTGCTTACTTTTTTTAAGCTTTGGATTCCAAGCGTGGGGAAGTGAATCCTCATCATGGTTTGAAGAACTGCTAAACTTCCTCTTCCCTTGAAGAGATTGAATACGATTTTTCATTTTACGTTACACATTTTAAAAATATGTTTATTGATATAATCACACTACAACTAAAGTCATGCAACAGTAACAAAACTGTATTATAAATATTTCTTAAATAAAGTGACATTTCCAAAATTCCATATATTCTCCAAATAGAGATGTAATCTCTTTTTACATTGCTGCTCATTGCTCATACAGATGAAACAAAATGTAAGAAAGACCAAAATCAAATCAAAATGTTTAAGGTTTTGAAAAAGTTAATGTTATGAGTTGACTTACCATTTGTGGATGTATTGGTGGTTACATTGGATGTTAGATCTGCATCATTATCATTGGCTCCATAGCCACCATCATGCCTATTATCGGGTAACATTCCTAAAAGATACACCTATTCAAATTAATAGTTTATTCAACCTCAAAGTAAAAAAGTATATTGTAATCTTTGCTTTTCATTCAAACTTAAATTATCCAGAAGCTTAAAATCATAGCCTGCAACTACAAAGTATATAGAAAGGGAGCTTCTGGCTTTTACAGCAACCTTCAGGGGCTATATTGTGATTAGTTTGCTGGGCGGAGGGTGGTTGGGTATTTATCCCAATAAATCTGGTCTAAAGGTATCCAGCAAAACAATTTAAGGGATTTATCTGATGGGATGTTTTTACGTATTAACGTTTAGAACTTATTAAACAGGATCTTAAGAGGTTCTGGACAAATCATTTGATTCTGGACTTGTCATATTTTTTTTTCAACGAAATCACATCCAAGGGTTGAATGTTTATTAGCTATTTAGAGAGTGAGTCCTGCCTAGTATTAATTTCAATAGAAAAGTTAAAATAGAACCCTATTTGAGAGTTAATCTAATACTTACATTACATTGATAAATTAAGGCAAATCCTGAAATATTTTTAAAGTGCATTTTTTATGAAATATTATCCAGCAAGTATTTAGATGAAACGGTCTTATTTAAATACAAATCATAACATGATGATATTTTTCATGAAACATTTTTCATTTTTAATTTAGGTGAAAACCCTTACATGATGATGTGTTTTCATAACTGCTTTCATAGAATTCCATCAAGGGGTGAAGATAAAATGATCGAATTTAAGTGATTTAAGGATCGCGAGAATATGTTTTCTTGGATATTTTCTATGAAATCCCATCCAATGGTCAAGGTAAAATTTTGATTTTGATTTGGTATTAGGTCACGTGTTCCAAAGATCCATATAAGGCCCATAGAACCATATAGGATGGTCATTTTGAATGTCACGTGATAGATCCATATAAGGCTTTTAGAACCATGTCGGGAAAGATGAGGGGAAGCCCCTGACACCTGTTTCACGATTTTATCCGAACGTTGTTCGGATCATTTCGGTTTTTATGCACTTCATGATTGTACCGAAGTTTGCCGATTCGATTCGTCGTATTTCGGAATCCTGGTGACAATTTTATACTCCATTCGGAGTATTTTTGATCTACTTCTTATGACGAAGATTCCCGAACCTTGTTCGGATTAATCCGGATTTTCTGACCTACTTTATCTTCCGAGATTTCACGAGTTAACATTCGTCTCATTTCGGAATCCTGGTGACAATTTTATACTCCATTGGAGTATTTTTGATCTACTTCTTATGACGAAAATTCCCGAACCTAGTTCGGATTTAACCGGATTTTCTGACCTACCTTATCTACCGAGATTTAACGAGTTACATTCGTCTCATTTCGGAATCCTGGTGACAATTTTATACTCCATTGGAGTATTTTTGATCTACTTCTTCTGGATTTTGCCCTACTTATTATATCTTGACAACAAGCAAATCAAAAAGTTGGCCATGAACGGGTCTCGATCAACTAACCTAGAGCATGGAAGCCAGGCACGCTAACCATGAGGCCAACGTGCTACCGATATGAAAGAACAAAAGTATTATATATTTATACCGAGCGTCAATTCAAAATGATCCTCACTTTTGACTCCACTTAATACGACTCGTCAGTTGTATCCAGAATAGGTGAACGCCTATGGCCCTAGTGAATAACCAAGTCCCAGGTGAGTGGTTCGTATCCCTCCGTGATATACTATTTTTGTTTTATTAAATACGACAGAAAGGAGCAAGTTGTAGTTTGAAAACAGGACGTTAGTTTGTTTCAAAACAGTTTTGAAACATTAATCTCTGATAATTTAAGATTTTCCACTCCTGAAGGGCCTCTAGATCTATGAAATTCATTAATCCACTCAGTAAAAAGACGATTTCTCTGCAACCTGGTGTCCAATCAAGATCATTCAAATATATATGTGTTCCTGACACGTTTGGGCGTCCGGGAATAGCAAGGTCTATACAAAGTTTGCACGCGAAATTGACGTAATTCATGACTGAAATCGGAAAGACAAAATTTGAGATTCACAAACAAAATTGCTTGTGAAAACTATTTACAAAAGTGTTCCAGAGACTCTAATCTACGTGGCTAAGGTTTTATTTGAAGAAACATTGCCTTATTAAGCAGGTAGAGGGGCATACAGAATACGGAAGCAAATGCTATGTTGAAAATTTTCTATATTTCAATTTGAACCTGTTATTACATGTCACGTAGGCCAGTGTTTTATATGGGGATTATATGTACTTTACTTGTTTACATGAACGTAAATCATTACATGAAATCTGCATTCTTCCGGGTTTAATCTGGGTTTGTATTGTCTTATTGGGGCTTTTCGACATTAAAACAAACCCTACCTAAATGGATTGTGTCTCGGGAACGTTTTTGTAAATAGTTATTATAAACAATTCTGAAAGAATATCACATATTTTTGTCTTCCCGATTTCAGTCATGAATTACGTCAATTCCTCGTGCAAACATTGGGTAGACGTTGTCATAACCAGATGCCAGAACGTGTCAGGAACATATAGATACTCGAATGATGTTGATTGAACATCAGGGTGCAGAGAAATCGTAATTTTACTGAGTGGCTTCACGAAAAAATAAGCAGCACTTTAGGCCACCTTAATACAACTCGTCAGTTGTATCCAGTTGGAATCCAAGCGTATTTTTAAAAAATTTTTTATTAATTAAATGGTTGTGCTTTGATTTTACGCTGAAAACATTTATAAACTACGTCAACTTTATATTAAAACATTTATTATCTTTTCAGTTGTATTAAAATGTAAAATATGATATATGTCAGCTTATTGCTTTCTGGAGAACAGTCAAGGTTTAAATTTGGTACAATGAATGGGACACTCATGTAAATCGACATGGTTATAACATTTAGCTCAATGCAGTAAATTAGTTATTTCTATGAATCACAGCGGGATTGGTTTCATTTTATATGATTGCCAACTCTGGCGGTATTTTTGTAAATGCTTTTGACCGCGGTAAATGTGAAACTGGTACAGTTGTGTATTATTCAATTGTTTTATGTCTTTGTCACATTTGCTCAGATTTTCACTACGGCGCCCGGCCGCTTGAGTATTGTGTTCAGAAATGTATTCAATTTTGAACAAAATACTCGCAGCAAATGTGATCCAGGCATTACACAGCGGTATTTCGAACATACTATTGTTGCATAACCACGACCCAGCCAATTTTAAAATCATATTCCTTATTTAAATCCAACGATAGGAGCTCATGGAAAGTATACATTTTAACTTTTATACATCTTTACAAATACTAGAAATCTACATGTTCGAGTGGATCACGAAGGGTCCCCACATAGCAGCAGTCTCCATAAAATGCAAAATACCTGTATTGATAACTTGACTTTGACTGATTTTTGAATTGAGATGAACTTGTTGAAACCTCGTGAAACGCCAGGTACTAGTACCTAGATGTGACCTTAAAATAATGTTGGCCAATACACATTGACTTTGACCTTAGGTCACCTAATCATGTGTCGTCAAGGGTCATTGTAGCCCTCAAGGTCCTTACAACGCCAAATACTTAGATATTAATTTTTGATCTTGAAACAAACTTGACCCAGTAACATTGGCCTTGAACTCGGTTCACCTAATCGTTGGTTGCTAAGGGTCACAGCAGCCCAAAGGACTTTAAATCACCAAATACCTAGATATTGATATTTTACATAGGAATGACCTTGACTTCAGGTCACCTAATCATGCCTCATCAAGGGTCGAATCTCAGACCAAGGGTAAAAAACGCGTAAACCTAGATATTGACATTTTAAACAGAGAATCGGATCTAGCAAGCAGTCTAACAAAAAAATGTTTCAATTTTAGAATATTTCTGGCTTATGTCATTTCTTTTCATGTCTATTTTCTAAAAATCCCAAAAGTGCACACTTTATTTCAGGAAAACTAAAGAGTTTACAACAATGACTTTTGTATATTTCTTCTATAAGAATGGTTACTTATTATTTACAATTTTGCACTTTTAATCTATTATAACTTCATCAATTTCTAACATATCGTAAATATTTTGTGAGATATTGTATTTGAGATTGTAAGGAATAGTGTACGTCAGTTGTACACGTTGCTTGTAATTTTGTCACCTCCATATATCTGATTCTGCCTTTAACCTAGAATGACTTTGACCTCTGACCTTAGTAGAAAGCTCACTGGCCCATCAAGTATGAGGGCAAAAGGAGATGTCGAGACCTACTATAAAGCATGTTCGGTCTGTCTGTCATTTTGCCTGTCTGTCGGGACATCTCCTTCTACACCATTTAACCTTAGTAAGTTGGTCTCCGAAGGTCAGAGTTGAGTTCATTCAAAGGTAAACGATCAATGTCTAGGTATTTGGCGTTTGATGATACTATGGCCCTTGGCGAATTATGATTAGATGAACCGAGGTCAACATTAATGTTTCTTGTACAAGGTCATCCCAAGGTCAAAGATAAATATTTAGGTATTTTACGTTTCAAGACCTTTGGACAAATTCGATTCAATTCAAGAATCGGTCAAGGTCAAAAAATCAATATACAGGTATTTTGTATTTTTTTGTAAAGATGTATTAAAGTTAAAATGTATACAGAGATAAAATAGGTTAGCTCCTATCGTTTCCTTGTGTATACGTTTATGTCTCTGCGTAATAACGCAGATGCAAGCAGATAGCATGGCGGGTATGGTAGAAAGTTCCCTTTAACTTAAAGTACATCTGTTTTCGTGGTTCAATTTTCATATCACCCTTAAAATGTGTCTAATAGCAATGCAAATTAAAATATGTCCAGTGAAAGAAAATGCAATACAAGAATAGATATTTCACTTTTTGTGATTTTGTAACAATGGGGTTATTTTTTGTATATGTAACATGGTCATTTTCACATTTTATATTATTACTGTTCATATTAATCAATCCCTATTCATCTCAATATAACAGGTCCCTAAGTAGGTTGTTTGCAGTTTTACTCTTTTAATACCATGTTCACTTTTCACCTTTTATTGAAACCAGTTATTCAACTATGCAAACTGTGTCAGTTTTATATATCTATTGTTCCCTTATATGGTCTTTCTCACTCATATGTAGCTGAGTTTGGGTGTTGGCTTGTCAGTAGTTGTTGTGAGAGTTCATGTTGTACATTACAGAGCATTGTATTTTGAACATTGAAGTTTGAAATATACTATTTTATATATATTTTAATTTGAAGTTCGAGTTATTTTATTGCCACCCACGGGCCTTCCACACGCCCATTTACATATAACGCATTGAAACAACTTTAAAAAGTGAGCAATGTCAGTGTTGTGACAATAACGCCCCTCATACCTATTTATTACAGGTCGTGTAGACCATTGTTGCCCGATTTATAGCAAAAACATTGACTTTTGCACGTTGATGATGATGATGATGATGCGCCTTTTATAATAGATTTCATATCTTAGAAGCGTATCAGTTCAAAAAAATACTAGAAGACCTTACATATTTTGCCATGCACTGCGCCTATTCATTTGGCAATTCAGTTGTAAATTTTATCTTGAAAAAAAACAAATCTTCCAAATTTGTTGAGTTTTCTTGCAGAAATCGCCTACCCCCCCCCCATCCATCCATTTTGTATGATCACCGGGCGTGATTTAAGCTGCTGATATTCTTCTTTAAACGAGTCGGATCTTCAAAATCTATAAGTTGGACTCCCTTTATAGAAGCTTTGAACTGAATTTGCACTGCTTAAGGTACGTTCACACCAACGGCGAATGCCACGCTTTAAATCGGCGAGCAAAGCGCCGTCATTTTTGTCATTTTTCTTCATACCAACGGCGCTTTGATGGCGCTTTAAAGCGGCTTGTAAAGCGGCACCAAAGCGTAACAAAGCTTGACTAAAGCGTCGGGGTCGTAATAGGTCGTAGGAAAGCTCAGAGTAAAGCGGGATATTCGGCAAGAGCGCCAAAAAAATTTAAACTTTTTAAAAAATGTGGGCGCTCTGTTACGAATCGATTAAGCGCCGAGAGCGTATCAAAGCTAAACAAACCGTAACAAAGCTCAGAAAAGCTTGATCCAAAGCGTAGGAAAGCTTAACATAGCTCTAAAAGGTTCCTCACGCTTTGATCCCGCTTTGATCAGGCTTTGTTACGCTTGAAATCACGCTTTGATAAGCTTTGATAAGCATTATTACGCTTTGATGCGATTATGACGCTTTAAATCAGGCTCTGATACGATTGCAAAACTCTGTTGTGCATCATTGTTACGCTCTGTTAAGCTCTGTCACGCATTGGAAAATGTCGTGATCGCCGATTCCATGCCGCTTTTGATCCAATGACTATATAAAGATGCAGTAGATCCATAAAACCATTGCATCTTTGACTCGAGAACACGATGGCAGAACAACGAGATCCAGAAATTCCAGATGGACCAGAGCATGACCTATCTGAAGAAGACATGACGTTTGTCGCACGGCGTGATATAGCGTGTGGAAACTTGTCAAGCGTACAGCAAAGCGTTTCAATCCTTGATTAAAGCGTCTCAATGCGTTGGAAAGCTTGAGAGTCCCTCATGAACGTGTAACAAAGAGTGTCAGATATTGATGAAAGCGTCTGACCTCGTGTCAGATCTTTATGCCAGATCGTAGCAAATCTTGAGACATCTTAACGAAGCGTGTCAAGTGGTAACAGACCGTGAATAGACTGGGGTCCCCGCTTTGAACCAAGCTCTATTAAGCTTTGCTACGCTTTGAGTCAAGCTTTGTTGAGCTTTGTTACGGTTTGTTAAGCTTTGATACGCTCTCGGCGCTTCAATCAATTCGTAACAGAGCGCCCAAAATTTTTAAACAGTTTATCATTTTTTGGCGCTCTTGCCGATTATCCCGCTTTACTCCGAGCTTTTCTACGACCTATTACGACCCCGACGCTTTGGATCAAGCTTTGTTACGCTTTGGTGCCGCTTTAAAGCGCCATCAAAGCGCCGTTGGTGTGAACGTAGCTTGAACAGTTTACATTTTTAGTGCTCTTGCCGAATATCCCGCTTAACTCCGAGCTGTTCTACTACCTATTACGACCCCGACGCTTCAATCAAACTTTGTTACGCTTTGGTGCCGCTTTACAAGCCGCTTTGAAGCGCCATCAAAGCGCCATTGGTGTGAACGTAGCTTTAATGCTGAAATGTTATTGTTTATCCATATTTTTTAAGAAAAAATGTATAAAAAGAGATGTTAAGCCAAATGTTGCCCTAAAAATTCAGAAAATGTAAAAAATTTCGAATTTTCTATGTACAGGCCTTGTTGCCCCTTTAAGAAGCTCAATATGTAAATTATCTAATCAAACACTTCGTCCACCATTTTGAAACACTAATCAATCCAATCTGTGCTAGCGATTCATAGGACGAGCCATTGGGATATTTCCAGGGTTCCTACACACCTGCAAATGTCAGGGAAATTGACTTAATTTTCCAAGTGTGGGAATGTCAGGTAATTTTAAAATTAGGTCAAAAGGGCCAAAGATGACCGGGAATTTTGAAACGGTAGATATGTCAGGGAAATTTGTATCAGTGTTGAAAAAATAATGTTCCAGAATTTTTTTTTAGGACTATGACAGGATATCAATGAAATCCAAAATGTAATATTTAGTTGATTCCACAGGCTAAAGTATGAAAATGTATAACATATATCTAAAAATTTTAAACTGTCTTGATTAATGAATTTCATAGATCTAGAGGCTCTTCAGGAGTGGAAAATCTTAAATTATCAGAGATTAATGTTTCCAAACTGTTTTGAAACAAACTAACGTCTTATTTTCAAACTACATCTTGCTCCTTTCTGTCGTATTTAATGAAACAAAAATAGTATATCACGGAGGGATACGAACCACTCACCTGGGACTTGGTTATTCACTAGCGCCATATGCGTTCACCTATTCTGGATACAACTGACGAGCCGTATCTAAGTGGAGTCAAAAGTGAGGATCATTTTGAATTGACGCTCGGTATAAATATATAATACTTTTGTTCTTTCATATCGGTAGCACGTTGGCCTCATGGTTAGCGTGCCTGGCTTCCATGCTCTAGGTTAGTTGATCGAGACCCGTTCATGGCCAACTTTTTGATTTGCTTGTTGTCAAGATATAATAAGTAGGGCAAAATCCAGAAAAAGTAGATCAAAAATACTCCAATGGAGTATAAAATTGTCACCAGGATTCCGAAATGAGACGAATGTAACTCGTTAAATCTCGGTAGATAAGGTAGGTCAGAAAATCCGGTTTAATCCGAACTAGGTTCGGGAATTTTCGTCATAAGAAGTAGATCAAAAATACTCCATTGGAGTATAAAATTGTCACCAGGATTCCGAAATGAGACGAATGTTAACTCGTGAAATCTCGGTAGATAAAGTAGGTCAGAAAATCCGGATTAATCCGAACAAGGTTCAAGAATCTTCGTCATAAGAAGTAGATCAAAAATACTCCAAATGGAGTATAAAATTGTCACCAGGATTCCGAAATACGACGAATCGAATCGGCAAACTTCGGTGCAATAATGAAGTGCATAAAAACCGAAATGATCCGAACAACGTTCGGATAAAATCGTGAAACAGGTGTCAGGGGCTTCCCCTCATCTTTCCCGACATGGTTCTAAAAGCCTTATATGGATCTACCACGTGACATTCAAAATGACGTTCCTATATGGTTCTATGGGCCTTTATGGATCTTTGGAACACGTGACCTAATACCAAATCAAAATCAAAATTTTACCTTGAACATTGGATGGGATTTCATAGAAAATATCCTAGAAAATATATTCTCGTGATCCTTAAATCACTTAAATTCGATCATTTTATCTTCACCCCTTGATGGAATCATGTAAGGGTTTTCACCTAAATTAAAAATGAAAAATGTTTCATGAAAAATATCATCATGTTATGATTTGTATTTAAATAAGACCGTTTCATCTAAATACTTGCTGGATAATATTTCATAAAAAATGCACTTTAAAGATATATTTCAGGATTTGCCTTAATTTATCAATGTAATGTAAGTATTAGATTGACTCTCAAATAGGGTTCTATTTTAACTTTTTTATTGAAATTAATACTAGGCAGGACTCACTCTCTAAATAGCTAATAAAAATTCAACCCTTGGATGTGATTTCGTTGAAAAAAAAAGACAAGTCCAGAATCAAATGATTTGTCCAGAACCTCTTAAGATCCTGTTATTAGTTTTTTTGGCATTCTGGGTAAATGTTAAGGCAGCCATTTTTGATTTGCCGCCTTGTCTGTCTGTCGAGGCTTGTCTACAGGTTTCCAGCCAAACCATTTGAGAGGTTCATCTAAAATTTTCAGGGATGTTTCTACGTATCAATATTTAGAACTAAGTAGTTTTTGGGCATTCTGGGTAAATGTTAAGGTGGCCATTTTGGATTTTCCACCCTAAAATCTTGTTTGTCGACACTTGTCTACATATTTCTAGTCAAACTGTTTCAGAGATTCATCTGAAATTTTCAGGGATGTTTCTACATACGGAAGTTTAGAACACAACATAAATATGACATATGTATTCACCTTTAACATTGTGAATCAAATAATAATATTATTCAGTTTATAAAAAAAGTGTAATTAATTCAAAGGCTAATCTTCCTAAATGGGATAGTTATTTTTGACATTTTGATTTTTGATGAAAATGTTGTTCCCTAATGCAGCGTTTAATAAACATATATTATATGTATGCATTATTTAACATGTAAATCAAATATAAAAATTATTCACTTCATAAAGATATAATTAATCAAAAGGTTCCTTCCCATATCAAAATTTACAAAGGCTTTACACCTACAATTTACACTCAGTTTATACTTACTTTACACCCATTAAATAGGTGACCAATTTCATATGCAAATGAGCTAATTTACACTCAGTTTACACCTTAGTATACACCCACTTTACACTGAAGTTTACATCTACTTTACATCCAGTTTGCACTTAGTTTTCACTTAAGTTTACACTTACTTTACACCAAGTAAATAGGTGACCAATTTCACATGCAAATGAGCTAATTTACACCTAAGTTTACACTCAGTTTACACTTTAGTATACATCCAATTTACATCAAGAGCATATTCTGATTGGTCAGATTTTAAACTTAATTTACAGTTAGTACACATAGTTCACCTTATCCTTAATTGGCGAAATGCTAACTGCTTATCGCAGAGGGAGAGAATGCAAAGATATTCTGATTTTGAAGCACTGTGATCAGAGAATAATATTAATGAAGATACAGGGGGTCCAAAGCGTAATGAATTGCTAAAAAATTGCAAAAAGAAAAATCCAATGTTAAATCGCCATGGGGATTTTCCTCAAATTTTCTGTCTAAGCCCTTTAAAAAGTATTTTGTAGGAGTTATGCTATAGTACAAATATCACAGAATGATCAGCATTAAAGATCTATACAAGTAGTTGTGCTAAGATTTTTGAATCGAAGTTTTAAACAAAAAATGCTAAAATAATTCTGTTTTGTAAAAAGTCCAAATCCGCCATCTTGAATTATGATGTCACAATGACAATATTTTGCATATTCAATTTTTTCAAGAAAAAACTCCATAAAAGATGGGTCTATATAATTTATTGGGCCTTGCTTCCTTCTCTTGCTTCTAGATTCTCCATGATGTGTTCTGGAAAAGGGTTTAAAAAGAGGGGTTCCTAAAAAGGATGGGTACCTAAAACTAAACAATTGGTATCTACTATACAAACCAATTTTGTAGCCTGCCCAGAGTTTGGGGGTGGGGTGGACGATGTTACACATATTTTTCAGAAGGTATTATTGTCTGTCTTTGTACCAGAATGGAATTGAAGATATGAAACATTAGGTTTGAACATTAAAATGAAGACAATAAGATTTTACATAATGACAATGTTACAAGCATTACACTTGATTTAAAATGGTTAACAATACAAGTACTTTAAGTTTTTTTTATAGTATAAACTTTATTGAAGTAAAGTCAATACATTTTCGGCCACCAATCGCCATATTGGCATTATAGGTTGGCCATCACTTACATCGTAAAAAATTAAGTATAGTATTTAGCTGTTTGAGGACGACTGTGCATCGAAGGGTATCCCAGGGAACAGAGGGGTTTGTGCCAAGTAGATGTGTAGAAAACATGTTCTCCAGGGCTTAGATGAGACCTCTTTGCTATGTCTTATTGTCATGGAGAAAATTGCTGACGATGATAAAAAGTTTACTTAGTTCTGCTAAGGATAATGTCTCGTCACCATATAAGAGAAAATTAAGTTTATCATCCATGTTTGTTAGTTGACTGATCTTATTATAAAAATTATTGTTGACCTCTTCCATCAGGGCATGCCTATTAATTTGGCATAGAGGACACTTGAAAAATAAATGTTTTAGTGTTTCAGGTTTGCCGCAAGAACAATGAGCCGAGTCTATAAAAGTAAATTGGTGTGCAAAAAGTCTTGCTTTCAAAAATAAGTCAACACGAGCTCTGTTGAGAGTGATTTCTTGAGACCTTGTTAAATTAATCAGGGACGTTGAACTGATTATTCTCTTGGGCAGATAGTGTTTATTACTTTCTTTTTTGAACGCTGGTAGGGAAAATTTTAAGGCATATTCTAAAAGAGGTTTTGGTAATTTGTTCCACAGTGATATTGCATTAGGAATAGGGGATTTAATAAATTGGGCAGTTGACCTTATAGGAATTTGGTATACCTCTGTATTGCTTGTTCTTCTGGTAGCTGGATTTTTGAATTCTTCAAATATTGAAGATACATAGGAGGGTACCTGGTTTCTGATTACTTTGTACATGAAGTTAAGAATGTGTTGTTCCCTCCTTTGGGATAGTGTGCACCAGTTTAAGACCCCCATAACTTTACCTGTATCAGAGCCATGGAGACACCCAGAACACAATAATGCAGCCTGATAATGTAACTTGCTAGGGATATTGATCAGTACTTGAGTTGATGAATGATAAAGAATGTCTGCGTAGTCAAAATGAGGCCTTATGAATGAGTTGTACATTGTCTCCAAATGTTTCGAGTTAATTTTTGATGTAAGTGCCTTCAATGGATTAAGCAGTTTTTGTACTCTCTTGACAATGTCATAAATATGATTTTTGTTAGAAAGAAGATAATCAAAAGTATACCCTAGATGCTTATGAAGATTATTCCTTTTAATTTCCCCATTTCCAAGTTTGGCTAAGGTGGCGGAGTAGGAAATACACAGCGCTGGCTTTGAAAGATAACTTCCTCTGTTTTTTCAGGCTTGAAATCTAGTTTCCATTTTTGAGACCAGTTAGTTATGATATTAAGATCATGATTGATAGTACGCATGTCAGGATCAGATGGATCAAAGGGGTAATATAGTGATGTGTACTTTAAGTGATGTACTTTGATGTTGCTATTGTCCATGTTTTGATTGTTATTTAAAATAGCTGATTTCCTTGGTGCTTGTTCAAATGTTCATATTTTTGTAAGACGACTTTGAGAAAATATATATGCGTTATTTTCAAGAAGGGTATCGGGGACCGGGTAATTGACCTCCTGTGGAGGAATTAGTACCAGGTACCTGTTACCTCTTATTTGTACCAGGTATCTGGTACTCAATAATGTACAAAATCCGGGGCTTTACTTTACAGGGTGTTCCAAAAGTAACAGGACTGGTGCTGGCATTTTTTTTAAATATGCACCAATCGTCTTCAAAATTTTACATAATGTACTTTCATGTATCGTTACTTAAACTGCAAAGTTTCGACAAAAAAATAAAACTCAGGTAGAGTTATGGTTGTTATGGTAACATGACATCACAATACTCGGGGCAACATTCCACGCAGTTAATCTGAAAACATAGGATGAAATCCTATGCTAAGGGCTGATGTCACTTGGTGAAATCGATAAAATAATATATAAAAATATGTTTTATTTTCGGATATTTGTGTAAAAAGATGCGTAATAATACAGTATTTCCATTCAGTATTGTAATTATTATATTATATTATGAAGGAAAAAAATATAATCAGCATAATATACTACATTATATAGAGATTAATATAATATAATTAGAAATAAGTGAGGTCCAAATATTATTTGTACATATAAACATTTACCAAATCCGATTATCTCAATAAGAAAATGTAGCAGAATGATTTATTCCTGGTATAATATTCTTTTTTAGAATTATTTGCGCCAATTCATATTTATTCTGTCTTTCTAAAATATTATTTGGTCATATTTATCAATCCAAACTGATGATTGCAGTCTATTTAGATTTTTTTTCTATTCTAAAAAATATTATTTTCTAGTATTTTCAAATCTAAGCAGAATATATCAAATTATATTGTATTATTTGGGTTCTAAAAAATATTATACGCGATTATTCTCGTCCAACTTGATATACAATCCATCTGGTTAATTACTTAACCAAACAAAACAAAGAATGCACATCATGGCAGTTAATAGGATTCACCATTCTACTGGCCTTCTCATCTCTATTACTTACACATGTCACACATATTTTATTTTTACTGTTCTATTTCTATTTGAAAAATATTTACAAATAAATGTTTAGAAGAAAGAAATTTAACTTGTTTTAAATTAATGTTAACAATGGAGTAAAAATGTGAAAAAGTCATCAATTAAAAATCAAATCATCATTCATCATCATCATCATTTTGATACTGTAGCTGTTAGGCTTGTTTGCCTGTTGTCGCTAAGCTCTTTTTATATTTATCAGCTAAAAACTGATCGTGATATTTTAATCATTTGAACCACCTGGTCCAAGACACTTTAAGTTTGACAGGTGAGCTAGGTTAAGCATAGACCCCAAAGATCAGACTTGCAGACTGGTCTTCTTGTTGCAGTACTTCAGGGGTGCGTGCTGTTGTTCCGCCGTGCTATACTATGGTGTAGTGTTTTTCTGACCAGAATTTGTCGAGCCTCGTTTTGAAGGTGGTGATAGAGTCTGAACTTATGACGTTCTCTGGGAGACTATTCCAGTCACTGATTACTCTCAAGCTGAAAGTGTTGCTTCTAAGTGAAGTTTTGCAGTGTCTCTTGAATAGTTTTTTTGAATGGCCTCTCGTGGTGGAAGTGGATGACTGGAAAAATAAATCAGGGTTTAAGTTGACTAGTCCATTGAATATCTTATAAACTTCTATCATATCACCTCTTTTGCGTCTATAATGTAAAGAGTGTAATTTCAGTTCCTTCAATCTATCACTATATGCTAGGTCTTTTAGTCTATAAATTAATTTAGTTGTTCTTCTTTGGATTGTGCATAGCAGAGATGGTCTGAGTATCAGATTGGGTCAATCGATTTAATCCAAATTTTAACACAATGTTAATCATAACATAAGGGACATTATACAATCAAATAAATATGAAAAACTTGGTTTTTAAATTTTTTTTTGTGGAACTTAGAACTGTTGGCTGTAGGAAATTAATCCATCGCCTCTAACAAACGGATTAGCTTTCAGTGTTAACAAAACTCATATTAAAGAAATTGAATAATTGGGGATTAAAGTTTTACTTATCATATTGCTCTGACATACATGTACTGTATGTCAACATGTTATTTACATCAGTTTGTTCTACCATGCACCAATTTGCTCAAAGCGTAATCATCGCTATGTTAGATGAAACATTAGGAATAAATGTAAAATGTGCCCGCTTCTTTATTTTCATTATCAAACAACTAAACATACCGAATATACATTTGGAAATGGAAAACAAAAAATTAATCAAAACCAGCTTTAATTAAAATGGTCCAATTGTAGTAGAAACAAATGTATTACATCATGGACTAATGTGTTGTTTGTATCCCCAGTTTATATCTCAGATATATGGATAACAGAAAACGCATGAATTGTGAAATGTGAGAGAATACACGTTTTAATTTTGTTTTAGCATGGCTTAACACCACTTGTATTAGTTAACCTAATGTAAATTTCTTATTTATTATCATCGATTTGCCAGAAGAAATCGGAGCAATACATGTACATCCAATATAATACAGGCTCGGAATAAGTTTTAGCCCAGGGGATCAATTTTCAAAACAAAACCAAGGGGTCACAATTGATCATTTTGGCCCGAAATCACTTAACAGTGCTCAGATTGGTAAAAATGTAGGATTTTGAAAGAATTTTGGCAAGGGGGGGGATTTACTTGAACCCAACGACCCCCCCCCCCTCCCTGGCCATGGACCTATACCAAATTCGTAATGTATTGATATATAGCAGTTTCGTGTCAAAAATGTTTTGTGTTGTTTGTGAAGTGATTAATGGTGTTTGTGTCTGTGTAAGAGGGGGCTTTAAGTGTTGTTTGTTGTAAACTTACTGTAATTTGACAGAAAAACAATTGAGTTAAATTGTGAGGAAACCCAATAGAGTAAAAATGTGAGGAAACCCGTTGATTAAAAATTAACTTTCCGTTGAGTCAATCAATTAAATCCAAATTTTAACACAATGTTAATCATAACATAATAGACATTATACAATCAAATAAATATGAAAAACTTAATTTGCAATTTATTTTTTAGTTGAAATTAGAACTATTGGCTGTGGAAATTAATCCATTAACTCAAACAAACAGATTATTTATCAGTGTGAACAAAACTCAAATCGTGGAAATTGAATAATTAGGGATTAAAGTTTGACTTATTATATTGCTCTGGAATGTCAACACATGTATGTTAATAGTGAAAAACTACATGATTTTGACAGAATTGTTGGCCACGGGGAGGGGGGTCCTTAGCTACGGGTCTGTATAAAATGCGTAATGTGTTTATTGAATATTGAGCAGTTCCCTGTCATGACTGTTTTTCCGGTTGGCAAAGTGAATACAGGTGGTTGTTTGTACCTGTGTAAGAGGGAATCGATTTAAATGTTGTTTGCTATAAACTTAATGTGACAGAGAAACAATGGACTAAAATTGTGAGGAAAACAAATTAATTAAAAATTTGAAAATTAACAATGAATTAATTGATTGAATCAAAGATTTAACACAATGTTAATCATAACATGAGGGACATTATACAATCAAATATGTATGTAAAAACTTATTTTGCAAATTATTTTTGTGGAATTAAGAACCATCAGCCGTAGAGATTAATCCATGAACCCTAACAAACAGATTAATTATCAGTATGAATGAAACTCATTTCATAGGAATTGAATAATTAGGGATTAACGGCTCGAAAATAACCGCGTATAATAGGTTTTTGATTGCAAATGCAAACATAAAATTTGCTCCTGACAGGAATATTATTCTATATTATTTGGCATTATATGTTGTTCCCTTTAAATAATACACGAATAATATTATTAAATCAAAAATAATTCTTAAAAATACGTATTATATTTTTTCCGTTATAATAAAAGAAATAACTGCCTATTATACAGGAAAAAATATTCTCTATGATTCTCTCTTAATGCAACTTATTTAGCAGTATATTAAACATTTATTTTAATTATTATTACTTACGTGCGTGAAAAAGACACTCCACCCTGGTGGGAATCGAACCCACAACGTCCCGATTACATGTCAGGTGCTCTCCCACTTGAGCTACGGAGCCGACTGACTCTTCACACCAACATTGCATATATCTCATCACAGCCATGACTTACATGCCCAGTCTACTGGACACAACGAGAAACACTATATAATAAACTCCAATACGACGAGATAATATATTTGTTATCCAAATTGATTAATAACTAATAAGATCAGATACTGTTAAATAATATTCTGCCCGGGATTTGTTATTGTCGTATACAAACGTGGTATCCGAACTGCTTACTTATAGTATCCGTTGCGACCATTAACAATATTGTAAATGTCTAATTAGCTAAGTAAATAAACATGTCGTCACAGTCGCTGTTGGCTATGGAGAGTTATTAATAATTATCGATCATAAATGTTATCATACTTTTCTTGATTTAAATATCCAAATATTTACTATGTTTAAAAATGAAAATGTGTGATTTTTAAGTAACTGTTCGACCTTTTTTCTTATTATCAAGAACGCGCATGCAAGTTCGGCAATCCTTGTACATTGTGTGCACAGTATGCGGATTTTAATCGTTGTATATTTTTCTAAAAGCATGATCATTGTGAACTTTTTACTGCAGGGCCTTACCCGGGGGGGGGGGGGTCACCATTCTTAGCACTTTTCAAGTGATTGCGGGGCCAGATTTGTCAAATGTAAACCCCCTTGGAAAGTTTTGAAAAGTGACCCCCCCCATTGACAAAATGTGATTACGGTCCTGCACTTTTTTCAAAGCTTTTAAAAACAGGTCGTGTAGAATGTAGACCCCCGTTGCTTGATATTTATAGCAAAAGCAAAAACATTGACATTTGAAAGTTTGTGACGCTGCGCTATTTTGAATAAATCTTATATCTAAGAAGCCTATCGGTTGAAAAAAATACCTAGAAGACTTAACATATTTCCCAATGTCATGCACCTTTTAATTTAGCAATTGAATTATAATTATAAACTTTCTCTTGAAACAATAAATCTTCTAGATTTGTTGAATTTTTGGACAAAATCGGCTACCCCCTCCCCCGTCCGTTCATTACTTTCGATCATCGGGCGTGATGTTGATTTTTATAATATGTTATGTTATATTTATTTTCATATTATAATTCTTACAATTGAATAACAATATATCTCTCTAAAATTAAATTTGAAATAAACCGAAGAATAATCAGCAAGTCTGATTGAAAATACACATCCTGTAAAAGAGAGAAGAATTTAATCCGTCTGAATCTGATTGCAAAATATAAATCTGTCGCATTAGGAAATTAATCCCTGCTATTTAACTTGCACATAATCTAAAAGCTAATAGTCAAAAATCGGGGTCAAAAAGCTTATCACAATATAGTAGAACATCTTGGCTTCAGATATTATTTTCTCATGAATTTTAAAAATCGGCCGAGAACTGATTAAGTAACATTCCGCACACGCCGTCTGATTGCATATTTGAAACGACAACATCCGATCTACTACAGTATAAATAATCTTATTGACTTTGATAGCATATATTTGTTTTCAGACATATTTTGTATTTGCACCAGCTTCGACCCCCCCCCCCCCCCTTTACGTGATGCCTTTCAAATCAATTCATTACACAAATGACATAGAACTGCAAACGCCTGTTGCGTTTATTCCAAATGCAACAAGGCTAGCAGTTGAATAATAAAACAAGGCAAATCAAAATCATCCAACATACGTATCATGTATAGTTCCCCTTTTATAGGAGGCGTTATTAGGTAATTAGGTCACTATTATTAATGGGGAAAATGTAGAACCAAATAAATGTTCATCTCAGCCTCAGTATTTGAGAGTTCATTTCATTTCACATCTGAGGATACATTTAGTTGTACACCATACACATGCCTTCTGTTCATGCCCCGCTGTTAATGACCCGGTTTTAATGAACGCACTTTTGATCAACGTCTTCAGACTGTTATTTCTAATGGCTGTAAATCGAAACAAACCTCATTATCTCATGGTGTCCCTCAAGGTTCAGTGCTTGGTCCTATTTTATTTCTTCTTTACATAAATGACATCTACAAATCCTCTGATTTCTTTGAATTCATACTATTTGCTGATGATACCAATCTCTTGGCCTCTCACAAAGATTTACCCACTCTATTTGACACCGCAAATGAAGAACTTTCAAAGCTCAGTGACTAGTTCAATGCCAATAAACTTTCTTTAAACATTGACAAAACTAAATGGATTCTCTTTGGACCAGGTAAAACTTCTAACAATCATTTTCTCAAAATAAATGACACCAAACTCAAGCAAGACATCACTATATCTTTCTTAGGAATAGCTATTGATGCCAATTTAACTTTCAAAGAGCATATCAAAAACTTAGAAAAAAAGATTTCTCAGTGCATTGGGGTCTTGTATGGAGTCCATAATCTTTTAACAAAAAGTGCTTTGCTCAGTATATACTACTCTCTTATTCACTCTCAACTCAATTACTGCAATATTATTTGGGGTAACAACTACAAATCTTATCTTAATAAAATTTACATGATTCAAAAACGATTTGTTCGCATTGTTTTAGGAAAAAAATACCTTGATCATACAGCTCCATTATTCAAAGAACTTAATCTTCTGAATATATATGATATAAATAAGCTGAATACAGCAATTTTCATGTACCAAGTAAAAGATGGTGACCAAATACTAAATTCTCTACTCGATACAAATTTCCAAATAAACTGTGATACACATAGTTATAATACCCGCCAATGTGACAACTTCCATATTGAACATGCGAACAAATTTTCCATAAAACGGAATGGGCCTTCACTATGGAATTCTCTTAAAAATTCCACAAAAATGTCAAAATCTATAACCTCCTTTAAAAAGGCCTACAAATCTGACCTCTTGTCAAGCTACTTATAAAAAATCTGTCTTATTAAACATCTTTATTTACTATCCACGCATTGTATATTACAATAGTCATGGCACATCATTTAAACACAACGTACATACATGCTTAGTGTATGCATTGTACTATGTTATATCATGTAAATACTTGTATATATGAAACTCATATACCTATATACCCTTGTAAACTAGTTAGACTATATATATATATTTTTTATATTTGCTAGTGATAGTTTTTTTTTGATACTTGACATTATACTTTTATATGCCATTTGGTGTCAGTATTAGTCATGTATTATTATTGTATATACATTTTTTCTAAATAAATAAATAAATAAGTAACATGTTATGTTCTAAATGGATGCATCAAGATATTGTGTTGCAAATCTAAAGGTAAATTTCACCAGCCTATGACTTTTAAATACATTCTTTATATGTACATGTGTAGTAACTCCGGAAAATCAAGTATCATCAGTAATTTTTAACAAACTGGGACTTTTGATGTGAAAATCAATCATGATAGCAATATATGAGCAACGGTTTAGATTAAAACTGGGAAAAGCAGGCGGTCGCCGTCCGGGTCGCCGTATGCTTGATGCACGGCACCCTGGTGGGAATCGAACCCACAACCTCCCGATTACATGTCATTAAGACAGAAAGAGAGATTAAGCATTTTGTACATCCCATATCAAAGTTGAAATGCAACAACTGGTGGAAATTACATTTGTTTTACATAATTTGATATTCCTATGTATCCTCTACTTTGAAAAGTAGGCTCCTCTTTGGTCAGTAGAAGAGTAGCACTCTGTATCCATGACTCAAACACATGAGTGAACCCATTTGAGGACATGTCACGCATGATCGATTGGACAACTTACTCTTTAAAGATTTTACAGCACTGATTCGTAGTCCATTCTTCATGAAAGTAAAAATTGGATGTTGCCTGATCAGAAGAGTATGGTGCATGGTTTTAGAACTCTAGACCTAGCTCCTCTATAGCTGCATGGTCTTCAATGGTGACCTACGGACAGGCGCGTTATCAAGGTGAATGACTGGCTTCAAATTTGATCTTTTCAAAAACTCAACCATGAATTGTTCACACTGTAATTCATAGTGATATTCCAGGAAATTGAATAAATATCATTATTATTATGAAATTATACTTGAATCCGACTTGTACAGCAACACCTTTACAACAGAGCAACTAATAAAATAAACAGAAAATGTTGTATTATAATAGTTGTTAGATATCACATTTTCAGGAATAAGTTGCCCCGGGTATTGTGATGTCATATTTCTATAGTAACCACAACTCTACCCGCATTTCATCATTTTTTCTGAAACTATACAGTTTTAGTTGCAATACTTCAAATCACAATTTGTGAAAATTTGGAGACACTCGGTGCAAAATTGACAAAATGCCAGCACCAGTCCTGTTACTTTTGGAACACCCTGTATTCCTTAAATTTCTTTGTCCATGGGAATAAACACTAAATATTGAAGCACAAATCGAAATTCACAAATTCAAAATGTATCTTTTTAAATTATAAAATGTACTTAGCCATTCCACATTTGATTTTATAAACAACAGACAGAATAATTTTGATTTTTCTAAATAAAATGAGGGAAATATATTGTACATGTTTCTAATAAGAACATTGTAAATATGAGAACTCACAAAGTTATATTTACAAAGACTGCTATATTTTATAATTTCAGAATCAATCCAAACTGCTCCAAACAACCACAATGGCTATGCAGTCTACACATTGTCCAGAATAATTCTCTACCTATTTGATTTTATGAGAGGAACACCTTTAAAGCTTCTGGATATTATACACACCAGAGGAAATCCAAAGATAACATGAGCAAGACTATTCAAAATGTTTATTGGGATTATAAGGAAACATACAAATTCCATGCAAATAAAGGGGATATGTGAATGGCAACAGCCAGCATGGCATTGTGATTTCAAATATTCAACATGTGCTTGATAAAGATAATGTTTATCAATGTACATGCATGAATAAAACACAGTGGACAAAGAATCATTTTTTGTAATTGATTTCTATTAGTTCTGCATAGTTGGAGGGCAATTTAATACAGTTTTTGATTAATCTTAGCCTGAGGGGAATTTTCATATTCTAAAATATTATTTCTGAATCATCAAAATGGATTTTTCTACAACCTTTTTGGCGAATCGATGAACTCGTTTTTCAGGTTTAACCCTTTCTTTATGGTTAAATATAATGCCCGTTATATAATTATAGAAACAAAATATTTTGTTTTTAGGTCCTTAATTATCTAAAGTCTTACAAAATGTGAACACATATTTGTAGAACTGATCAGAAATATTTTTTCCCCATTCATCCATTTTTCCATGTTAAAGTATAGGGGGGCTGAGATCCCCGGGAATACCTGAGGTTTGACTCATTATGTTATGGTTTTGAACCGATGATAAGTTTAAAGAGGGAAATGCTGTTCCATCGAATTATTTGATTTTGACTGAAATTAACGCATTACGTTATTCACACTGGGAGCTACAAAATATTGGGTTACGGATTTATTAAAACGTACCTTTATCTCGCATTTCGGTTTACCTGCGTATCATGATTTATGATCATGATTTATCGTTTATGCTTTGCTCACATAAGTTCAGGTTCACCTTATGGGTGCCTACCGATTACGGTATTTTTCAACTGCCAACCGATCACCGGCAGACGTTGCGCAGGGAGAATTTTCACAATCAAAATGTAAATTACATTATAAAATATGTATCAAATGAAGAAAAGGATGTCCAGATGGGTGCTGTTCGGCAATTGGAACATTATAGGGTTGCTTGTATATAAATTGAAGAAAAATTGGGTTCTTGGAATACATGTTCATTAACGTGTTGATTTTGATTGTATATACAGGGCGTTCATAAAGTTCTTGCAAAAGTACTCTGAAATTTTGGTTTGTCAGTCAATCTGGCTGAAATTTTCACTCAGTATACCTAAACTATTCATACAATGAGTTCTTAAGTTATTATGAACAGGTCCTTGAAAAATAAAAGTTGTCTTTGCTATAGTAACATGAGTCGGGGGTAGGCCTTTCCTCAAACATATGGTGGAACCCATTTGGCAAATTTTTGTTTGGCCATTGATCATGTATGGATGCCATAAGTTCTCCTAAGGTTAAATGATGAAATCGAATTCCACGAAGATCATTCTTTATTCAAAAGACCAAGGGTTGCCTTGTCACTTGAGTAGGGAGCTTGATCTTGTCGACCCATCTTCAATTTGTTAGTGGTACACCTTATCATGAGTAAATCATCATCTTTTGCTGAATTCGCAGCCATTTTAACGAAATGAAAATGGACACAGCATTTCACAGAGTCTGATGTCATAATTCAATATAAGTCACTATGATGTCATCAATGATATCATGAATCAAAGAAATTTCAACTAAGAAGTAATCACATGACATCACCTAGAGATGACATGCAAACATTAGCTTGTTTTGTATTTACATGTATACTTAAACATATGTTAAAGTTACCTCTAACTCATATATTTTATCTTGATTTTTCTTTTTTTAAATGCTGCTCCGCCTACCCCCGACACGTGTTACTATAGCAACCATAAATTATAATTTAAGATTTAAATGTATGAATAGTGTACTAGGTATACTGAGTGAAAATTTCAGCCAGATTGACTGAGGAACAAAAAAATTAGAGTACTTTTGCAAGAACTTTATGAACACCCTGTATAAACAATTCATATGAACTATACGGTTGACTGTACTTTGAAGAGAAAACAAGTATTTTACCAATTAATAGAAGAATTCAAAAGCTCTAGCGAAGTAACCTCGTTAGTTTATATTCGCCAAAACGTAAAACGATAGAAACTCATATATTTTTGAAACATCGCTTATTGGAACCATTTCACTTGTCGACTAACTTACGGTAAGTTAGTTGTACATGAACTGGGAAGGTCGTAATATCCCTATTATAACCAGATAAGACATTCGACATGTTATGACCGAAATAATCAGTAAGTTAGTCAATGGAAGTACTAGTGCTGTAACACGACTGTGGTGTCGACTAAAAACAAGCCATTATAATTACAAATAAAATTCATTTATGGTCATTACCCCATAACAAATTCTGGGAATACTAAAATAAATTGTAACGTATCAGGTGTTATCACTATAAATGAAATTTCAATACTTAACTTGAAAGGCGACTACGTCAACCGCAGATCAATTTACTCCCCAGTCACATTTGTCGCACAGCGGCCATAAGTAGACCGCAAATCAATTATATCAGTGAAGGGAAGCCGTAGATTTTATAACTCGGAGTTACAATATTTGTTAATATCTGCTGTCCCCGTAGAAATCAACAGGCCGTACGTAGCCAGACCGCATAAAGGTCATTTCATTGCAATCCGTTCAAATCGTTAGCTACAAAATTGATTGATTAAACGAATGATACATAAATGAGAGCTAAGAAAAAAGCGCAAGAAAAAACAGAGAAATGTACTTGAAGTGGCGATTGTGTTTTCTGCTTACCAGTTATCAAGCTCTAATAGTGCGATATAAGGTGACTTGATTATGCAGATGAGAAGACCCCATTGGTTTTCCGGTAAAACAATCGAAACAGGCGGGGACAAGCTTTGTTTGAACTGTTACTATATCTAGTATTTCTTAACGTTTCGTGACCAGAAATCCACTTAACTATAGGGAATATATTCAGTATATTCGGCATTCGGTAAATAGGAAATTAGCTTTCGGTAAAATGCATTAGCTATGTCATAGAAAAATAAACCATTTGGTAAAAATAGGCAAACTTATTTCGGAAGGGTTCAAATAGAAATTCAATATTTTGCATACAATGTGTTACTCTTAAGGAATACTATAACAATTTACGCAAAAAACATATCATTTAGCGAATGAAATGTGTAATTTAATGCACTTAGTATTTAAGTGATTGGCTATTTTGAAAACTTAATTTGCTGTAACAAACATATAAACGTTTTACCGAATGGAAAAATGATTTAGCGAATATAAATATTTGATGAATCGAATTTATTTGAATTTAATGAATAAAGAAGCAAAAATAATGCCTTAGCACCCCTCTTTTTCATTGATGGGTATTTCTCTCGGCCTTGAAATTACACCAGAAAAAAAGACCATCCATAGACGACATGCAACGACATCTAATTTTCGTCGAGTGAATCATTTCCAAAAATAATCAATTTTAAGAGAAAATTGCACATAATGGTTTTGCGAGACGACCTCTATCTAACGCAAGTAAAATTCTACAAAAGAGATCGCTCAAAAATATTGAAAAATGAAACCATTTTTCTCATCAATTTTAAGACATACTTCTCATGGATCGAATCACGATTTCTTTACAGAAAATAAGACTTTGCTTTATTATGTGGTTACGACATATGTTATTTTGCTGCTGGAAAACGTTAAGTCATTCTATTCACGCACTAAAAAAACGGTACAAAATATAAGATCATGGAATTTCATCGCTTCGCCAAAAAAGTTCTACAAAATGCGTTTTTCATAATTCAACAATAATATTTTAGAATATAAAAATTCATCACACCTCCGATATTGTCTGAATTTAAGGTTGAATTTCATAATGGTCGTGTAGAAAATAAAAAAGTTGTACTCATCTAGAAAGCTCTCTCTATCGAGCCACGTCTTTTCTTTTAAATACGGTAGATTTCGACAGCAAAAAACTGAGATTTTACGGGAGTTATACCAAGAATACGGGAGATTTTACGGGAGTTATACCAGAAAACGGGAGATTTTACGGGAGTTATACCAAGAACACGGGAGATTTTACGGGAGTTATACCAGATTACGGGAGATTTTACGGCCATATTTTTAAAAAAATTACGGGAGATTTTAGTAGAAATACGGTACGGGAGTTGACGGGAGTTTTTACGGGAGAAAACGGTACGGGAGTTTGGTATTTTTTACGGAAAAACAAAAAATTTACGGGAGATTCCCGTAAAAAAACGGGAGGTTGGCAAGTCTGGTGAGTGTGGAAACTACATTCCAATACTTGTCACATCTGTTTTTCAACAAGAAACCGCAGCTTTTTAATTGATGGTAATTGCCATTACTGGCATTAATGGTAATTGAAATATTGAAGTCCAGGACTCAATGAATCCGTAGAATGTTAAATAAATTATGTCTTGTTTCCAAACTTTGAATGAGTACAAAATAAATTAGCATACCAAGATTAAGAAGAAATGAAATGACATAGGATATCACGCTGCCGAGGATGAATGAGTACATAAACTATTCTAGAACTAATTCAGGCTGAAACCATACCTTGAAGTTCCCATGGATGTAGGTATTTTGTCATGTGGTCTGAGCGGTCCTTTATATGACATTTATCCCAGTAGCGACATCTGGGAAGATCGATGCCACCATAATACCCAAGATGGAGATATTTGGCCATGTGTTCTGACTCGTTGTGGATATCACATCTTTCCCAGTACCAACATGGGGGACGTTCACTGAAATAATAAAAATGGAGTTGTTTGTAGTTTAATTTTACAAATATTATTTACTGATACAAGTACATGTATTTTAGCCACTTTACCCTCTCGACTTTCTAGATGTAACATTTTCCCTTCTGTCCACTTAATGTAGAGTGCTCGAGAACCTAAACCTGACAGACTATGTACTTTTTAAAGATTATAGTACTAATAAATGTTTTGACGTCCTTAAGAATAGACATTTCCATTAATATTCTTAATTTCATGTACATTTTCAATAACAAAACACAAATCATTGTAAATGACCATTATATGGCACCAAATATCTCCACGAAATATTGATATTAGAGGAAATAAATAATTCAATCTGAATGTTATATACCTGTAGTTAATGTGAGGAGGTATATCTGAACTATGAATGTGTCCAAGTCTGTGATCTTCAGAAAAGTCATCACAATATTCAAAGTCACGACAGCAAACTCTAAGAATAACCTTATCAGCTGTACTGACAGAAGCAGCAATAGCCGAGTCTTCCAAATTCTTGTCATCATCTATTAAATGAAAATACTATCGTAAATACAGAGTAGGCAATAAAATGGAACACTTTGTATCATTCTTAGCATTTAGGACCACGCAGATAATGCGTTATTTCTCAAACGATGGGGAATTCATTTGGCTTTAATAAGATGTAGCATTATAAAACTTATCTTCACTATTGTTGAAATTTTGATCGTTTTTGATTGTGATGTCACAATTCACAATAACAGATTTTACAATCTAATAATGAGGAATTCCATACGAAAGATGTTTAATAAGTCTGCCTCTACCTGATATAATAGCTCCAAATTCAAAAAAGTCATTAGTCATTCTAGCCTCAATTCGTTTGGATGTTGAAAGCATAATCAGCTTTAATAACATTATAATGTAGCTCCATTTTTGCAAGCTGATTTTCAGTTATTTTAAATATTAAATGTTAGTTTCTATAATAAGAAATCACATGTTGGCACAATTTTAATCTTAACATAAAAAAGATCGACAAGGCTATAGATAACAATGATATTTTGGCAAGTTATGCGTATTATGATTGAAAAATTAGAAAGAATTGTACCTAAGATTATAGGAATTTTGAAAAATTCTGCTATTTCTATAGCTGTTTTTTGAACCTTTTTTTTTATCTTTTTTTTAATTACGGTAAAAAATTGTAATTTTCTTTTATTGATAGAGTGTTCAATGAAGCGAACCCCAAGAAAATAATTCTAAAGGGACCACGGAAGGTATCGCAACAGATTTCAGATAGTCATATTTTGTTTTTTGGTTATTTTCTGAGGATTTGAACAGGTACATATGTTAGGTTGAATTAACTCCAGGAAAAGTACTCAAATAGATAAAATAATTAAGACTTTGACACAGGGAATGTGCTTTTTTCTAAAATGTTGGCTTGATTTTCAGTCCTTTCCACTATCATCTCTATGAGTACTTTTCCTGGAGTTAATGCATAGGCCTAATATAAACTATGTACCTGTTCAAATCCTCAGAAAATAGCCAAAAGCCAACACACGACTGTCTGAAAGCTTTTGCGATACCTTTTGTGGTCCCTTTATAATTATTTTCTTGGGGTTTCGCTTCATTGAACACTCTATCGATAAAAGAAAATTACATTTTTTTACCGTAATTGAAAAAGGTATTAAAAAAAATTAGGTTGCATTTCTTTGGGTCACCCTTAGTCTAGATTTGATGCTGCTCTCTCTTTTGCACCAGCTTTAATATTCGACGATTTGGATTATCACACTTTTGCACGGATATATTGATAATGTTAAATGTATGTAGCATTTACCTTCGTCATCTTCTTTGTCATCATCTCCACTGCTAGCTGTGACGTAATCAAACAAAGCACTCTGATATTTGTTGGCATCTTGTACACTAACAGCAAGTTCCTGATCGGGATCAATTCGGGTTTGTTTGTAATTAAACGGTTTCCTGCCATCTCTCATCTCCCACTGTCCTTGGATTTGCTTAGGATTACTGAATTCCTCGTTAGTAAACACCTGATGCAAGGCATCTTTCAAACCACGAATCGTTGGGCAATGGACATAATTAGGTATACCGTAGAATTGTACTTTAAGTCCTACTTGACCCGTACCAATTGCCCAACATTGTACCCCTCTGGATTGTGCATATCTGCTAAAAGCTGCTCTCTGTCCTGCTGAATAACTCCCCATGCCATCATCTGTGAATACGAGCATATAGCATGGATCTGTCTGAGATATGTGCCTATCTTCCAATATCAGGTTCAACGATGTATTTAATGCTAGGATATCAGCACTTGTTGGAGTCTCAAAATCATCATTAGCGCAAGAAAAATTTGTAAATTCAGACAACAGACGAGCTTTGTCTTCATCGCTCCATATCGGGCTGCCTTTTTTCACAACGGTGACTTCATCACCAAAAGTCACGCATGAGGTAGAAACATGTACCCTTTCCAAGGCACAAACACACGCTATTATAGCACACAGAATCTCTGGGCGCATTGTTAGTGTTTTCTGGGTAAGGGCTATAACTATTCCAACTCCCATTCGAGTTCGACCACCCCTATTCTTTTGAAGCCATATATCTGTACTCGTCCCATTGGTTATATACCAATTGATTAGACCTTTAACGCTAAGGCTTTTCCCTCTTGATGACGTTGAGTAACGCGTCCATACATTAGCTGGAATGGCACTAAACGATGTGATAATTTCGTCAATTGTGCCTTGCATGTTGCTTTTCATCAGTTCAAATATTGATCTGGTTTCTTTTGTAAGTCCTGTCTGTATTGCTACTTCAAGGTTCAGAGGAAGATTTATGACATCATCGTGGAACTCCTTCCCGAGAGACACAGTGCATTTCCTCTTTTCCCCGAATATATCAGTGACTTTTGTGTCAACGCCCAATGAACACCACTTGAGTAAAACATCATCGTTTATAGGTAGACATGTTGATTTGTAGCGATGGTTTTTCGTCTTCACTCGCTCATTTGGGAAATTGAATCTGAACATGGTAAAATCAACTCTCTCACCTACACTCACCCAGTGTAAATCATCTGGATTGTCTTTGTTCAAATGGGTGAACTCAATACCACGTTTCAATAGCCTGATGATCATAATATGTTGATGCAGAATTTCTTCCCATGCACTCTCTGTAAATGTTTTAACAGAGTCAGTTATGAGGATTGACCACTTAAAATTGGAACATCTCTTTATCATTCTATCACCGCCCTTGTTTTTTATGTTGGCATAGTCGCCACGAAGCTGCAATATACTCTTCCAAGAACTTGCTGTCCACATGTCGTTCCAAGCTTTAAGTATAATTGGCAATTTCTGTTTTTTATCGTGTTCTTTGTCAATGGTAAACAGTCTATTACCAGTAAGAACAACTTCAACATTGTTTGGATTAGAATTTCCACCATTTGTTGCTACCTCTATAAGTACAAATAGTAGTTCATCTACACCGTGCATCTCAAGAATGTTGCTATCAATGAGAATACTGCCATACGAGTCATCTCTGTGTGCTGTTACGTTTTCAAAATCCTGCATTTCATCATTGAAAATATGCGATTTTATTGCCTGCAAAAGGGGCAATGTTGATTCCAAATATTCATTGAAAACGCTGGTTTCTGATGAATCCCATTGTATGGTCTTGGCAATAACATCTCTCTGACTTGCTGTCGCCTGATTACAGTTCTGCATTCTATCATCTTTATTGACTGCATTTTTACGATAATGATTGATACTAGATTGCTTTTCAAAATCGTAATATTTTGGCTGTTCGTCCACTTCATTGTCAGAGCCATTAATTGATCCAACTTTCAAAAGATCATCATCAGTACTTGTATTGTGATATGTTTCCTTTTGGTCATCTTGAGGAAATGGATCATTTAAGCTATCACCATTATTCATTGTGTCAAGCAAAGGTTTGCTAAGACCTCTATCAAACTTTTCATTTCCTCCCTTGAAAGGCATTTCATCCGCGTGACTTGAAGTAGTCTTCGTCCCAAAATTCCAAGTATTGCTCTGCAATATATCCTCAAAATGAGTAAATTTGGCATGAGGTTGCTCTACTACATTTTGCATATTGCTTGCTTGCAGGGAGTTCTCTGAGTATTGTGCTTGATCGACAACAACTTGCAGTTGTTTGTTTATTGATGCACCTGTTTTTCCGTCAGGGATCGATCCCTCTTCTCTGTTATCTTTTACAAACGTCGGCACAACAGTTTGCTCATATTCATCATCCTCACTGTCATGGTGTGGAAATTCAATTCGGGTTTCTGATCCACTTTTATCACCTGAAATTATGAGGCCACTCTGATTTTTTACATAAACCGTTTTTGGTTGGAGTTTTGGCGAGTAATATGCAGCTTTCATATTCTCAAGTTGGCTGTCATACAAATCATGTGATTCTTCTTCATTATAAGAATCCATCGTCGATCTTTCATTCTTTGTGAGATCAAGGGAATCTTGTCTGCTAAGTATGTCCGGATGAAACATGTTTTCAAAGTTGGGTTCGTCCTGTACATTGGTTTCGTCCTTTTCAATACGTATATGGCTAGATATGGCAGGATATTGAGATTTGTCTTGTTCGGCTTCCCCAGAGCCTTCTTCTTTGTATTCCATATTTTCCCCTCCATCTAACTCAATGTATTTTTCCGATTTAGGACCGCTGTCAACACCTTGTTGACTTTCCACATCTGACTGGCGTGAATAAGTACATTCAGTTATCTCCACATTATGACTTGACTTGTCATCGTTTGCATTTTCCAGCGTAATTTCTTCATCACCTAATTTCATGTCAGTATAAACATATTCGCCGTTCTCTATTTTATCAATGAGTCCCTTGTCCGTATTTGTTCTTTCTGTGTTTCCTTGATCGTTCCAAATGAGAATCGATAAATTCATATTATCATCATCTGTTTCAAGAGCAGAAGTGTTTCGATCTATGGCACTTGGCCCCTGATTTACATTTTCAATATTACATCCGTTTGCCCAAGCAGGTAATGTTGCATCATTCCATTCATCATCATCGATATTTTGATCATCATCACATTTTCCTTGATTTGTTGAATCTATGGGTTCACTCTGATGCTCCATATTATCCAAATGCCGTCCTGAAACCTCATCGCTGTGTCCAGGCAATTGCATGTCAGTTGATGGGTTGGCTCTATGCTCCCCGTTGTGTTGCTCCTGTGATTGCGATGATATATCAGGGCTTGTTTTTTGCTTACCTAGCGATGGTTCATCTTCTTGTCTTTGGTTCTCTTTATTTGGAGATGCTTCGTCATCATCATGGATTGTATCTTCATTTTTTGGTGATGATTCATCATTGTTTGGATAGTGATTATCTGCTGCTGATCCATTACCTTGTACTGGTGATGAATGATCACAAGATGTAATGTTGTCTGTATCTGGCATTGGTTCATTATTATGTCTCTCATTCTCATTATTTAGATCCTGATTATCTTGTGATTGACATGTTGAACTACGTTTTGATGCTACTCCATTACCATATGGCGACGGGTCGCAATCGTCTTGTGGAGTATCTTGCTTATTTTGCAATTCATCATAATCATCATTATTTGTTTGATTATCTTCATTTAGAGATGCTTCGTCATCCTTCGTTACGTCTTTAGTTATGTAAACAGTGCTTGGACAGTGCTTATCCGAAGCTTCCTCCTCACTATTTGGAAAAGGTCCACCATCACTTTGTTTAGTATTTTGTTTATCCAGCAATGGCTCATCATAATGTCTTTGATTCTCTTTATTTTCAGATGATTGGCCATCTTGAGTTTGGTCTTCATTTCTTTCTTGCGATGGTTCATTATTTCTTTGCTTATTCTTATTTGGAGATACATCATCACCACCTTGAATTTGTTCTGGAGTTTCTAGAGAGGGCCCACTGTTGTCTGACAGATTCTGTTTACCTGACGCACCTTCATTACCATGTGGTGATGGTTCTCTCTTCTGAACAGTATTTTGCTGAGCCGGTACTTGTTCATCATTTTGCCTTTCTTCCTCTTTATTTGGCAATGGTTCCTCGTCGTAAGTTGGATTCTGCTTATTCAGCGATGGATCATCATTGTGTGATTTTGTATCATGATCATGATTTTGTTTATCTGGCAATTTTACACCATCTTGTGAAGTATCCTGTTTATCTGGCGATGGTTCAGATTTATGTTTGTTTTGGTCGTTTGATGACGCTTGATTGTCACTCTGAGTTGCATCTGGTGGGGAAGGTACATGTATACCTCTCAGCTTATCTAAATAATGTTTTGCTTTATTTGTTGAATCTACACGACCATCATTTTCCGCATTCTCCACTGCACTTTTCAAGTCTCCAGTCTTTTTAATAAATCTTTTGACTTCTTCAGAGTCAGTCTCATTTGCTGTTGGTTGCTCTTCAACCTGTTCCTTTCCAACTTCTGCAACAGCTTCATCACTTACATATTGCATGCCTAATGTTTTCTTTGTTACATCTTCTAATGCACCTTTGCTTCCAAGATTTACTTTAAAACTTCCTGCAATATCCTTGCCAACAAGGCAGACGTCATATTGGCATTGGATCATGAAAACATGTTCCGTTTCTGTAGTTCCACTGATATCAAATCTACGTATAGAACACAATTTTCGCGATGCTTCATTGAGCAGTTTATTTATACATTTGGTTACCCATTGGATCATCTCCGTGCCTTTGCGAATAATATGGACAATTGCTCTCCCCAGTTTCACAATCCAAGAGCACAAGTTCAAAAACCATTTTGCAACCTTACTATCAGATTCCTGTTCTTTTTTCTTTAGCTCACTTATCGCTTCATCCATTTTATTCTCTAGATCCTCGAGAACTTTTCTTGCCCCTTCTGCCACGCCATTGATAAAGTTACAAAGAACAGCGCCGTCCAGATCCCTAATACCGGCATGTATGTCTATCATGGTGGGCCTCCCAATTCTGAACCCTATTTTCCCCTTTACTGTAAGTCCAAAGAGTAGTTTTAACTCAACATCTACGGTAAATAACCGATTTGCAATGTCCAGTAAAACCTTTGCGCTTACTGTCAAGAAGAGGAACCTCAGGCTAACATTCATTTGAAATTCTGCACTGAGTGCCTTTGTATCTATATCAAGAAACAGGTATGGCCCAGTGTTTTTGTCATCCTTAGCAGTTAAGTCCAACATACCCAATATTTTCAATGGTTTGTCTATCTTTCCCCCAAATTCTAGTTTTGGTACGCATGATTGAATAGAGAAACCACCCCATATGGTAACATCCACACCAAACCAAGAGGCTGATATGTCAAACTTAATACATGGTCCAGCAACTGATATGCTCTCGACATGTGTTTCGTCATTCTGAGTTTCGACAAGACTTTTTGTCTTACCTTTAATGCGTGAAAGTTTTGACCTATCAGGAAAATCAACATCATCCATTGATGTTCCCAGTGATAAAATGAGGAGATGCAAATGGTTCAGCCTCGGTAATAAGGTGTCTAAGCAGTCTAAATCACATCCAACATTTCCTGTTATCATCCCAATCACACGTGACCATGACAGGTTTTTCAGCATGAAGTATATGGCCCTTGGCCTTATTCCCAGCATCTGGAGTTTGATCTCAATATCAATGTCAAACAGTGTTCCTGCTGCATCAAGCTTGATATGGGGTATGCCACCTTTATATATCATCTCTAAACCCAATGTTACAGACTTGATTGTTAGGAATCTTAGTCCAAAAGGTGTTGGCCAAGCTGGATCATCTTTTGTTTTACCTTCGAATACAATATTTGCAGATAAAGTCTTGCTGGTTGTATTTATTTTTAATGATCCACCAAACTCAGCAGGATGAAAATCTGTGCATTCCAGATTAGTTGGGAGTTCAAACGTTGTTTTGATGTTGAAACTTAGGAATTTCTTCTCTAAAGTCAATTCGGCTTTTAAGACAACCCCACTAATGGTAAACCCCCCAAATGGAACTGCAAGTTGTACACCTTGTTTGCTGACAACAATTGTTGCAGAAAATGCTTTACCATCTACGTCAAGGATGACATAGGGAAATGTTTCTGGCATAGTAGCTGTTGCACTCACTGCGACCATAGGGGCAGTTAGCTTTGTATTGTCAAAGTTACTTGCAAACAGCTTTTTTCCAGTAGTTTCTTCTAGTTCTGTCAGATTCTTCCTAAGTGATGAGTCAGTTTTATGCTTCGATGCAGCAGTGACTATGATATCACTAAATCTTGGCATAAATGGCAGGCTGTCAAAAAATGACAACTCATCCCAAATATTTTGCCATTTGATAATACCATTGTATCTGAGCATGAACACTATTTCCACATTTCCTTTTTTCTTTGCTATAACTCCAACTTCGAGTGACTCCATTTCTGAATGAAGTAATAGTTTCTTTCTTTTTGGGTACAGTTTCAGAACAGCAGCACTTCCATTCAAAGAGACCTGACCAACATTTTCTGACAACCCACAAATATCGACTTCCATGTTCACTGGAGTGAATGCCCCAACAAGTTGCTTTAACCCGAATGTAATTGCTTCAGATGGACTAATCAGTTGATTTGGCGTGCCAATGTGCAAGGAAAGTTCAGCCTTTTTGAAATTTATCTCAACCAAGGCTCGGATGCTAAAGATATCAATGGCACAGAAACATCTCCAATCATATTTCCCTTCTTTTTGTGTTCCTACGATGCCAAATTCAGTCAGGTGAATGATATCAAATATGTTCAGTGTTGGTTCAAATCGAGCAACTGTTTCCACATCAAACGCTACTATTTCTTTTTTGTTATTCCACTGCAAATTCATGAACATTCGTTTGAAACGAAGGTCAACTGGAAGTTCCATGTCTTTCATATCAGCTGCAAGTTGCCCAAATGCAAAAGCATTTACCACATCTGATAAACCATAGTCTACATCTTGTTTTGGAATCTCTGCTGTCCATACATTGCGTTTAGGCAAAGTGAATTTACATTTTCTCAATGTGAGTCTCTGTGTATGCATGTTGCCAACACAAACATCAAACATGGCATAAGAGTTAGGAAAGGCATCTGCTATTGGGTCTTTTGCTCCTACTTCTGCTTGTTTCTCATACTTGAGATGAAGGATAATATTCTCAAGAGAAACCGAGACAGGTTTTGGTATGAGGGCCAGTTTGTTCAGCCCTATGTAGCAATAAATCTTATCCGGTATACCGAATGCTTTCCATTTCAGATCCAAGGCAAATCCAGTAATTTCTAGACCAATATCAGGAACGTGCATTTGGCTTTGGAGTAATTGGTCTGCAAATTTCTGTAGGTTTATCGGGCTTTTTAATGGTACTGGTAATGGTGACTCATTCAATAAAGTATCTTTGGGGAGGGAAAGCTGCCATCTATAATCTCCAGTTCCTTTCTCTTTGAAGGACAGCGGTATATGGAATTGACCTACGTGTTGGTCATTGACCTCAAGACAGCCGGTAATGTGAGAATCACTCCATGACCCATTTTTGAATACAATTTTTGTATCCACATTGGTCAGTCTGATCACATTTGTATATGGTAATTTTATCTTGTCTATGGTGAGATTAACATTGAGGTGCTTAGACTGGCCTATTTGAGTATATTCTACCGCCAAGTTAGTGAAGTTAACATCTGAAAAAACTGGGGTATCTTTCAAATCTGATGGAATTCCTAGAACACTTAGCAGAGCTGTAAGCAAATCTCCAATACTGAAGTTACCAACAGAGCAAGCTGTTATTGATAAATCGAGCTGTTTGCCTGTTGTTTTGTCCAACGTGCCTGTATAGTGTATAGGAACAAGGTTGAACAGTGAAATATTGCCAGATATGCTGATTTTCAGACGTTGTGGGTATGTACCCTCTATTGAAAGACACGTGTTCTTTAGCTCGATGTTCAAAGTGTCGACTCCTATTTTGAATTGAGGAACAGTGAATTTAACCCAAATTGATTTGTTAAATGGTTCAAGTAGGACATATGTGAGTTCTGTTGTTTCAAGATCCAAAAAGGAAGGTAAATCATCAATTGTTAGTAGTTGGGCGAGAGCATCATTGAGTCGTATCTGCATAGTGTGCTTTTGGTTGGGTACGAGGCGTGTATGTTCACTCCATGTTAGTTTCAACTTGGACAAGTCGGTGCCTTTGAGAAGACATTTGTATCCAAATATCTCAAAAGGTACCAAATATACCAGGCTTACTTTAGAATCTTCCCTAAGTTGTATCCTGGTACAAATGCCGATTACTTTGAACACATCAAGTATATTCAGCCAAGAGATTTTTGCAAGAATCTCAAGATCAAACACTTTGATTTCTTTTTTCAGTGTCCATTGTAGATCCAAAGCGAGTTCTGTAAAGACGGCTACCTCTGGGATTAATGTATTTATTGGGTTAACATCAACTCCAAAAACTTGCAAGATGATTGCTACAGCATCGGTGATTTTAAGGTTGATGCCTTGTTTCGGAATTGATACAGACCACAAAGTGTCCTCACTCAGAGGTAATTCAACCTTACAGCAGGTTAGCATTAACGATGGTGACTTTCCTAGCTCTAATGTCATTTCAATTGGAATGTTTTCGAAAATTAGGTTCCATATTGATCTAGATTGATCAGTCACCTTTGGTTTCCTTGCTTCTGTTGATATTGTAATATCACTGAATTGGATGGCATTTGATAGTTTGAATCGCTTTAGACTGAAGCAGAAGTACAGGTATTCTGGTTTAAAAAATGATTTCCAGGTCAATGCAACTTTACACCCTTCTATCACAATTCCTAAATCAGGTATCTTGAACCCCAAAAGTTTTGACATGAGTAATGAGACATCTATTGGAGAGGTTAACTTTTCAGGAACTGTAGACTGAATACAACTTGCAGTATCCATACACATCGGAATCGTCAGTTGCCAGTTTCGGGGATACATTTTGTCTTGTTTAATCGAACCCGCTCGTGTGCATATGGAACCTGCTCCGTCATGGTAACAGAGGGGAATGCAAAATGTTGGTAATCTATAATCCCCTAGAAGTACGCCTCCTGACACCTCACTTCCGCACCATTTTGTTTCTCCAGATTTTACAGTACATACTACCTTTAGTTTTCCATCGATGAGTTGTAGTTGATCAGTTAATTGGGTTTTGATTGGATCTAGTACAACCTCAAGGTCCAAATAGAGATCTTTGTTCTTCAATATAAGTTGAATCTCTACTTTTGTTACAGTTATCTCTGGAAATATAGGCGCAGTTTCATGCATACCAATTTTATCACCTATAAGTCCGAGTATACTTTGGGATGTAAAGTGATCACTGGAGTGTGAAGCTATAACACATTCCATACTGCGAGCTCCTGCAGTCAACTTTGCAATATAATGCATCTCAGGAAAGGTAAATGCATTCAAACTTCCCGAAAGCTCCATAGAAACACTTTTAGTGTATGTCCCCTCGATTGCAAAAGTAGTATTTCGGATTTCTATATCTCCCAGCGGAGTCTGTAATTTGAAATCAGAGACATTGAACACTACTTTAATGAAGTTTCTTGCTGGTTCCAATTCTGCTGTTTCTATACCTAAAACTTTCACTGCCTCTGGTAGACAATCAATCGATTCTACACCCAATGCCTTGGTTACGATTTTTCCAAATGTCATGTCTTGTGACAATTTGGCTTTTGTGCAAGAGAAAGTAATGTTTTCACATGGAAGTGTGAGTGACAGACTTGGGAGGGCTACACCAAACAGTTTCAATTTTCCAGATATTTGAATAGTAATGCCGACATCATTTGTCATTTCAATGACTGCCCTCAAACCAGACAGTTCAATGATTCCTTCGGAAACTGGCCAGTTTTCCATCTCGAGGCGTATGCATGCCTCCATTATATCCTCAGAATAATACAAACGTTCACAATGTACTTCAATGACCTGGTCGGTTTCAAACCATGTAACAGAATGTGATTCATTTGGTATTGAACCAAGACATCCTTCTATTACATCTGTAAAGGTGGTTTTGCACTTGTGGTTTGGAACTGAAAACGTGAGGGAGCCAACTGATGCTGCAATTGCGATATCCTTCTTTGAAAGGATACTTGCAGTTCCACTAAGCGTTCCAAAAGGTTCAGCTTTACTTATTTCTAAGTTGACCAAGGTAATTTCGAAAATAGGCAGGACTTTCCAATTTCCTTCAATGCAAATGCTCATTTTGGCTTCTTCTGTGCCTTCTATGCTCAGTGACAAGTCATGTAGTTTTGCGTCAGTATCGAGTATTTGGATATCACATTTGAAATATTTACAGAATGTATGGAACAATCTCGATTCGGCCCCAGTGTTACAAAGTCTCCACTGCACCATATTTGTAGTCTCTGTTGGATAATTCATTTCCATTGGCACAGATTCTTCAGAAAGCATGTGCTTGAAGATAGCTTTCAACCTTGCTGATGTAACTTTGTCACGATGGAATTGCACATATCCATGTAGGTCACCTAATTTGCAAGGTAACCCAAATACATTATTCCAGTTGACACCTTTACCTTTTCGTAGTGATATGTTAATGCTCGAGAATCCATCCTTATCTGCGATAAGTTTTACTCCAAGATTCGGAATGTGTATCGAATCTGGAATATATTCAGCATGTGATAATGGAAGAACATCCTTCAAGCATGATGCTAAACTACTTCCTCCGTCCCATTCAAAGATGTATTGGCCATCCTGTTCGCTTGTCAAAGTAATGGTATTGAATATTGAATTCGAAAGGTGCATTTTGCCCTTTACAGACCAAAAAATGGTACGCCTTTCCCATCGTATGTATAATGTTATGTCCTGGATAGTAATGCTACTTTTTGTTCTTATCAGTGTAAATGGATCCGATTCTTTCATATAGCATTGAACCACATCTTCCTTTAAAAGTACACTAAGTTCTACACATCTGAAGGTTACCTCTTGCATGAATGATTCACTGAAAACCCAATCATGCCCCTTTGCTGTTGAGTTAAGGAGAAGATTTGCTAGACTAATGGGAAGCGCAGTACTTGGCTTCCATATATTTAATTGCATCTCTCCTTCCTTGACCATTGCTTTCCAAACCATGCAGAAAGAGTCTGTTATACCTGTTAAGGCTATTGTTCCTGAAAAACTACAGCGCAGTTTGGAATCTGTTAGCTCAATGCGCACCATATCAACCTGTAATATACTGCCAAGGACATGTTTCACTATTTCGGGTGCTATTGAGCCAGAGCAATACAGATTAAAATGCCTGATTCTACATTATGCAATAGCTTTTTCACTTCTGCTATAGATGTTTGAGAAACAGTTAACAAATCATCTCCGAGAAATTCTATAACAATATCAATTGTGTGTGCCAGATGAATATGTCTTTCCTTTAGATGTAAAAGAATTGACTTTAGGTCAGCAGGTATATCAGGTGGCGTTTCTGTATCTCTTCCCCTAAGTCGAGTAGATACAATAGGTGGCGCTGTACTCAAAGGCTTGGCTTCTCGATCTCTGGTAGACAGATATTTACCATAGTCTTGATCACAGAATGGCTGTCCAATTTCCAGAAGATCGTTTCCTAATTCAACCCCCAATGCAGCAGCTCCGTATGCTTCTTCTAGACCCTCTGCAATGATGTCCGTCGCATTTACCGTATCAAACAGTCGTTGAATGTTTCTGTAACTTAATTTGTATCCACAGATACCTATTTTATTTTCGTTCTCATAGTAAGATCGTAGCCGCTCGTGTACAGTTTTGACTTTGTCGCCGAGATCTATTGCTCTTGGGTTACATAATTCATTTTCTTCAATACCGTTCAATAAGCCAGTGATATCGGATGCATCAGCAGTGTCTTCAAGTTTGTCAATGTATATTTCTATAAATCTATTCCTAAATGGCTCTGAGAGTGGAAACCTTCCATCACGAGTTGAGTTGGCAGTGCAAATAAGGTAAAATCCTTCATTTGGGGTATGCTTCTGTATATTATTTTCACTTTCCCCATTTATTTCAAGTGTGAAAAGGCATGCATCCCTTTCTACAAGAGAATTGATTCTCTCTACCACTTCTGGTCTGGCAAGATCTACGTTATCTAACAATATCCAACTGCCCTCACGCATAGCATCAATGATTGGGCCGGGAATAAACCTGAACCCTGTTACAAATGCAGATTTTTCGAGATTGGATTCTCTATCCAAAAGGTGTTGAATCTGTTGGATTAATGCAACACTTTCTCTGCTGTCATTAACTAATGTACTAGCGACTTCGTTTATATGACCACATTCTAGTCTGTCGATCACATATTGCACACATTTTACAGGTATTGCTTGAATTAATGTATTTGCCAGCTTTTGGATCTGCCTTCGAAATGAATTATCTAGATATTCTGGATTTACTGGTGCAAATCCTCCAATTAGGTCATTGATCTCCATGTCAGCATTCATAGCTATTGTGTAAAGTCGTTTGTTTTTCAGTCTGGCTAGTTCTTGAACTATGGTAGTTTTCCCCGAAACTGGTGGTCCAGTCAATATCACTGCACATTGACTATTTACAGCTATGTTTACAAGATCTAATCTTCGAACAAATTCGTTAGTATATGTTAGTCGATGATGATCGGGAATACTCGAGCCTTTCAGCTCCTCTTTAGTTGTGTGCTCTGTTTTGAATTGATTGGCATGTTGTGGTTTATGTTTTGTTTCTTCGCACCAATAAAGCACACCCGATTCAGACTTCACTTTAATGTGTTGACTAACATCTTCCTGGATCTTGAAGGTCTTACGAATAAACTCTTTTGCAAGCTGTTTGTTGCTCATGTTGCTGAATCGTTCAGCATAAACTAAACATAATGCCTTCACAATCAACATCGGAGAATATTCATCAGAAGGAGCTACTTTGGAGGTCATGGAAGCATAAATTGCACTAACCTTTTCTATATCCCTCAGATTGAACGACACGTTGCATTTCTCATCGTGTGTGTTGCTAGCTTGAATTTTGGTAATGAGTCCAAAATGAGTTTGAATGACATTTTCTGTGTCCAATTTGAATACTTCATGGTACCTTTGTCGAATGATTGTTTTGATTTCGTCATCAGTAAGACATTGGAGACTGACGGTGGTAAGATGCTTCATGAGAGATGGGTGTAAGTCCTGGCGCCCACCCCCAACACTCGGTGGATTCATAGCACAAATGAACTGCACCTAAATAGGCAAGTAAAAACAACTGAACAATGCCATACACGATCCTTACACTAATGCTGAATTGCAAACTGACACACAGTGGCTTGTTGAAAGCCACCTCAACTCAAAGGGTTGTATAACTGATTTCGCACTTCTTAAGCTAGACGAATGAATATAATATAACTAGAAATCGGTTATATTTACCATCTACTCAACCTTTGATTAAATTAATTTGACAGATATTGAAATATATAAGCACAAATGCCAAAGGGAAGGGTGACTAAAAACTTTAAAGAAACCCATCAAGAAAAGCAAACTGTAAGTGTAGATCTGTCATAAGAAAAGTAGACCCTATATCCCAAAACCATAATCTAACGTGAAAAGAAACAATGTCTAACATCCCCCTCCCCCTCCAATCGAGAACCAATATCACAATCCAGGACCAGAACACCAAGGGACATTTCATTCATACAGAAGTCATTACAATACATGTTGAAGAAAAATTGATAGCCAATACTCATAACATCAAAAATAGTTGTAGATACTAGTACTCATAAAAGATAGATGTATATCAGGATTTTTCACCAAATGATAAGGTTTCCAATTAGGAGTTTCATAGTGTAGTACAGGGTGACCCAAAAAATGCAACCCTTCATTTCGTCAATATCTTTCTTAAATGGAGGTGAATTGCTCTGAGATTTAGCACACAAGGACTTCATTCTATGTGGGATCCTTTGGCAAAGTTTTAATAATCATAGTCTTATATTGATAGAGTTATGGTTGTTTCAAAATATGCTCCAGATGTCGTCAATTTCCCTGAAAACAAACTTGCAATGTTCAAGGAAAACTGTTCATAACATGTATGCATTCTTCCCCATGGATATGGCTCAAATTTTTGCAGCCATTGCTTATTGGAGTTCTGCAATTGCGGTAGGGTTATTTTCATACACATTAACCTTTAAATAACCCCGTATATAGAAGTCAGAGGCATTGAGATCAAGACTGTGGGATGACCATGGGTCCTCCATCCTAGGAGAGATAATCTTCTCATAGAAATGACTAGTGAGCCAGACTATGCTATCATTAAAAGTGTGAGGAGTAGCTCCATCCTTCTAGAACCACTGTTCTTGTCTATTGAAGCCTCTGTGTCACTCTAAAACTGCCTGGGAACGCCAATATTAAGCTGTGTGTTAACAGTAACAGTGTTGCCATTATCAACCTCAAACCAAAAGGGGCTGATGATTTCATGTTTGGAAATTGGCAGCCCAAGCTGTGCATTTAACAGAATGTAGGGGCCTGTGAAGCACTTTATCTGGAATTTGTGATCCCAGAACACATTATTTCTTGAGTTTACATGTTCAGAAAGAAGGGAATGTGACTCATCCGAAAACCTAACATTGGAAATGGACGACATTTGGAGCATATTTTGGAACGACCATAACTCTATCAATATAAGACTATGATTATTGAAACTTTGCCAGAGGATCCCACATTGTATGAAGTCCTTGTGTGCCAAATTTCAGAGCAATTAAACTCCATTTAAGAAAAATATACAAGAAATAGAGGGTTGCATTTTTTTGGGTCACCCTGTATAATGTAACCATAATTTGAAGAGACATCTAAATAATAACGAATTCCTGCTTTAGACAGACAATTTGAATATTTTTTAGTGATATTTACTGAATAAAATAAACAAATTCAGAGTAGAGAAACAGGTATTGACTTCAAAGGTAATATTTTCAGAGATTTTGTCATTTCACTTTGAATAATTCATTAGACATTGATGTTCTGCATTGCTTAGCTTTGAAGGAAAACTTTTTTAACCGTGTTCCTGATAACCTGATCCTCTAACTATTTATTCAAAACTCGGGGCAGTATTTATGATGAACGATGTTATTGTAGGTTAAGCTACAATTACCTTTTCAGTGCTGTACTCATTGCCATGTATGATGTATGGTTTCTCCCGCGGATGCTTCAAGATACCTACAACATAATTCCAGACAGGTATTAATATTTATCTTTTTATCATTTTATATTCCATAAACGAAGACAAAGATTATCACTACAAGGGGAAAATAGTGATCACCGGAAACTGCTTCAACAAAAACAAAAACAGGTGTCAATTGTTCTTTACGTCAGAGCAGTTATAAAAAATACAATTCAATAATCGCTTATACCTCAAAATGAATTTTATTCATAATAGAATGTGTTTAATACATAACTTACCGATTAGGGTACTTAATACATCGGATGGTGCCAAGTTAATTTCATCCAGAAGCACAACACAGCCTTCGTTCATCCCCATTGCTTTGGCAAGAGCACCTTCCTCATAACGGAACATCATTTTGTTTCCATCAAGACATGGTGTAAATGTTCCAAATAGATCGTCAGCTGATAGGCAACTGGAGCATGATATTCGTATAAATTGCCTTTTTAAAACGTGCCTCGCAAACACTTCTGTAATCTTTGATTTTCCTACGCCAGGGGGGCCAAGTAGATTCATCACGTGACCTGTGTAGTGCCCTATCAACAACTTTGACACTATATTCAGAACATTATCTGTTACTACCAAATCTTCCTCAACCCTGGATGGTTCGTTTGGCAATATAACGCCCGATGCTCTTAAGTACCAACAACTCGATTCATCATCGTGTACTAGCATGTCATTAGAACCCTCAAGTGCCATTTCGTTGCTTGATGACCTATCATGGAATAATATCTGGTTTCCCATTTTCAGTTTTTCATCGAGATTTTCATCAAATGTGGCGATGTTGCAAAAATGGGTCCATTTTATCAGATCATTTACTGTCACGTCCCTATATCTGGTGAAGTAGTTTTCTTTGTAACTTTGGATCACTCTCTTGCTCTCATCTTCTGTGGTCAGTTTATCTCTCTGTACCAAAATATCTGCGAGGAACTGGTCTACTTCCGCACTTCGATAGTCTGGAGCTTCTACAGATATAAATGTATATCTTGATCGCAAAGCAGGAGATACTGGTCGTAACATGGGTTTACTGATTGTTGCTACAATATATAGATTTTCATGTACTACCACTGGCATTTTTACAGAGTTTGGATGGGTAAAAACTGGTTCCAGTTCCGTAATAGAGTTGAGACACTCCACAACAGCTTGGTCTGGAAGGTTGATATCTTTAAGCAAGGCGATGCCACCGAACCTTATATTTTGCAGCAATCCACGCTCACAGAAAGGAAACCCTTGCCCATTCTTCATTTCATTCTTTAACTGGTCCAAAATGTCCACTGCAAATATGCAAAGGGGTATCAGTTTATCTGGAGCGTTATCCTGTAGTCCTATAAGTATTTCGACCAACTTACTCTCGTCACAGTCACGACTTATGTTGTATTCTCGTTTTACACACCCCACGAAGTTGCAATAGAAGTCAATGACATCATGTACACCTTTACTGGTTGGTTGCTTAACCATAAATGTCGAACATTCGTTTTGTAGTAAATGCGCCATCTGATAAGCATATCGGTTTGTGTATGACTGACCAGAGTGTGGTTCGATTGATCCTACAAGGTCGCTTATTCCAGTCAAACTTGACATGTAAACTGAATTAACAGACATTGTTTCATGCACACGTAAGTCGACCATGCTGGCAAAACGTAGGACAGAGGTACTCTTAAAGCTAGTTGGACCTTCAATGACGATAGGTTCGTGGTACATAAGCGCAATTGCTACCTTACATATCAGTAGGTTCTCTCCCGGAAGAACAGGATCAAGCAAAGCAGTAGTTTTTGCTGGCCATGAAGCTTCTAGGAAGACCTTTGGCTTCTTTTTGAAGCAAAGTTTAAAATTCCATTTGTGGTTTTCAAAAGTTATAACAGGTATCAGGACATTCTCCTTCATCTGCTCCGACTGACAGTTGAACAATACGTTGATGTGCAATGCTATGAATTCCTTCCATTTAGATTTCCTCTGATAAATGTGTCCTCTTTGAATGAGTCGTTGCATTAGTTTCAAGTAGTGCCGAAGTGTTGGTGTTGGTGATATTCCGGCATTCATGACTTCTTGCACCACGTGTTGCATCCGTTTGTGTAGCTCTTCTTTTTTTAGTTTTGGCTTGTCAGTAGTTGTTTTTTCTCTCGTCAGCATAATGTTTATTATCTCTTCTTTAGAATAATCCTGAATTTCCAGTTTCACGAGCCTCGACTGGACTGCTTGTGGAAGCACGTTACGTCCAGCATATTCAGGAGGGTTCTGTGTAGCAATAAAGGAGAATCTGTCATGAATGTCATATTTTTTTCCATTTACCGAATTCAGGAATCTTTTAGGGTTGTTTAAGAGTGGTGTCAGGTAGGCGACTACCTCTTGTTGAGCAAGATTCAGTTCATCTGCTACGAATATCCACCCCTCTTTCAAAGCCAAGCACAACGGACCTTCTTTAAACATTACCCTTCCTTTAGCCGGCATGTAGCAACCCATCAGGTCAGATATGGATGTTTCCTTGTTGAAACTGAACACGGTTATTTCACTCCTTTTGTATTTCAGATATTCTGCCATACATTTGACGATAGATGTTTTACCAACACCTGCCACACCTTGTAACAGCACAGGGATATTCATCTGCATAAGTTGTAAGAGATGAGATGCCAATACAATTCGCGAAGTTCCCTGTAGACAGTAACTATTCTTCTCAAACCAGGCAATCATTTGATTCAACTCATCAGAGTCTGTGTCAATGTCATCTGTTTTTATGTCCATGCCTTTGTTCTCAAAAAGTATCTTCACAAGTGTGTCTAGGTGTTTGTCAACTATTCCACACATGGACACGGTATCAGTCATGTCAAGCTTCTGAACAATTTTATTGGAAGCTCTCAAGAATCGACAAAGATTACCTAATGAAGCATCCCCTCTTTTGCAATATGCCATGACCTTTATTTGTACGTTTCTTCTGAAGTTATCGGACGTGATACCAGCACGAACAAGGGATGTTATATCCGAGCCTGTCATCCCCGACGGCATATCAAAGCACAAATACCGACTGAGAAGCGCTGGTGTTAGTTTCAGTGACATGTCATCTGATTTGTTGTAAGTAGATATGACAAAGAAGTCATCGTGCACATCAATTAGCTTATTTCCTATCTCGATCCGTCGATTGCCTCTCGCTTCAAGAATGGGATTCATTGACTCCAACACAGTCTCATCGGGCTGATCAATGCCACACAGTACCAAACACCTTCCCCTTTTCATTGCTCTTGTAACTGGCCCATCCGTCCAAAGAAAAGGTGAAGTTCCTTCCTCCTTAAAAGTACAAGAACATATCATTTGACCTTGTATGATAAGGGTTTAAACATAGATATGTGGTTTTAAAAGGTGTTTATCAACTTTGAAAATTTAATTTTCTTTGTAAAGGTGACTTCTAGGTAGGGGAGAATCCCGATAGACCCCATGTTATAAAATCACAATAAGTGAAATATCTATATCAAATGGTGCTGGAAGTCCACGGATTTTTAAAATAAAATCAGATAACGTTAAAACTGGTCCGTCGGTCATTCTTTCCGTCCCATTGAATTACATTGAGGGCGACGCCCACTTTTCAATGGAAAACCTTGTTTCGCACTTTTTGCTTTTGTAATTATTTACGGGAATGGTTGGAACCAATTTTCCTGTAATAAGCATTTAGGAGTACTTCGAGACACTCTTAATTGATGTGAACTAGTCAATTCTATTTGTTTTTATCGCCGAGATAGCGCCAAAATAAAAAATGATTTCAGCCAATTTAATTCTAAAACATGTTTTATTAGATTTATAGTGGGATATTTTGTTATTTTATGATGAAAAGGGATTGGTATCGATATGGTGAACTTTATGAACACACGTTTTAAAAAATTCTAAACATTTTACACATCGTAAATTTAATGGTCATCTTTTAAATGGTAACAATAGAGTTTGAAAAAATGCATAATGCTTTTCTGTATTATTTTAGAAAACACATCAGACACTTATTTTGTTCTTGTTATCATATGTTCGAAATGAAATGAAACATCTATCCGAATCTCATTGGAACAAAACGACAAAAACACAATGTGCTTAGGTCTCTCAATATTGTAATTGTACAAAGGAAAGTTTGGTTGATTTTAAAAAAGTATCTTTTTATTTCATTCTCAAGAATTGGTAGAAAGGAACAACAAACAATTGCACTCACAAAACAAAAACAGTTATATAAGATATAAACAAATAATTTTCGCAATAAATTGTTGTCAATCAGTCAACATTACATAAAGGACCGTGTTTTTAAGAGATGTTTTCAATAACTGGTTTAAGAGAAAAACATTGTTGAATTCAGTTCACCATATCGATACATATCCTTTCTAAAAAATTGAAATAGTTGACAGAAAAAGCCTCCGTGGATTTAACTTCCTGGTATTCTTTTTTAATTTTGCGACTCCCGGGCCAGGAGATCTGCTATATCTCGGCGATACAAGCGCTAGAACAGTTTAGTTTGCATCAATTGAGAGTGTTTTGATGTATTCCCAAATGCTTATAACAGGAAAATTGGTTCCAACCATTCCCAGTAAATGAGCAACAAAGAAGTGTGTGAAACAATGCTTTCCTCTGAAAAGTGGGCGTGGTCCGCAACGTAATCCTGGGAAAAATGGTTTTAACGCTATCCGATTTTGTTGAAAAAATCAGTGAACACCCTGCAGTGCCATTTGTAACCAGATGTTAAAGGGCCATTGTTATCTGAGATAATTGTTGAAAAATGAAACACTCTAATACGTAAACAAGTTAATATTACAGCTAATATAAACTTGAAAGATATGCAGTTTCTTTTTAAGAAACAATTTTAATAGGAGGACTATACCTGAGGTTGTATTTTTCCTATGAGGTCTTCGGATGTTGTTTCAGCATTTGTGTAATATATCTCAGTCTCAATCTTCATGATTTCTGCCCACGTTGTTATAGATGTCAGTTTTCCAGAGTAGTTCTCGCCAACTAGTAGCCCTGGTCTTTTGGTCTGGTGACACAAGTTGAAAAACTGAAACATCTCAGTGTGCTTCTCAAGCAATGCTGTTGTAGGAGGAAACATGTCTCTTTTTAAAGTCACAATATTATTCAGAGGCCCTATCATTCTTTGAACTAGCAAATGTACTTTCTTTTTAAGATCCGCAGTCATATGCTGTGAAAACAGATAGAATAGTCCAACTGATACATCAGAACGCGAACACTGTTTTATGATTGCACATGCGTGCAGCAGGTCCCTCATAGTCAGCAGGACTATGTTCTGTTCTGACCGTTTTCTCACTTCATTCACCTCTTCGAACAATGCAATTAAAACATGCGCAGTGTTGGTATCCTCAACTAATGTGGATTTGACAATCTCATAGCAATCTGGATACAGAGGTATTGTTTGGAATACTACAGGTTTGAAGTGGCTAAGGAGTGACTCTGAGAATATATTTCTTGTGCCTCTGTAGGCATTATCGTCTGGTGGATTTTGGGTAAGAAACAGTCTGAAGTTTGGATGTTGTCTATATTGGATGCACCCAGAGAGTGCATCTGTTTGTCCAGCTAACATGTTACTTCTAATTTGGAGAACTCCCGAATTAGCTAGATCTTCTATTACTCTAAGAATTCCGTCTCCTGCAATATTGGCTTCATCAAGTAATAGCCAATATCCTTCTTTTACTGCACGACTCAACATTCCTGGTCTGAACACAAGCTTTAAATTTGGACCGCTTGAACTACTGTCTTGTTTCATATAGGATTCTTCTTTAACTTGTTCATGTTCATGGTCATCATTGTCGGCAAACTCTAACGTTCCGAGCAAATCTGATATAGAAGATTGTGGGGTCAGATTGAAACGAAGTAGGGGTGAGTTGGTAATGCTTGCACAGTATGCGACTGATGCTGTCTTTCCCCCAGAGGTACTCCCCTCGATGATTACAGGGTGGTTTAGAACGACTGAGTGTATAATGCTCTTCAGGTTTCTCTCTGTATTCGGGGTTAGAACGAGTCCTGTGGTTGACGGAACATTTTCTTTCATATGTTCATGGTGACGGAGATCTTGTTTAGGAATAGCTATCCCAGCGATTGTTACATGTTTTGCGTTACGATAAAGATGTCGGTTGTCATCTAGGGTCATAAACAGTTCTCTGGATACGAAATTAGGAAGTATTGCATCTCCAGCCACTAATATATGGCCACTGAGATTATTGTGACTGTAGAACATCTCAAGAATAGCCAGAGACTTCGCATCGCAATTATAGTCAGCATGTGGGATATGGCGACACAATGGACATTTCGGAGCATGTAGATTGGGATTCATTTCAACGCTTGTGTAAATAGTAGTATCATTTTTCTCACGGTTCAATGCTGTGATATCTCCATTAGGTGCGATTTTAAAGTCCGTAAATGAACTATGAATTGACTCTTTGATTCGACAGTCAGTGTTAAATCTTACCATCACTTTCTGCTCTTGTGATATCAAATAATATTGTGTAGAAATCTCATGGATAGTATGACAAAATTGTATACATGTTTCTTCTGGCCAATAAACATCAAGCGGTTCGGCTGTATTGAATGTTCTGTCTACAAGTTGATCCCTGGGCTCAAGTTTCTGAGAATAGAATATCCATTTGCCGCGTTTGTATACTATGGCAGATATCCATGTCTGGTCTGTAAGAACTCTTTGCAAATGACAACCTTTCACTCCATCGAGATGTTGAATGAATTTGGTACTTGTATCACAGATATAAAAGCTTGGACAGGTATTTCCAACCAACTGAGCTTCAAGTAAGGCAAACTTTCCATCATATGATATTTCGTAGTTGGTCACTTCATTAAACTGCTCAGCAAAGCTTAAAATCGGCGTTTCCTGTACGGGATCTTGTTTAAATGTAGGCAGAACATTATAATGAAAAACAGCATTTGATGTTACAACCCCAATTGTTGAATCATTCAGCCATGACATTTTCATTACAGCAGATTCTGGGTAAAATGCAACTTTTGCAGAAAACGAAACTGTGCTTTTAAGATCAAATACTAAAAGTTGAGATTGTTTGTTATTTCCATCACCCTGTTGTTTGACCTGGCTGGTCAATATGGCTATCTTTGTGATGTTATCGTTAGCTATTACCCCATCAACATTTAGATAAAGAGGTATAGGTATAACATACCTTTGAAGGTCGATTTTCTCTGGGTTGAAAATGCTGTATACGATCGATCTATCATATGTAGACGACAAACTGTCAGGATGATAGAGTACATCTTGCACAGTGACTCCACATGGCTGTAGGATGACGGTTGACTGCCGATATGTTTTTATTATCGCTACGGTGTCAAGAGGCATTTTGTCGAGCGTGCCTAGAATCAAAAGTATAATTGAAATGTAAGGTGATTTAAAAGCTAGGTCCCGTCAAAACTAGATTTTTTCTTTAATACCTATTACAGATTTCACACAATTTATGTTTAATTCAAAGGTTGCTCACTCGCAGTGAAAATCTACCAGCATATGCAATGACAATTTCAATCATGTTTCTGCAAGAAATTCGTCGGAAGCCTATTGTCATCCAATATGAAGTTATTGAAAAGGCTTGAACGTCCTACACGCTGGATGATCGTTTTTCCATTAATAACCCTTAACTTATTTAAACGAAGGCTTTTAATAATTACCCTGAATAGTCTAAATATCGATAAAAAGATAATGGAAATAACTCAATGTGAGGGGGGATGTAGTCAATTGGGACGAGCAAAATGATTTCATCAGAATATTAGAAATATAGTAATTGATTATTTTACACATAACTTCGTATTAGAACATTAGGCTTCCTTCGAATTTCGTGCAGAGGCACGATTGACATTGTCATTGCTTGTGCTGGTTCATTTTGTCTGCGAATAGGCAGGTTTTAAGTTGAAAAACCGATCGCATCCTCTCCATTGACCAAATTAAGCGAGGACATCCAGAGTCTACTAAATACCAGTTACACTGGCGTTTACCGTAACCCGGACATACTCCGTAACATATAAAGATCATGGTACATGTATATCTATAGGGGTTTGGTGAATTCTTTAGATGAGTAATTTGATATATATTTGTCAACCACAAATGGTGTGAGTAGTATTTTATTCATATTGGAGATTGGTAAAATGTAATATTAGAAAGGTTTGGTAAAAGATTTCAGTCGATTGGTAGAATTGTTTTACTTCTACGTAACAAAATCATCATGATGAAGTAGCACCTACCTCAAAGAAGATACATAATGAGCTGGTGTTGTTACGCGGAATATGGCATACATTCATGGTTGAGTGGTATTTGTGATACGGGTGAATATGGCATATTCCGCAGGTGGGTATGGCATTTTCCGCAATGATTATGCGATACATTGATTTCAATGAATACACTTGCCTATATTCACCTGCGGAATATGTCATACTACCTTGTGGAATATGCCATATACCGCAGGTGAAAACGGGATGCAGAAAGCCTCGATTTGGTCGGTCAAAAGAATTGACTCTAAATGTAAAACTACTAGTAGTATAACGAGAGAAAAATCTTATTTTCTGACCAAATGATGAGCAATTCATGAAGAGACTCAATACAAGATATAATATCAAAGTTACCAATTCAGAAAATGAAAAAGTAATCCTGAAAATCTGATTTTTTTTTTTGATAGAATTGATAACAACAAAGAAAGAAAAAGAGGACACGTCTATCCATCAAGAATGTCTTATATGGAAGCACGAAACACTTTAAAAACTGCGTGCAATTCCGTTGGAAACATAGTAAGTACCCGAGAATGGCACCAGCGGCACTTCTGGAAGAACGATAGCTACCTTCATCCTCAAGAACTGATTAAGAATGAAACTTATGGGATGTGAAAGGAAAACCGGAAAAGTGGACACGTGTCTCCTGGGACGATAAAGAACGAAGTCATGAAGTACTGCAGCATATTTCATACCATTACTGTCATTTTCGACTGGCTGGTTTTGGGTCACCATGTGAAGGAGGGATTTGGTAGAATCTGAGGTAAAATAACGACTAAACTAGATAGCAGCAACGCCAAGGCGAAGAATTCCAATCGAACGTCAGAAATAACTGCTGGAAATCATGATCAACTGACAAAGTCGGGGACAGGGATTATCCAATAACTTACTTTCTAAAGTCATTTTAGGTCGAAGATGGCTTCCAGACTGGTGCAAAGTTATTGATAGATTCATAGAGGATATGATGAGTCGATAACCATCATAAAATACCATGGCCCTCTCTTCTTGCATCAGAGATCGACTAAGACAGGTTTTTAGATGCGAGGTGTATCAGAATGATGGTGACTGACTCAATAAAAGTTGATGGATGGCCCCGGGTGGATGGCTAAAAGAAGATAACTAGCTGACATATTAAGGATGGCTAACATATCTCTTGCTAAGCGGATGATGGCACAGACAGTATGGATTTTCCATACGTGAAGACAATTAGAGTCTAAAATACGATGCCAGTTTCAGATACGATGGCAGCCTTACATATGGTGGTTAGCACCCGGGTGATAACTCACAAATGCAAGTCCTAATGGCACCCCTCTACTCGACCCTCTCTCTCTGTTTTTGTTTTTTGTAACTCATTTAAAAACAATAAAACAATAACGGCAAAATACATTTTGTGATGATAACATTGTAAGAATGATAACATTGTAAGAATGATACAGGTCATGTAGACCCCAACTACTTGACTTTCGCACACTTAAGACATTTCTCAATTGATATCTTACCATAGAAGAGTGCCAGTCGAAATATTCATACACGGCAAAATAAATTTTACCAAGTGAAAGTCTTGTTAATTGGGGGAGGGGGGACTTCATTTGGCAATCCCATCTCTTTTATGCATTCATGTGGCATCAACTATCATGATATCGAGTAAAGAGATGTGAAATTGTCACGATGGATAAGATACCTTAAATACAGTCTAAATAAAGAGAGCTTGTGATACCAGTCTTGACATACCCCCTCCCCCTAGAAGTTATTGATCAATTGGCCGCTGGTATATCTACACCGTAAACAAGAACGATAGATTGTTTTGTTTAAGTTATACAATAGGACTATATTCCGAGAAGTTCTAGCTCTACTCAGACTGTAATAGAAATGCTAGATTGTTGAGAAATAGAATTGGGGCATATTGACCTGTGCATTGATCTGTTGGTAAACACCCTATACAACATGACACGCTAAAACAGATATCCATTGAGAGGTACTCCTAAATTAGATAAGCGTATTTACTGACAACTATGAAAACTGAACTGAACTGAAATGAAACTAGACAATGGCAACTCCGCGGAGTAGCAAATCCCAACGAACATAATATCAATTACCGAATTCCAATCAATTATACTCATTACTTTGGTTAAAATTGAAAAATTTAGATTTTAGAATTGCGAATTCCTGCAAAGCAGCCATTTTGAATTTTCTGAGGTTCAAATCTGAAGAATAATACCATAATTGTGATCCACTCCAAAATTCCTTCAATTTGAGTATAATATAACCATACTTTGAAGGGATCGAAAAATTATTGAGAAATCGTACATTAGACGGCCATTTTGAATTTTACGAGGCTCGAATCAGAAAAAAGATACAATATTTGCAATCTACTCTTAATTGCCTTTCATTTGAGTATAATAAAGCTATACTTCAGAAAGATCTAAAAATTAGCGAAAATTACTGTTTTCCTGACCCCCCATACACGGCCCCTGGGGGTCAGGATGAAAAACACGGAATATATGTGAAATAGATAGATGTTGCGAATATACTACCAAAATTTCAAACAATAATATGAATTACTTTGGTTTAGAATAAAAAATTTATGGTTTTTGCGAAAAAGTCCGTCAACTCGTATTTGAGTTATCTTCCGGACGGACGGACGGACGGACGGACGGACTGACGGACGGACGGACGGACTGACGGACGGAGGGCTTCACTATATCCCTACCGAACTTCGTTCGTTGGGGTAATGAAACAAAACTGAATACAAGTAGAAAATCATAAATGTTCTTATAAGTATTCAAATATTTGAAGAACATACAGCAAAAATCCAAAATAACTATCAAAACAATATACATATACAATTAGTATTTTAGTGAAAAATAAAACAATGTGGTGTCTATCGGCTTGTTTAAGCCTACCAGTCTATAATATCAAATTAATATGTGATGTTATGCAATGCAATACGATGCAATGCATACAATTATAATGTAATGTAATGTAAAATAATATAAAGCTATGACTTTTTAATCAGTACTTACTTGCAACACCCGAACCCCCCCCCCCCCCCCGTACACATTATGGTTAAGCCTACCCGTCTATAATATCATATGAATATATGTGTTGTAATGCAATGCAATACAACATATAAATAGTATGTAATATAATAAAGGTATGACTTTTTAATCGGTACTTACTTGCAACAGTGTACTGGCCTACCCAAGGAGGTTTAATTAATCGATTTCAGTTTCGTTTCCTCCGTTGACATTTCTATCAGACTATCTCTCATAAACGTCCATTCTTGTATGACCATTTTCGACTGTGCTGTTTTGACCGGTTTGTCTTGTGCTGCAGAATGTGAAGTTGGCTGTAAAATCATGCATGGATTAATTTATTTATGAATAGTACCCCATGGTACTGGCGAATCCAGAAGCCCACAAGTTTGGGGGGGGGGCATATTTCAAATAAGAAAATAATTAGGCCCAACATTTTGAAATCAAAGGCTCATTTTTTTGGATCAAAAAGGCCCAAAGAGGCAAAGCAAAATGGCCCACACCAATTAAGGCCCTTCAATATTTTTGGGCACACATTCTTTTCTGGGGGGGGGGAGTTTGTTTAGTATTTGCTATCAAATTATTTTCTGGGATTACCCAAGGGGTCTGGGTGAAGTTAGTTTAGTATTTGCTTGCATATGCCTGGCCTCTTATATTTTGATGCTTCCAATGCCCCCCCCCCCCCCGGGATCCACCAGTGCATAGAAAGTGAAAGAATGACGACTTTGATCCCACCCTCTACAAACATCAAACGATAACTAATACTAGTAGTACCTTAAAAAGTATTTTGTGTAGCTACAGTCAAATAGTTTTGTGAATAAGACAAATCTTAAAATAACCAATCAAAAGACCTCGGTGCAGCGGTGTAGCAGCAGCATATGGGATAATAGAACAGATCTATCTATTATATGTATTTTGTTAATATTGTTTCTTATGTTCGTATCGGAGATTTTTACATAATGTACAGGTATTATTTTTTATCCTATGCCAAGTAGAGTTTTAGGGAGATAAGTTGGTAAGATATATCCCGTATCCTGATTTTGAGGTTTCCATATCCAGAACCTCCATATCTCCCGCCATATCTCCCGCTTCGATGCATATCTTCCCGCTTCCGGTAATTTCACGTCACATTTAAAAAATCTTTTTTCAAATCTTTGTCAACATTTTTTCACATTTTTTAAAAAAATTATTTTTTAAATTTTTATTATAATATAAATAAAATGACTTAGCTTATTAATGATTTGTTTATTTTTACACCTTGTACTATTGAAATGGCCATATGCCCCTGAAAACTCTACTTGGTATAGGATAAAGCAGTTTTGTACGATCGGTTTGGATATTGGGTTCATCCCTCGTGAGATATGCACATCTACCTTCGGTCCCTACGGTCCCTCAGGTAGATATGCATATCGCCCTCTGGATAAACCCCATATCCAAAACCTCCCAGTACATAACCCTTATTTATTTTTGTTTGTTTAGTATTTGCTATCATATGCGGGGGCTCTTATATTTTGATGCTTCTCTGTCATGTTAATATCGAAAAATTAGCATGGCTAAAGCTCTATAAATTACAAAAGGCCACAGTTTTGCTGCACATTATCTAACCATCTAAAATATACAAAAGTTAGGCCTTGTATATGTTTCATATGTTTTCATATGTTGCAATGTACAGTGCTTTGAATGCTTATTTTTAGATTCAAAGTTGTTTTTGGAATTAGACTATTTTCTCTCGTCTGATTTTTTGAAAGGAATGAAAATATTCAGAATATAACCCACCGTTTATTCTTTGGTGTATATTTGTTTACATAGTAGGTGCTAATCAAAATGGTCGATGGAGTAAATTATTTACATATCTGTTACTTTGTCCCCTGGCTTTATTTCCACTTGACACTGTTTTGTGTTACTTTTTATAGTGTAACATAGTCATTTGAATCATATTATTTTATATTGATCAGTCGCCATTCATCTAACAGTTTTACACATTAACAGGTCCCTTCATCTCTTTACATCAGTATATGTTTTAATCCTGTTGTTTTCTAGTCTTTTGTACCTGTTTTACTATTCAGTTTCACAATCTATTGTTTAAACCAGTTTTTTTACTTTTGCTTGCTGTGTTTCTTTTTATAATGTTTTGTGTCCTATGATATATGGTAATCGCATTCACTCAGTTGAGTTTGGGTGTTGGCCCAGTAGCAGTAGTAGTTGCCTATGTAGTTTTTATGAACTGTACATGTACACAGAGTAATTCAAAATAGATTATTTTAGATATTTTAATACATTTTTCTGTGACTTTTATCTGCCGCCCACGGGCCTTCCATCGACCATTTACAATAGCATTAATTTTACCTTACTACTTAATTGAATTGTTGTAATGTTTATTTTTGGGAAGTAAAGCTTCCTAAAATTGAAAATTTTGTGCAAAAGAATGTTATGGAATTCCCACAGGACAGAATTCATGTTGCATAATTGCACAGTTTTACAAAATGGCTACAATACTGCAATATACTCACATTTGAAGATCATCATTATGACTATAGTCCTATATATGCATTATCACACGCTGTGTATTCTATACACGTCAATGTCAATGCTAGAATCTCTACTAAAGCTCTGCATCATTGTATAATTTTGGCGATTACATTCACCTTGTTGTTGATATAACTCGTTATGCCCGTTATTGCTCTGACTCACCTCTTAAATACCAACTTATATCAAAACGAAAGTAAAAAGATATAATCAACATCATGAGAACATTGCTCATCATGTTTGAGACGATACGAGGGCTGTACCATTCGTGTCTGGTGAATGTAAGGAGTATAGTATAACACGAATGGATAAAAAGAATTTGTTATAATTTTTATTGTTCATTGTTTCACTCACTACTTGTAATTTTTTTTGTATTTATGTAACTGTAATAGCATATTCGACACTGAGCTTGTATTCGCGAATGCAACTAACGCTTGTCGGCCCGGGTTGACCGACTATTTTATGGGTAACTCGTTTAACACAAATAGTACCTGCCACTATTCCATTCATATTTAATGAGTTGGTCATATAATAGTAGGTTAATCCGGTAGCCGACAGGCGTTAGTTGCATTCGCGAATACAAGGTTAGTTATATGGTAATCAACATTTCCTTGATATCACCTTTAATTCTCATTTAACTGTTCACATTATAACATGATGTATTGGGGGATTGGTGATTCCAAACGTACGAAGGGGACTGTATAGAAGCGTTACATTTCAAATGACTTCTTAGAACTGGTAACGTTCCAAGTTACTTTTGCTGGAAGTGAAGAGTAGCGTTACAATTCAAACGACTTCTTAGAATTGGAAACGTTCCGAGTTACGTTTGCTGGATTTGAAGAGTTAGGATGACCGTGAAACAAGTGAGGTTACTTCATAACGAAGCCCAATCGCAAGCTTGATATAGTACGTGTTCTGAAATTTTTTAAAGCATGTCATCGAACTTTCTAAAACCATGCATCGCAGAATATTATAACCCCTCAACTATTAATCTCGGTACATTTATTCATGCTTTCTGTTCAACCGGAAAGCCCGGGACTGAAAGATAATGACCATGCATGAAAAAGTTTTATTCCTTACATGCAGGAATACAAATGAATATATCATTATCCCAACGAACGAAGTTCGGTAGGGATATAGTGAAGCCCTCCGTCCGTCCGTCCGTCTGTCCGTCCGGAAGATAACTCAAATATTAGTTAACGGATTTTCTTCATATTTGTTGGAAAGATGTATATTGATGAATAGTTTTACGCAAAGATGGCCGCCGCTTTAAAAATGACGGGACTTTTTCGCAAAAATCATACATTTTTCATTCTAAACCAAAGTAATTAATATTATTGTTGTTTGAAATTTTGGTAGTATATTCGCAACATCTATCTATTTCACATATATTCCGTGTTTTTCATCCTGACCCTCAGGGGCCGTGTATGGGGGGTCAGGTAAACAGAAATTTTCGCTAATTTTTAGATCTTTCTGAAGTATAGCTTTATTATACTCAAATCAAAGGCAATTAAGAGTAGATTGCAAATATTGTATCTTTTTTCTGATTCGAGCCTCAACAAAACTCAAAATGGCCGTCTAATGTACGATTTCGCAATAATTTTTCGATCCCTTCAACGTATGGCTATATAATACTCAAATTGAAGGAATTTAGGAGTAGATCACAATTATGGTATTATTTTTCAGATTTGTACCTCAGAAAATTTAAAATGGCTGCTTTGCAGGAATTCACAATTCTAAAATCTAAATTTTTCAATTTTAACCAAAGTAATGAGTATAATTGATCGGTAATTGATATTTTGTTCGTTGGGATTTGCTACTCCGCGGAGTTGCCATCATCTAGTTGATACCTAAATTGAGCGCGGAACGAGGGTTAATATATCGTATTAACCGAGGGATATACCTATACCCTGTATCAGAAAATCGAGCATTTAATGATTTATTCTATACTAAGTAGATTATGAGGGTTTATAGTAAAGTTCCCTGGCTCAGTATCAACGGTCCCATGGGTTGATATATTGTATTTCCCTCAGATATACCCTGTATCAAAAACCTTCCATTAAATAACCTCTAAATATGAACCTGAAAATAACAATTGGACTCAAATGAGGAAGTCACTAAAATTTACAATCATACGAAACTGCTATCTTAGAGATGTATAGAGGGCAAGTTGTCCATGACAACATTCGATCTATTCTAGTCTACTGGTATAGTATAATAAATCAGAAATTACGTTTTGTTAATGATTCACTTTCGTTTTGTGAAGTACCATGATTCACTTACAATTGTACAGTGCATGTTTAATACACAGCATTGTTTGTTAGCTGTAAGCGTTGCTACATGACGTACGGGTAACATTTAAGTCACATTTAATCTACGGCAACCGTAAGGCGGTCGTAGATTCCCCAAATCGAGAGAAATATGTACATATATAATATAGGGATAAGAAGTACGAGATGTTCTTCATTTTCTATAAAGCTTTATTGCTTTGGTAGATATAAAATATCAACACGCATTCGCTTCCCTCACTCGCATTTCATACTATATTTCAAATCAAGTCGTCGATTAAAATGATATCACTCAAAAAGGTCCGATAGTATAGCATTATTACATGATGGATTTATGGAGTGTATTATATCCAAATACTATAATATCATTGCTAGAAATCGTGTAATGTAATTGGCTGATTCAAAACCATGTGATCAAAAATACCATGTTGAGTGTATTTCAAAGCTCACTCAGCTGGATTATTAAAGACGTATTGCCCGGCGTATTGCCCGCCCGGGAATTCTAAGAACTGCACTGGACGAAAAAAGTGTAATGTACAATGGTACGTGTAACTTATATATGGGTTTTTGACATATTTGTCGATTGAAATAAATGATCACAGACTAAAACAATTATTGTATATTTCTTTGAAATGCAAAATGATCGCTGAGAATTTCTAGCAATGATATAATAAAACAAATATTTCATTCTATGTTCAGGCTGTACCTGTTGCACTTTCAATGATTTTTGCAACATGTATTTCCCTCGCCCTGCGATGCAACAGGGAGAGATGCTATGAGTATTAGAATGGGCTGAACCGTATATTTCTAATGTATGCATAACTTATACAACCTCTATGGACACCTCGAAGCTTTTATTTCTACGCTTTCAAAATTTACAAATTAATCAAGTTTATCGGAATCAACCACATACTTTACATATCAGTAAAGATAAACTTTCAACTTTCTCGAAACCTCAAATGAACTCTATATTTTCAAAATATTTTGTTAGTTGACTGGCTGTCTCTGCCGAAATCAGTATACATGTACCTACCGCGAATGCAGAATCGGACGGTTTCGTAAAATGTAAGTTTTCCCGATATTTTGATAATTGTTTACGTATTTCTTATCAATTCATGATTTTTAAAGGGGAACATTTTTGAAGTGAAATGGCAGAATTAAGACTTAGATAGGATATTGTACAAGACAGAGGCTTTTGTGATGCTCCTCTCCGAGAAGAATGCAATTCATAGATTACAATGACAAATTATGATTCACAAGCGATTACATGATCTAGCACTGCATTGACTTCACTCCAAACTATAAATTGTTGAATGTTGCACATTGTATAACATTGATTCGCTGTTTGCTCAAGACCTAAACACTTCGATACACTACATGACACGATACAGTAAAATTTAGATAACAAAAATTCTATATATTTTATTTATGTAAAGAATAACGAAAAACCTATTTGTCGCTTGCGCTCTGTAAACCCAAGTTCACACCGACGGCGCTTTGATGGCGCTAGCGGCGTGCAAAGCGGCTTTGCACGGCGCTTTAAAGCGCCATCAAAGTGCCGTTGGTGTGAACTTAGCTTTAGCCAATCTTAAGCCTTACTGGTGAAATATAGAAATGTTTATATCTGCAATATATCTAGACGCTTGTATATCATTGTGACATGTGTTTACAGACCGACAACGGGAGAAAAATGTATCAGACTGAGACAAGCATAGGCGCACGGGTCGGAGCCAAAGAGAAGAACATTTCGATACACATCAACGAAGATGTCATACAAGTTGATACCCAGACACTGTATAAAGCAAGTCCATATTTCAACTCTCTTCTGAGAGGCGGGTTTTGCGAGTCCTCACAGTCTGCTATCAATCTAACTGGAAGTTTCCGATCAATTGATGAATTGGTGAATCTACTTACATATACAAATCAGGGAAATTTGGAAATCACTGATGATACGTTGGAAGATGTTCTACACGATGCTACTTTCTTGATGATCGACTCGCTAAGAACTCGGTGCGAAAAATTCATGATCTTCAACTTAGCCCTTGATAATTGTCTACACTATTTGGCACTTTCCACACTCTATGATGTTAAAACAGTGCAAATGATCAGCCATGCTATTGTGAGATCACGCTTTCGCGATAGCATACAGTATGGAGAGGAAGTTCTTAGCGTCCCATTTGACTTTTTGTCGATTTTGATACAACAGAATGTGATGAAGTTTTGCAAGTTGGGATCGAAAAGGGAGTTGCTGACACGATGGGTTATGCATAACCCAAGAGAGAGGGAGTATCTTTACTTCGACTTGGTACATCTAGCTGGCTTATCGATAGGGTTTGCAGATATATCTGTAGTGTTTCCATATCGTCTAGTTCTGCCTACTGTGACAACAGGTTGGATGAAGCATATCGACAGTCTCCAAAATGAGAGAACAGGACGTACACATACTGAAATTTCATTAGATAACATACTGGGTAATTCCACAATATGTGGAGAAAGAGAAGTAGTGTGTATTGCAAGCAACGAGAGGTGCGTTGTGTTTGACGAAGAGACAGACCGATGGCATACCATTCCACAATGTTATACATCAAACATAACATTTTCAGGGAATCTGACGAATAATTTAGTTGTCCATGTTGACAACAACGGCAATATTATTGTTGAAAACATGGCCAAGCGGAAATGCGTCCGTATCCTGAAACGCCACGATGTTTCCTTCATGCCAACAACATATTTCTGTCATGGCGGCAATTTGTATGGTATCGGGGGACACAGAACAAAGAAGCCGGAAAATTGGGTGAACAAAGTTTTTGATCCCGTATACGGCCTTCACATTGTGTGTACCTTGAAGCGGTTCGACATGCGGCTTGGGACCTGGACGTCGTGTGGGACTATTCCCGGGGCACCAGCCCTGTGTACTATTCGACATACCATAGACAAAGATAACGACGCTGTTTACATGTTGGCCTCAAGAATGACCTCGGCCTATTTAACAGATAGTCCTTCCTTCACATTCCATAGTTTTAATCTACAAACACAAATAGGTAAACAACTGCGTTCACCTGAAATGGTAGATATAAAAAGTACACACCTGCTACAATCACAAGATAGCGGCGTCTTCCTGGTTGACCTTGAGAGACATACAATTCAACAATACAACTCTGTATGTGACGCTTGGAAATTGTTCGCATATTTGCCGAAGATAGTAGAACATACCGCACAAGAGGTGCTTTCACTCTCTGAGGACAGCATGCATGTAAGGGGTCACAGACAAATCGTTTCGTCTAGCGACACTTTGTATGTGTTGTCTTCGAGTCATCCATTGGTCAGCAGCTTCCATAGACTTGCTGTTGGCGAATGTAGCTGGACGGAATTACCACCTCCCCCGCTAAATATACATGCGGCGTCTCATGTGACAACACTTCTCTTGGAAGGCCATATCATTGAAGATCTACCTCTGAGTAGATTTGAAGATTAATTTATTTTGAATGCTACATCTGTGAATGATCTACTGTATAAAACATTAATTTTCATTTGACGGCATATTGATTCAATTCATCTAAAATGCTACTAAGATCTTCGAGTGCATTGGATAAAGACAAGTGCATCTCGGATTATTTCAATCCATCAGTAGGGGCACTTAATTACCCAGTTTAAGGCCAAAATCCCTAGTCAAAGCATTATTAAAATGAATTTAGCCCGGCTTCTATGGATTTAGTAATAACATACTGGTTTTCAAAATTCAACATTTGGTGGAATGATACACCGTTATTGTACATCTTAATCGTCTCGATGGACTTAAAAAGGGACACAGGGTAATCATGATTAATAAAGTCAATTCTGTAAAACATTTAAACAAATGGTTACTCCGTGTACATAATATAGCTATTTTATTTCAATATAGGTATGCACAAACAGTATAGTTTGAGTCCTCTTTTTGGTATCGTATATATAGTGTAGGTATGCAAACGTTTTAACCCTAAAGACAGGCCACGTTGTATCCTGAAATAAAACAAAACATGCGTTTCAATGGAAAGCAGTGATTTTTAAACGATAGAAACCATACTCAATTCATAACGATTTTAATCAAAATCTCATCCAATTACTTAATATAATCTACATGTACCTTGGACATATTTGAATGGGGCTAGTTCACAGAACTGCTGATATCCACCTCCTATTTTGAAATTGTCAAATGCGTCATCCCACCAGTCTAAGAGACGACTGTCTTTTCTAGTCATCACAGAGGTTGCATCAGAGCAGTAGAACGATCCAATTGGTATTAAATTCGATTCCTCCGGAATGTCAAAATTTGTGAAAAAAGCTTTGACCTAGAATGAAATAATTTTGCGTTATTATGAAATTACATGGTTTAACATACAACAGGATAATATAAGTCTATTTTTTCTTTTTAAATCACATACCCTGCCTGTTCTAACTGCAGCTATTCCAGACTTGACGTCAGGAACTGCGAACATAAGTGGGGGATCAGAGGGTACTCCTTGCACTCCATTCAGCGTAGCACATTCCGGGCTAGCAACCATACCACCGATGAAAGCTGCATTACAGGACCAAAAATTGCTATTCGAACGTCTCATGAATAAAACCCGAAAGTTCAAAGGACACTTGTACTACATATATGAAAACAATAAGGCATTAACACCAAAACAACATACTAGTAATTAAATTTTACACCTATCACATAATTCTAATATTAATATCACATTTTATCCCAAACCTATTCGTTTCCATGAGACATCAAGCCAATTAAAGTCGGACACCGCTGCCTTTGGTACCCAGAACTTAGCAGGAGCAGTCGCAGCAAAGGGGATTGAGAAATCCACTTTCAATGCACGTGCTGGAGTCTCATCCCAAGCAACGCATGCGTCAAACCAACGATTCATTAAACCTGGTGACCAGAAAGACAGGGCGATAGAAATGTTTGAAATAAAGATGGCAGTGTAGTAATCCATCTGGTTTACATAGGAGAGAATAAAATTTCTCAACTGCTGCCATTGTATATCGCTCCTGGACCTATGTAAAAAGACATGCGAGTACTGTGGATTGTTTTGTGACAAAGAACACTGTTTTTACAACAAAAAGCAAAATATTAAATAGACATCATGTAATAACAATAGACTAAGTACGTTTTATACTTAAAATGAAGAAATGAAGAAACCATACAAACGATATTTGTCTACAAAAGTAAAGATGCACCCACCTAAAATCATAATGATTGATTAGAAAAGTTTATGTGGATTTACAAACTATCATAAAAACAGTATTTATACCTAGACCAGGTTTCTCAACTCGAATAGTAGGAAGACCAGGAAGATAGTACTCTCTCTTTTCCCAGCATTCTTCAAACTCCGTGACCATGACTTTACACTTCCGGTTCACAAGTCGGCAAACTTAGAAGTCACATTAATGAAATAAAAGACATCAATTTTGGCTACATGTCATTTTAATATGACTGGTTCTGTTTTGCGTAGACTGCTTACATCATATTCATAATCCGGGCGTCTATCGAGAACAACTAGATAGGGTATACAGGGTGTTCCAAAAGTAACAGGACTGGTGCTAGCATTTTGTAAATTCTGCACCGAGTGTGTTCAAATTTTCACAAATTGTACTTTGACGTAGTGTTACTAAAATTGTAAAGTTTCAGAAAAAATGATAAAATGTGGGTAAAGTTATGGTTACTATAGTAACGTGACATCACAATACCCGGGGCAACTTTTTCATGAAAATGTAGTATCTAACATTTTTATATAACTGAAGAAAGTATCTAATTCACCTATTACAATACAACATTTCTTGTTTGTTTTATTAGTTGCTTTATAGTTATGGTGTTGCTCTACAACTCAGATTCAAGTATGATTTCATAATAATAATGTTTATTCAATTTCCTGAAATATAATTATGTATAACAGTCTGCACAATTCACTGTTGAGTTTTTGAAAATACCCAATATGAAACCAGTAAACCACCTTGATAAAGCACCTGCCCGCAAGTCAGCATTAAAGACCACTGCACCTATAGCGGAGCTAGGTCTTGAGGTCTAAGACCATGCACCATAATCTTCTGATCATGCAATATCTAATTTTTACTTTTATGTGGAGAAGGGAATGTAATCAGCGCGGTAAGACCGTTTAAGTTGAGAATGACCTTCCCCAAGTTGTCCTATCAACCCTGCGTGACATGTCATCAAATGGGTTCACTCATGTGTTTGAGTCATGGATACAGAGTGTTAATCTTAGACTGACCCAAGAGGACCCTACTTTTCAAAGTGGAGGATAGATAGGAATATCAAATGATGTATTTAGCAAATGTAATTCCCACCAGTTGTTGGATTCTAACTTTGATATGGGATGTACAAAATGCTTAAAGTCTCCGTAATTTTCTGCGTCGAATGTTGCCCCGGGTATTGTGATGTCATGTTACCATAGCAACCATAACTCTACCCCAGTTTAATAATTTTTATCGAAACTTTGCAATTTTAGTAACAATACATGAAAGTATATTATGTACGATTTTGAAGACAATTGGTGCATATCCAACAAAATGCCAGCACCAGTCCTGTTACTTTTGGAACACCCTGTATATAACGTATAAAATGCCTTCAATCGTACTTTACCAGCACTTTACTATTGTGTTTTTAAAAGGTTATAGGTTTTAAAAAGGTGAATAGATATCAGGAGTTCTAAAAACAACAGTAAAATTGTTTAACGGTTGTAAGACGTTAAATTTTAAATTTTACCTTCATATACAAGATCCACTGCAAAACCAGTCGATTGTTGTGTATTATTTCTAAAAACACATAAATATAATTGAATTACGATGCAATTGCTCAATATTACTCACATATAACCACACATGTTTTAACATTACGCACATGGAAGCTATTCTTTTAACATTACTCACGTAAAAGCCATAATTTCAACATAACTTTTGTGTAAACCGTCATTTAAACATTACCGACTTGAAAGCCATCATTTAACATTACACACGTGAAAGCCATCATTTAAACATTACTCACATGTAAGCCATCATTTAATATTACTCACATGTAAGCCATCGTTTAAACATTACTCACATGTGAGGCATCATTTAAACATTACTCACATGAAGGCCATCATTTCAATATTACTCACATGTAAACCGTCATTTAAACATTACCCACATGAAAGCCATCATTTAAACATTACTCACATGAAGGCCATCATTTAAACATTACTCACATGTAAACCGTCATTCAAACATTACCCACATGAAATCCATCATTTAAACATTACTCACATGAAGGCCATCATTTAAACATTACCCACGTGAAAGCCATCATTAAACATTACTCACATGTAAACCATCATGTTAACATTACTCACATGTAAGCCATCATTTAAACATCACTCACATGAAGGCCATCATTTAAACATTACCCACGTGAAAGCCATCATTCAAACATTACTAACATGAAGGCCATCATTTGAACATTACTCACATGTAAACCCTCATTCAAACATTACCCACATGAAAGCCATAATTTAAACATTACTCACATGAAAGCCATCATTTAAACATTACTCACATACACTTTTTGTATAAGTCACATGATAAACATTACTCACATATAAGTCACATGATTAACATTACTCACATATAAGTCAAATGATTAACATTACTCACATGTAAGACATCGGGGCTGTATCGGCTGCGACTGCAAATACCCATATTTTCTCCTGTTTAAAATCGTAATACATTGATCACACTACAGGGTGTCCCGAAAGTATGGGGCCCCCCCTAGGCAGACATATTCCAGTGTCCTCATAGTATGTGTCATATATCATTTTAAAGCTTGTCCAAAGTTACATTGATTTGCCAAGTATCATGGTTTAACTCCCAAATGGGAAAAAGTTACAGCCATTTTAAAAGTTAGTGTTTTGTCAAAATAAAGTTCAATTTCACACCACACTACTAGTCAATGTGTCCCCCCTTGGCCATGTTAACAGTGGCAATTATTTTCAGATATGACCTTAAAAGCCCTTCAAATAGGAGTGTGTAATTTTATAACCCTCTTAAAACCTGTTAAGGGACTTTAGAAGAGTTTCCTTAGAGTTTCTACCCTCACCGTTCTCTTTTTCCAACTCAATATCCATCCGACCCGAAAAGAATTGCTGCTGTTAAAATGGCCCGGGAGGACACATTGACTAGTGATTTGGTGTAAAATTGAACTTAATTTTGACCAAACACTAAATTTTGAAATGCCTGTAATTTTTTCACATTTTAGAGTTGAACCATGATACTTGGTGAATCAATGTAACTTTGGATAAGCTTTAAAATGATATATGACACTTACTATGACGACACTGGTATATGTCTGCCTAGGGGGGGGCCCATACTTTCGGGACACCCTGTATGTACATATATAATACGTGTATGTTAACCATGTTACACTGCCATGGCATCATTATCATACTGTACATGGAAAAGTAAGTACAAAACAATAGCTGGAAAAGTAACATCCAAAAGTACAACCATTCATAAGAAAGAAACGAAATCAAAAATACCTCTTAAAGTGACCTTATATATACACTTTAGGTTTATCCAAAGGGAAGTATCTACTAACTATGAAATAACTAGGACACTTACAGGACCAACAAGATTTGCTTGGAAATTGTGGAGGTTAGCCACTTCTTCTGCGTCCTCTGAGACTGTAAACAAGTATAGTACACTCTTATCTTAATTAAGAAGACTGGATACTGAGACAATATATAATGAAGTACACCCCCTCCATAAATCTGACAGAGAAAGTCACCTTTTAATATCAATTAATCGAACAAAACATAAACGTTGACATGCTGTCACAGTGATATGCTATCTAATGAAAACAACCGATCGCCTTATGGGGGGGGGGGGGAGTACGAGCACTAATCGAAAGCAATGTCCACAAAAAATTGATGATAGCAATTATCAAACATCAAATTATCTATGCTCGTTTGTTTAATATCATTACAATACATTTAGAGTTCTGGAATTATTTTTGCATCTGGGTATTCTGGGCTTCGAGAGCATACAGTTGCAGTTGAGTTATAAACCAAGATGGAACAAAACAGTAAACGTCATAGAGGGGCAAAATTAATAACAAGTACTAAATTGTCAAGTTAGATACCTGTGTTTAAGTTTTAGCCCTCGAGTCCATTTTACTAAATGAAAGGGTAATAAAAGTCAGAATTTGAACGCATTAGAGAAACATGGATAAATCTAACTACTGTAGCTCACCACTCACATGGTTGTCCCGACACAATTCCACCAATCAAGACAACTGACACCAAAATTAGACCAACGCTTGTACCCTGAAACATACAGAAATAGTTTACTTAATTTGGCATACGTGTGCATTAGTTTCGGCATATCGGTTTATTAGTATCGATATATTGAATCATGATTTTGAAGCAAAATGTTTCTACTTTAACACCGGAAGTGCTATTCCTTTGTTGTTTTTTGATCTACTTTAGTATGAACATTTTACTTACCATCCCGTACATTGTAAATCCTGGGTCAATGACCCATATACTTTATTTTCGGTCTAAATTCCAAAACGTTAATCGTTCTAATTCAAAGTATAAAGCTGTATATGTGTTTGTAAATATTTGTACACAAATACTATGTATGTTTCAGCCTAGGTTTTATCTCAGCAACATGTGCCTTACATTATATAGCTGCCCTGCCTCTGACTAAGTCGTAAGTTGTGAATGTCCTGGGGGAATTTAGTGACATCATGTGATTATCCTTCATGAAGCAGGTGAGATCATTTTATTTCTTTGAATAAACATTACTGGTAAATTTGACAAAATACTATTGTTTCATGTTTGCTGTTACAATCACGCCTATGGTTTGGCCATTTATCGAGATGGGCCTATTGGCCGATATTTAGGTTTAGGTCAATACAAGACATGTTTGTTTGCCGATTGTGCATCTTGTGATTATCATCATTTCATCTCACGTTTGCCTTTGGCTTCGGCTGCCAACGATGCAGCCCACGTTTGCTGCCAACGATGTAGCTTTCGTGTGCCTTCGGCTTCCGTTCAATGTGTTATTGGAGGTAGACTTGCATACGTGTACCCCCCGACCACAAGTACACATATGCAGCTGGTCGCTTCAAACCTCTAACCCAGCTTGTTCAAAAGACTTCGTCCATCATATCAAGCGACGCGTCGCAGGATCACACAAGCTCGCAAGCTCTCAATCAAGTATTCCAATCAATCAAAAATTCAATCAATTGATCAATCAATCAAAAATAACATTATATGAATTTGAAATCAAGATAGATAGCTGATCGGTGAGGTGGATTGCCCTAACCACTGTCTATTAGTAATGTATAATATTTAACGACTTTCTTTCAGGGATCCCCAAGCCAAACTTGAGTAAATGTTTGTTGTGAATCATAAACTATTTTTATCGCACTTTGAAAAAGTGCTATATTGTCGTCGTCTTGTGCTGTTGGGCGGGCGTTTGGGCGTGCGGGCGTGCGGGCGGGCGGGACATAAACCAAATCTTGTCATCAAATTTCCAGGATAACTGCTTACCTGTTCAACTTGAAATTTTTACAGATGCAAGAGCAGACTAGTACCAAGATCTGATTAGGTTAAGCGCATGCTGGGTAAACTATGTGGCGGCCATTTTGAATTTTTCAACAAATCTTGTCATCAAAATTCCAGGAAAACCACTTATCCGTTCAACTTGAAATTTTTACAGATGCAAGAGCAGACTATTGCCAAGATCTGATTAGGTTTTGGGTATGCTGGCTGAATTACATGGTGGCCATTTTGAATTTTTCAATTTGGCGGCCATTTTGAATTTTTCAACTTGCTCCAAATTGACCAAATTTTTTTTTTAAAAACATCTACAAGTTCTCAGATGTTCAAATCTGACCTTAGATTTCAGATTTGACCTTTCCTTCACCTTCAGTGACCTTGAAAAGGTCAAAAAGTTGATTTTCTAAATTGATATTTTGGATTTAAATTTAGGTCAGCTTAATTACAAAACACCTACTGAGGTCTGAAAAAGTGAAATTTTCAAGGTCGAAAGTCAAGGTCATTAAACTAGGTCACAAGATGTTATCCAAGTTTCTCAAAGTTTGAGACTACAAATCAATTCTTGTCATCAAAATTCCAAGAAACCCGCTAACCTGTTCAACTTGAAATTTTTACACATGCAATAGCAGACTAGTGCCAAGATCTGATTAGGTCAAGGGCATGCTGGGTAAACTACGTGGTGGCCATTTTGAATTTTTCAACAAATCTTGTCATCAAAATATCAGGAAAACCACTTATCCGTTCAACTTGAAATTTTTACAGATGCAAGAACAGACTATTGCCAAGATCTGATTAGGTTTTGGGTATGCTGGCTGAATTACATGGTGGCCATTTTGAATTTTTCAATTTGGCGGCCATTTTCAATTTTTCAACTTGCTCCAAATTGACCAAATTTTTTTTTAAAAACATCTACAAGTTCTCAGAAGTTCAAATCTGACCTTAGATTTCAGATTTGACCCTTCGTTGACCTTCAGTGGCCTTGAAAAGGTCAAACATTTGATTTTCTAAATTGATATTTTGGATTTAAATTTAGGTCAGCTAATTACAAAAGACCTACTGAGGTCTGAAAAAGTGAAATTTTCAAGGTCGAAGGTCATCAAATTAGGTCACAAACAATGTTATCTAAATTTTCCCAAAGTTCAAGACTACAAATAAATTCTTGTCATCAAAATTGCAGGAAAACCGCTAACCTTGTCAACTTGAAATGTTTACAGATGCAAGAGCAGACTAGTGCCAAGGTCTGATTAGGTTTTGGCCATGCTGGGTAAATTGCATGGTGGCCAGTTTGCTCTTCAAAGTGCGATATTTATCACTGTGTGTCTTGTTTATTCTATTAACAAATTGCATGTACAAGTATAAAACTTATGGAATTGCGGCATTAATGTTATTGGAGTATAAATACACAGGTTGACAAAAAGATTCACACGTATAATGTTGCATAACAACACTATGGTTATAGAAAAAGAATCATCCGCGGGTCCAAAACGTCCTTCTCTTATGTACATTGAAACAAGAAAGCCATTAATTGAAATCGAGATTTATCAATGCAATCAACAGTGAGATTGTACAGACGTATTGCTTATACTAGTTTTCTATTTTGTCTTTCTTATGTGTATATAATTCTACAACAAGACACACAGTGCTAATATCGCACTTTGAGGAGCAAACTGGCCACCATGCAATTCACCCAGCATGGCCAAAACCTAATCAGACCTTGGCACTAGTCTGCTCTTGCATCTGTAAACATTTCAAGTTGACAAGGTTAGCGGTTTTCCTGCAATTTTGATGACAAGAATTTATTTGTAGTCTTGAAATTTGGGAAAATTTAGATAACATTGTTTGTGACCTAATTTGATGACCTTCGACCTTGAAAATTTCACTTTTTCAGACCTCAGTAGGTGTTTTGTAATTAAGCTGACCTAAATTTAAATCCAAAATATCAATTTAGAAAATCAACTTTTTTGACCTTTTCAAGGTCACTGAAGGTGAACGAAAGGTCAAATCTGAAATCTAAGGTCAGATTTGAACTTCTGAGAACTTGTAGATGTTTTAAAAAAAAAATTGGTCAATTTGGAGCAAGTTGAAAAATTCAAAATGGCCGCCAAATTGAAAAATTCAAAATGGCCACCATGTAATTCAGCCAGCATACCCAAAACCTAATCAGATCTTGGCAATAGTCTGCTTATGCATCTGTAAAAATTTCAAGTTGAACGAATAAGTGGTTTTCCTGGAATTTTGATGACAAGATTTGTTGAAAAATTCAAAATGGCCGCCACGTAGTTTACCCAGCATGCCCTTAACCTAATCAGATCTTGGTACTAGTCTGCTCTTGCATCTGTAAAAATTTCAAGTTGAACAGGTAAGCAGTTATCCTGGAAATTTGATGACAAGATTTGGTTTATGTGCCGCCCGCCCTCACGCCCGCTTATGTTTTCTTAAAATACAAAACAAACGTGGATAAGCACACATTTTGCAAATATTAAGCACGCAGTTTGGGAAACTCCATGTAAATGTACGCACTCAATAGACTAGATGCGAGAAGATATAATCTTGATTTACGGAATTAAATTTTCAAAATTCAGTCAAAGTGATGTCATATTTTAAATCTACAAGTAAAAGTACATCTAAAAATATGGTTTATCAAAAATTGTTTATCAACTTTGAAAATTGATTTTTTAAGATGTGTGTGTCTTCTATAGTTCGGGGAGATTCCCCATAGACCCCATGTTATAAAATCACAAAAAGTAAAATATCTTTTCTCGTATTGGACAGATAACATTTTCTTTTACTGGACATAATTTAATTTGCATAACTATAAGATACAAAAGGGTGACATGAAAATTGAACCACTAAAACAGATGGATATTAAGTTAAAGGGAACTCTACTATACCCACCATGCTATCTGACCCGAACGAGCCACCTGGTGGTGAAACTGGTTACTACCTACTTGAGTGCTACTTACTACCAAACTGAGTGCCTAGTAAGCACGCAGCTTGATATTGGCACCGTGTAGATTCATTCATTCATTCATTCATGTTGTTCATATATATACATTTAAGCTGTTGGCGAAGATCCGATGATTGATACATATGCGTGGCATAATTTTAGATGCCCTGTAAAAGGTTTTAAGTCATGACACTTTTTTGACAGAACTTATTGATCGACTTCGCATAAGTACCCTAAGGTTTTCATAGTCACTCTGTCTGCCGTCAGTGCTCTAGGTGGTACCATGCTTTTGGGGTTAGATGAATATGTTATATCTCACTGCAGCTGACTGTACGGGAACGCCGAACGTTAATGTAAGCAGGGAAATAGGACCAAGAGAATATTTTAAAAAGAAATTAATCGTGAGAATTTCGACAATAGCAACTACAGATGTGCAATGCTTGCCAAGTGTTGGATATATGTCTTTATATTATGTCAAATTATAGTTATAGGGATGTACGTGTACTCAACGTTGTACGTTCCCCTGATTGAAGTTGCTCATAAGAAAAGAAGCTCTGAACATTTACAGATAGGATGTAATGATTCAAATACAAAGTTTCTGACGATTTTTACAACATTTTCAGAAAGAGAACTCCCACGTTTCCGAATTCAGAATAACACACTTTGTAACTATGAGAAGTTTCCAAAGCATTTGACCGAGCGAGCTATATTTGCAAGTGATGGCTTCCAATTACGAAGAGATGGAAAATGTTGGTTGGAAACAGTTTCAAATACGAATGACTCTGATTGGCACATTATCAAACTGGAACCGCATATGACTGCAGCTGGTAGACCCGTCCTGAGACAAATGTTCATTGAGACCCAAAAAAGATTCAACACAGACCTCTACATGTATTCCAACGGTGATATATTATTTCATGTTGAAAAACTGATCACTTCCCTTGAAGAAGTCAAAAGATTCACGAAAGCTCACAACATCAGGAGGTTTATTGTGTTTGGGGCAAGACACGCGGCAAAGTTATATTCAAAAAGTAATGAGTCTTTTGAAATTATTTCCGGATCCGATGAGGAAATTACTCAACGTTTCCGAGGTACCAAATTGGATCAACTAGATGCACAAGATTACTTCATCACTAGTAAAACTAGTTTCCCATGGGATGCTGTGCCCGATTACGTTGTCAGCCTTCCTGCCTTTGACAACTGGTTACTTATGTTCAGTAACAAAGCAGGCATTGCAACATTTGACATCACTGCCACTAACCTTGCCGTTCACCAAGCAGGGGCCCCAAAATTCAAAGACAATAATTACCAGACGTCTATGTCAAGTAATAGGAAATTATGGAATGCATCAATTATATCATTTCGTGCAGGTAGCACTTATCTAAAAAGTTGTTGCAAATGGGAAACTGCGTTTAAGGAAGGTAAAGTTATAATAGTAAAAAATCCAACATTCAAGGACAAGTGTATTGCAAAATTAAAAATCCCTGTTGAAAACTTTTTAGATGAGAAGGTTTTTGAGGGTTAACAATTAGATTGGGACATAATTCCCTCCCACAAGTACACGTTTTGGATTAAAATGATTTTTGAAGATAATTCCTTAAAATTACACGTTTCTCATTTGTAGTATAGAATAACAAGACAAGGAATATTGAAATTGCATGTACGCTAAAACTAAAAGAAGCAGGAATAATGAAAATGATTTTCAAGTAAATTAAAAGAAAAAATATTATAAATATAACAAGGAATGTTATTGCCGACTAAGGTAGTATTCAAAATAAGTTTACAATCTCTGTTCAAGAGGAAATTCCTAATGTGCCCTCCAAATTCTAAAGATTTAAGATTTTTACTTGAGACAACATGGCCAAATATGCAACGTTATCTTAGTTTGTGGAAAATTGGATCAATTTTTATCTAGGTCAAATGTTATAGCTAGGTCAAACCTTTTATTTTCCCATTGTTTTTTATTTATTCCGCCATGTTTTTATGATGCTCGATCATATTATACAATATATACTCTATAAAAAATAAATATATGAGAAGTCTTTTACATATTTCTAACCCATATTGAGAATCAGATAGATATCCTCTGGATTCTGACACCTTTTAAAAAAACTAGTCTCGGTTTGGAGAACGAAACTCATCAGTCTACTGCACGTTACGCCTTCGGACAGTTTTGGTATTTTAACATATTGTAGATTTAAGTAATTATTAGCGCAGTATACTGATGAACTTCTTTCTCTCAATCGAGACTTGTATTTTATTGAATCGATCTACTGCACGCTACGCCTGCTTCGGACAATTTTGATACTTTTCCTTGTAGATTAATTTAAATGTCCTCTTTCGACTATTCATAATTTAATTAAGGGTATAATTCATAGCAAACCTGCAATTGACAAACTACGATTGGGAGAAAGTGATAAGGTTTTACTCGTCTATACATGCGATGTATTTTGCATCCGAAACCGACCGTACATTACAGAATGTATTTCATGCCTACTGAGATTCTTGGTATGGTATGGTATGGTTCTTTATTTCCTCCAATTTGGAGAGCAAACTAGATAATGGCAACTCCACGGAGAAGCAAATCCCAACGAACATTATATAAATCATCAATCTGTACAGTCACAATGTAATAATTTACCATCTACTCTTACCTCCAATAAATATTTTGAATCATTGTAGTATCATGTAACAATACTTTCAAGATAACTCTAAGTAATGGCGAATTTCTGCTCTAGTCAGCCATTTTGAATTTTCAGAGGAGCAAATCAGAAAAACAATGCCATAATTGTGATCTACTCTGAAAAACCTTCAATTTGAGTATTATATAGCCATACTTTTAAGAGAACAGAAAATAATTGCGAAATCCCGCATTAGGCGGCCATTTTGAATTTTTGAGGCCCGAATCAGAAAAACGCTACAATATTGACTATCTACTCTAAATTTCCTTTCATTTGAGTATAATAAAGCTTAACTTCAAAATCATCTCAAAATTCCTGTTTTCACAGTCCCCCATTTACGGCCCCTGGGGGTCAGCGTGAAAAACCCGGGATATATGTGAAATAGATAGATGTTGTTAATATAGTACCAACATTTCAAATAAAAATATATATTAATTTGGTTTAAAATGAAAAACATAAGACTTTTGCGAAAAATTCCCGCCATTTTTAAACTGGCGGCCATCTTGAAAAATATTTTTTGCGTAGAACTATTCACCAATATACATCTTTCCACCAAATATGAAGAAAATCTGTCAACTAGTATTCGAGTTATCTTCCGGACAGACATTTCCAAAGATCATAATGGCACTTTTACATGGTTCTTGTAAACCAGTGGTAGACTAACCGCCACTTACAACTATAGGTAAACACAATATCTAATAGATGCTGTAACCACTTACTTACTAAAAACTTACTTTAAGGTACGCATTTTCCTAAGTTTGTGAAATTTCACACTCATATTTCTATGGAGCAGATCAATGATCTTAAAAAGTTAAAATATAAAGGGTAGGTTCGAAATATAATTTTTACTTAGTGAATTGAGTAAAACTTAAATGACTTACCTTTTCAGGAGCGGGACCGGGATGGATACAGCTTAGTTAGAACCTTAGTTGATATGAAATACATAAGGGTTTTGTACTGGGAGGTTTTCGATATGGGGTTTATCCAGAGAGAGATATCCATATCTACCTGAGGGACAGTAGGGACCAAAAGCAGATGAGCAAATCTCACGAGGGATAAACCCCATATCCAACCCAACCTTACATAACTGCTTTATCCTATACCCAGTGGAGTTTTCTAATTTTTCTAATTTTTTCACATTTTAAAAAAAAAATTCAATTTTTAAATTTTGTTGCTAATTTCTTTTCAGTTTTTTCTAATATATGGCGGGAGATATGGAAGTTCTGGATATGGTAATCTCAATATCAAGATACGGGATATATTTTACCAACTTATCTCCCTAAAACTCTACTTGGTATAGGATGAGGCATATGTCATGAGTCCTAAATTGAAGGACGTTACACTTGCTCTGAATAAAGTGATGGGATTTGGCTGGTTTTAACTTTTAACTTTTATTTAAGTTAATGGCCCTGTAATCACATTAAAGTGGTATGAACAGCAAGTAAGCTGAAATACTTGGCACATACAACGATGTAACTAAAGTGTATTATACTATGTTGTACCTGGTGTGCAGGCTTGGGTGTCCTGGTATTTGTTTCTGTCCTTGCCAAGAGGAGAGTATTCATGTTTGTTTCTATTAATAGTATTTACGTAACAAAACAGACACAAAGCGGACGTAGATAATTGTATAGTTAGAGATAAATAATTAAGGATTTAAGCTCTGGATTCATGCATTTTATGGTGAATCATTCCATTGAAAGTGTTTTTTCATAATCTTTGCATGACCGCGCAGCGGGAATGGAAAGTTTAGGAAACAACACCTGGATGGTATAAAGTAGCCACAATGAATTAAGTTTTGGGCTTAAATTCTTTTCACACATTGCGATTTTTTAAAAGTAAAGATCATAGTGGTAGGTCAAACGGTAAAGGTAAATTTAAGGGAGGGCATTAATAAAGATGATTTTCTGCGTAGCAGCTTCAACGTGTTGGATATATTGTACATTATATATATATCGTTTGTTTGAAATCGTAATGTAATAGGCAGGTGGGAGATAACAGTATTAATTTATAAGTTTTGCTATGTTAACAAGGCCTATTTCATACATTCTATGAAACCAGGGCCAGCATCCTAAATTTAACGCTAAATTAGCTAGAGACTTCACCTGCCTCCAGCTCATTGATTGACAACGATAGGCTATTGTATTCGTTTTATATTCATGTATATAGTGTCTGTAGATACTTGAACTGGTCGTACGATTCAAAGCATCGATGGGACAAAATCGTTGGATTTCCGGTTACATTATTGCAACCATTATAACATTTCTTCAATGTGAAGATATAAAGATGCGAGACAGTCCGCGGCAATCTTGTATTAATTTAAATGTACGGGAGAACATTATGAGGTAAGCTGTTGCAACATCTTAAACATTTTATCACTATTTATGCAACACTTTAATAGGATATAGGATATGACAAATATATTTTCATATTTACTTTGGATCTTTAGTGGCTCTTGTCTGCACAAAATATTATTGGAAACTTAAATGAAAATAAATTGTTGGCTCTGTCTCAATGCCAATTTTCCATTCATTTGTCAATATTATGCCAAAAACAGGTCCCCATCACGTCACTCTCACCTATTTTAAACTTAAATTGCGAACAAAAGTGTATATGCCCCCCAAAATTCCTTGTTAACGTTTTGAAACCATATTCGCCGTTTACAGTTTTCAATGAAGGGGGGGGGCATCTGACCCCGCATTTCCCGTTCATATTCTGAAAAAGTGTTATATATTGATCAACACGTCCCTTTAATTTTACCGTTAGCAGGATGTCAATAACATATCAGATAGTTTGGCATGCGTTTTCTGTTTATAGTAGCCCGCTTTCGGGATCTTTGTTCCTTTTTGTTTGAAGAGCTCTTATCATTGGGACCATTTATTTTGTGATTTTCGGATATACTAAAATCTGATAATCTGTATGTTCGAATTTTACTCTATTTTTGAAATATGTAGTCTGCTTTTGATAATACTGGATATTAAAAAAGTTACCCTTGAACAATTTTGTCTTGGCTACTAGTTAAGGTAGATACGGGTACTAATTAGAAATTGTAACATTTGTACTGTAAGGAAGTTACACCTAATGTCGGCTCATTTACCTACTCGTTCTCTTATAATGTCATTGTCAAGTGGTTAGAGCTTAATTTATATGCACCTCCCTTGTGCTAACTACATGCTAATGTAGGTTAGAATTCTGGGTATGGCATGTACTATTTTGCATGACTGACTTGAGTTATCTACCTAGTATGTATCATGATATGATGTGTTTTGAATATTCTCTTACATCTTTTCAGTTGATTTGCATTGACATGCCGTTGTTGTGCCCGTATTAAATGTGTATTACTATATTTATTTCTGTTCCTTAAGGTCATCATTGGAATGCCCTAAAGCGGAATCACCTCATCAAGAATGTAGCCCAGAACAATATTCAGTAAGTACACTTATTTTAGTATAATCAATTTATTAGCCATGCTGGTGCTTTTATGCAAGTCAAATTTTTAATTTTGAGGCTTTCTTGTATTTTCCCACCTGTCTTTCAAGAAATATTATTAAATATATTTGCTAAGTACTAACATTTTTTAAAGCACACACTTCGGTATTCTTGTTCAACCCCGTGTGTCACAAGTTGTTAGAGAAGATAGTCCTGGGTCTTGAAGCAAGACTTAATGATTCAGTATGTTTAGTTTCTGTATAAAGCCAAGCGACCTCGGTTTGAGGCTTTAAACAGATATAAAGTGCATTATTGCTCTTGCTCACGTATCAATGGATAACAAATATACTTTTCAGAAATCAAGGTGGGGGACAGACAACTATGTTGAATATCAACCAGGGTCGACTTCATCTAAGATAATTCTTCTTGTACCCCACGGAGGATATGAGATGCCTAAGCACATTCCAAAAAGGGTAAATGGATGTAGGATAAATGGTGAATGCATTTACTCTCACAGTTGTCCTAATGTTGGGGAATCCACAGATTGTTCAGCAGGGTGGACAGGGAGCGATGAATATACTCTTAAACTAAGCAATGCTATAGCTGATTCAGTACACACCATAACGGGTTATCGACCACATCTAATTGCTAATCATCTCTACAGAGATAGAATGGATGCAAATAGACCAATGAGTAAGGCGACGTTTATGGATCAAAATGCAATGACTGTTTGGCAGGAGTTCCATAGTTATATTGAGGAAGCTAAATCTATAGTAGGGACGGGATTGTTGTTGGACATTCACGCCCATGGCAGGCGTAATAATTGGATACAACTGGGGTATACTTTGCCTGGGGATGATCTGAACAGTGAAACGTTACTGAACGCCTCAAAATCGTCAGTATATCATAGGAGTCTACATACGGGTGTCCCCTTTGAGGAGTTTCTTCGCGGCAATGAAAGTTTGGGTGGTTTATTTGAGAGCAATGGCTATATAACAGTTCCTGCACCTGGTTTAAAAGGTCCGGGGACTGAGCCTTTTTTAGCCGGCGGTTATAACACCATGAGGCATGGTTCAAGACATCAAGGCACAATTGATGCAATACAGGTCGAATTTCCACAGTACATTAGAAGATATTGGAAGCGATACGCTCATAGCGTTGCTGAAAGCATTGTAGAATTTACTAAACGCTGGTACCAATAGAAACCATGATCCTTGTTCGTTTGCCAATTATCGCTTACAATGTTTTTTTAAATTCTAAGGAAAACGAACGTTACATATATGAGGGTTATATCTATATTTATAGTTCTCTACACAGATCAGTTTGGACTTCAACGCAACCTATATTTATATTAGGCAATTTACAATTTGTGGAAAATAAGAAAGCAGTAATGTGAACGAATTAAGCCGCAATCGGCGATTTGGAGAGATATTTCCTTTCGCACTTCACAATTTGTGTAAAAAAAGTATCCCATTCATAATCAATTTAGCACCGGGGTTTTACTGGATTTTTAAAGGCATTCGATACCACCGAATGTGGTAATAACACAAAGTGTATATGAAATTTTATAATTTTAAGAGTTCATGTATATGGCATTAAAGACTCACCCTTTCTTATTTTAAAGCTGGAAATTGTCTATGGTTCAAAGTAAATATATTTTGGCTTCAAATTAATTTTAATATTGGTATTACATGCGCACCATTACATGTATATATCAAGAAAGATAGGGTGGTACTGAATCATTTATTGCTATTTATCTATTGGTATTACTGTACACAAATACGTGTTTTGCATTATTTACAGTTGTACACTCCCCTCCATAAGTTTGGCAATCCTAACTCTCTCCATTCTGATACTCATAGCATCTTTCTGTTTCACCTGAACATCTCAGGGCTGAGAAGATTTGAGATGGCATGGTTTATCATGATGAACTCTCTCATTGAACTCCGTGTTAAAGCCTCTTTATATTTGAATTTTCATTTACATAACCTGTGAGGTAAATACTTAGAGTATTGATGGAAATATAACTTATCAACATGGGAATGTCGATTTCAAAAATTTCATCAGATTTGTAATCACTTTTCGACCCATTGTAAGTGAAGAAAAAATTTGGAAAATTTGAAAGCATTGGAATTGAAGTCAAATTACATTTCCATCAATATTATAAGTATTTTCCTCGCAGGTTATGGAAATAAAAATTCAAACACAAAGAGGCTTTAACGCGTAGTTCAATGAGGGAGGTAGGGTTACCTAACTTATGGAGGGGAGTGTATATTTATTTCATTTTCCATCGAAATGAGGTGGATGAATAAATGAAATAAGATGGTGTATATGTTGATAATACTCCATATTAAAAAAGTGACCCTTGAACAATTCTGTCTTGGCTACTAGTTAAGGTAGATACGGGTACTAATTAATGTTTCTCAATCCTCTTTGCAGTTAACAATCTTCCTGAATAATAGACATTTATTTATTCTGTAAAGAAAATTGATAAAAATATATTTTCAAAAATAACTGGCGTATTCTTGAATGTATTAGCAGGAAGACAGGCATGATATATCACATTTTGGGCCAATCAGAACACGGTACAGACATTTTATATCTAACAACAGATGAATGGTTGACAAAGAAAAATTGTAATATATGTAAACAATGACCCTGCTGTGCTCGAAGTTATAGGGCACCCTTATGTCAGAGTATGTCCATAAAGTTTGTAAAAATATACTTCGTCCAATACGTTCTCTCATAGTTTTAGCCGTTCGGATCAGCAACAATGTTTCAAGAATATATTGAGAACTAGTTCCGTGTGATTGGGGGATAAAGAACATTCATAACGACATTTGTTCTCTGTATAAATCAGGAAAAGCATTTGAGAAGACAAAATTGATATCTCTGTATTTTTGGATTATTAGAAAACAGGCACTTAGATATAAGAAAAAAGGATGTTAAATATAACCTTTAATATAACTTTACAGAACAGAATTACAGAATGATGTTCATATCGTGACCAAAGTTGCTCATGTCCTGTGGTTTTGGATTGTGGTATAGATTATCCTGTACAATGGATCATGAATATGTATACACTGCATTTTAGAGTTTGATTTCCATTAAAGTGACTGGCTAGGTGTATTGTTACAGGCCTTCTAGACTTCAACTAACGCGCTCATCAGTTCTGACTTCACGATATACGTCCCTTCCACCCGAAGCACGCGCGCGGTTATCACAACGCGAATATCGAATTTTTTGTCGCAAACCACTAATTCCTTTTTCGAACATATTTCTCCATTTGCAAACGCAGTTTCCATATCGCGAACCACAAATCTGTATATGTCGGGATGTGGGAATTGGGTGCGCGAGTGGGGAAATATGTACGGGAGAGAGGATCTAGTGTTTGCGACTATACGAATCGAAATTCGCGTTGTGAGAACTGTGGCTCGGGTAGAAGGAACAGTTTGCGATCGATCGCGAGGTCAGATGATCGCGTATGTGGAAGACTACAGTATGAGCCCTGTGCTGGATGTTACAATAGTTGGTGTTATTAAATTGGTCCAATGAATGATTTTCATACTTTTGAAAATACCCCTAAGTTTTCTTTTGAGAGATGCCAAAACAGTTAGCCACAAACGTTGAATGTATGACAACTACTTATAGTCCATTTGTCATTTTCTGAACGTATAAATATTTAAAAGTATGATGTTTTTCTGTGTAAATACTATCATTAGGGATTATTGGAGTGATTTAGCTGGGTTGCCCAAAAAATAACATTGGGGAAAATGTTTGTATCTATTACCATGGTAACATACCAGGTATATGGTGGTATCCAAACGCTAAGTCAATAGCCAACGCCATGTTAAGTGATTGCACCTCTCCCTAATCAGCCTATATAATTTTTTCCCCAAACAAACTTTTTGGGCAACCCAGTTAAATCACTTCAGAAAACCCTTATTATCATAAATCGACCATAAAACATCGTACTTTTAACAATTTCTAGGTTCACTATTGGATGTATAGGGGTGACAAATGGACTATTAGGCACTTTTGATTTTTCTTTTAGCCCTAGCAGACCGATACTAAGAATCAAAGTATAATTGACATAACTTCAGGGTAAGGAAAAACATTTATATACATTTCTACTGAACATATTAATATAAACATGCATAGAGATACATTTTGATGGTGCATACATGGGCCGGGTCACTTTAGCAGGGTCCGTCAAGACTCTGGTTCGTGCGGTTTGAACAATGGTTTGATAACTAAAATTGCTAATGACGATAACATAGCTCCTATCATAAACAGACAAAACAAGAAACGATCCATCACATGAGCTACTGCTCTCCATTCGTTCACCATCTCGTGATACTGTTCAGTTTCTCCTTTGTTTGTTACTACAATGTTAAACTGTTGCGAGACATTCTCATATTGATGTTTTATGTCATCTTTTACTTCCGGTCTGTTCTGGTCGTATATATCTTTATACTGAACATTGTTTGTATTAACGCCACCGTTACAATTATGTAAATCATCGGGTGGGTCTTCGTGTAGATGTTGAAGGGGCGTCTCATCTTGACGGGCTACTCTGTGATAGCTGTAGTGTCTGACACGTCTGCGCATGAATAGCAGTCTTGCGATGACGTCAAATACGATGCAGCGCATCCAGCGAGGGACCGGTCTCTGCTGGGGTCCCACGTGATGAAGTTGTAACACGAATACTGTCAATACGATAGACAGCGACGTCATCGCCATAGTTGTTGTTAAATAAATACCTAAAATTCAACATCGTAAGGTGAGTAAAGTATGACATACGACCCCCTTCAAAAGTTAGGTATCAGGCACTAAAGAAGTTTTTTTTACATAAAGAAGTTTTTACTTTAGTTAAAGATGCATTATGCCATAGGTATCTCCCCCAGACAATCAATGATGTCCTATTATTATTGCTCATATAATATCTCACAAACAATGGCTATATCTTGAGAATAACTTTGGGGTATATTATTGCCGAAATATCGGAAATAATCAACAGAACAACCAAACTCCAGAATTGAACACAATCGATTCCTCGGCTAGTGAGGGGAATCCCCATTGAGTCACACAAGCGGCCACAAGCGCCTTGAACCAGACAGCCTATCAGGTTAACGATAAATAAATTCAACGACCAATCAGATAACAGGAGGATTTTCTTCAGATTGAATTAATTTCTTCGAAAATAATTAGATCGGCCAGCACAATTGCAAAATTAACACTGAAAGAGGGGGGTTTGGGACTTCTTCTTTGGTAGGTAGATACTAGTAGGTATATACGTATGTGGTGAAACTCAATATGCAAAAAAAGTCCAGAGAGGTCTTGATTGTGCTATCCTATGGCATAGAGCCTCTTCAAAGATAACGAATAATATATAAACGGATTCCAAATCCCACGATGTTAGTAATTTATATCAGTTACATTTAACGTCAGTGCTATCAAAATATTGCCAATTGATTGATATTTGTTAAATTGTCCCTTAAACTACATACTTGTAGAATTACTATGTTCAATTTGTATATAATGTCATTATTATGAAAAATATCAAAAATGTCATGGATAAAGACCCCGACGATAATAGAAGCCAATCCTTGTCAAATAGTGGAAAAGTCAAGATGCAAGTGTCTATACCCAGTCTGCCATCTTTTGCATCATTGAGAGTAAATTACAAACTTTCAGTTTTAACAATTATCTAGGCAGCCCTCTTTTTGTAACAAGAACGGGCAAGGGTTCAGATGTACTCGTTATTTGAACATCTTCATTGAAATATAAAATCAGAGTACCACTGGAAAGCTCGTTTGATAAACTAGTAGTTCGAATTGGATTAAAACTCGGTCAAAGTGACCTAGTGAGTGCAGTTTGGAAATATATTTTGGAGAATCTGTTTTTGGAAAGCGTGATACACCGACTGCATAGTTTATTTTGTTAAACATATTTAAATACCTACCTATCAATGGCACAAATTCGGAAGTTGCGGGCATGCTCTCAGCAATTAACAGCATAAACACAGAGAAAGCGAGCAGAACAGTAATCCCCAGTGTAATCTTCTCGCCTGAATCTGGAGGAAGCCAGAAGCCCAATAAACTGAGGACGGTAAGCCATAGACAGGGGAATATAATGTTGAACAGATAGTATAACGTTCTCCTGCGAATTATAATAGTAAACGTCACGTCGGGGTACGGCTCATTACAACAGGGGTATTTAACCTCGTTGCGTACAATGTCAATACGCACTAATTCCCACTCGCCGTTGAATACATAGTTAGTCAAATCTACTTCTGTTGAACGGTTTGTGACATCCACTTGAAAACCATCGTAAGTCCAGGAGCCGAATTTCATTTTGCACTTCTGATCATCGAAAGGGAAATATGTGATATCTTAAAAAACAAATGAAGACGCATACATTTAGCATTAACAGCATTATTATTTAACTCATCAATTGTCAAACTTGCTTGAATGCCGTAGGTTTATTTATACCCCTTTCCTCATAATCGTAAGCATCAGTTTAAAGATGGTCATACAAAGATACACTCCCCTCCATAAGTTTGGCAACCTTTTTTCCCCCATTGAACTACGTGTTAAAGCCTCTTTACCTTTGAATTTTTATTTACTTAACCTGCGATGAAAATACTTATACTATTGATGGAAACGTAATTTGACTTTAATTCCAATACCTCCAAATTTTCTCAATTTTTTTCTCAATTACAATAGGTCGAAAATTGATGATAAATTTGATGAATTTTTGAAAATCGACATTCCCATGTTAACCAATGGGAAATGTTAGGTTTGCCGCAAGTCATATGACAGAATATCCATCAATCGGAGTCCTTGCAAAAAATACGAGTTAGGCAGGAAATTGAATTTGCTAACTTTATTTAACAAGAAATTGATATGTTTCTTCAGGTTCAACAGAGTTATAGGGCTTTAAAGTCAAAATTGTTTTTCAAAAAACCTCTCCCGTTGAAATAACACAGGAGGCGAAAAATTATTTTCAAAAATGACTTTGAAGCGCTGTAACTTTAATATTCATCAAATAAACTAAACACTTAGTGTTCAAAAAAGTTAGACAACTGAATTTTCTATATAAAAATATTTTTTGCTGAATCTTTTACTGAAAAGATATCCTGATTTCTGATTTGCCCCGAACCCTTCATTTCCCATTGGATTACATGGGAATGACGATTTTCAAAAATTCATCAAATTTATCATCAATTTTCGACCTATTGTAATTGAGGAAAAAAATTGAGAAAATTTGGAGGTATTGGAAATAAAGTCAAGTTACGTTTCCATTAATATTATAAGTTATTTCATCGCCGGTTAAGTATATAAAAATTCAAACGTAAAGAGGCTTTAACAAGTAGTTCAATGGGGGAAAAAGGTTGCCAAACTTATGGAGGGGAGTGTAAAGTCAGATGGGCAAACGTAAATTTCAAAAAAATTATTTATCTGTATAATTTACTTGGCATATACTATAAACATGTTCTTACCTATCTTACAAGAACTACGTAGTTTGGCTGGTGGCGCCCAGAAGACGTTACCGTCAGACCTGACCATAGCGCGGCTCTGCATGTATCCCTCTGTGAAATCATCAGCGCTAAAATTCATTTGACCATAACTTTTAGACGTTACATACAGGCAAGACCTGTATATAACCAGTCAACAACATAAACTATTTTAATAATGTTATTTTAGATCACGATTCTGAGTGGTATCACGATCGTCAATTGTTTTGTATTATATGCTGTGTAGAATGAAGAAACAAACAAAAATCACTAGAACTTTTCGAAATATTATAATTTGGCTCAACTTTACTTTATAGCGATTGCGTCGGATTTGTATACGAACAGCGCGAGGTAGAATCTATGCACGCCTTACATCGTACTAGTCCATGGTATGAAATCTCTAGGACGTTTAATAAAGGAGCTGGTAGCACACTATAGCGCAGCGACATTTGACCTAACATTAACATACCTACATATGTTCCCTAATAAATTTTATTACAACCGTTTAATATACTTCCGGCTTTTAGGGTGAATTATGCCTGCCATTAACAGAGGTCAAAAAATTACAAAAAAATAAAATCCCAATTTTTCACAATTTGGAGAACACAATGCAACAGAAAATAATACAAAACTATTTTAAATATATGATCAAGGTTTCTAAGCTATACGTTTGAGGTTATTTTTCTTATCAATACCAAAACATTTTGTAATCAGTGCATCGACGTTTTGTATTGTATCTCAGGTATTAATAAGATTAATGCTACAAATGAATCACTTTTATATTAGAATTACAAATGCTTAAATTATGTAAGTTTTTCACAAAATAGGTCTCAATACGTTTTGAGATATGGACTCTTATTCAGCGGTGAACATTAGAAATAAAGGAGAGCCTATTGCTCTTCCTCGACTAATTGGGACTACAGCTGGAAATTATTTTTCTCGTATTTAGATATAGCTTAGTTGCTTATAAAAAAACACCAAGACTTGGTCGAACTCCTGAATGATTGAGAAAAATCCAGCGGTAAAAAATCCTTATATCCAGCGGTAAGGTCAAAGAAGAAACAACCGTCAGAAAACTTGATGATATCCACAAGGAACGTCGAGGTAGAATTGTAAGGCGTTCGATTGCATATGACTCTAATTGATTATTAGACATGCCCTTGGAATATATGAACATTTCAATACCTCTGTAACATTTAATTTGATATAAATCTTACCTATTTGTTATTGTATTATGTTCTATAAAACATGAACAATAATTTGTTGTTTAACCCATTGCGATTATATTGAAAACATCTGGTAATGAAATGTTTTAAATGGTAAGAAAACTAATATATTCCAAATCATAAATTATCTAAATATTCCACACAATTTTTGTTTAATCTGCTTAGCTCATATTTGAAAAATCAGACAAAATCTGAAAAACACACTTGCGTAATTACACTAATTAAACAACGACATCCACAGTAAAATTAAAGTATATTTTTACATTACAATAATCTATTTTTTTGTTCGTATGCTTAGAATCACGGTCAGAGTCTTATAAAATGTATAAACGTTCGAATCAAAATATTTACGTTTTTTGACCCCTTGTGATGAAATACATTTTTCGACCCGAAAGCCGGAAGTTTTTTCAGCAAATGGTATTTTAAAAGAATCAAGACATATGCACCTCCATAAATATTGCTTCAAATATTGCTGCGCTATAGTGTGCTACGGATCCTTCATATTCGGAAGTCATACCATGGACTATACCGCAGTGTTAGCTTTTTAAATTCAATTATTGGATCAGCCTTTTCCGTAAACCCTATTCACCTATTATAAAGGACTATATCAGGAAGCCAGATGAGTTCGCATGGTATGCGTATCGTCACCAGACCATTGTAGTCAGCGGGATCCCAACGTAGTCTTTCATCATTCCATTCCTGAAAAACAGCCCTGATGTATATGACGGAATATTTGAAAATAGATATCAACTCGCCAATCGCCGTTTCAAAAGGAGAGTACGAGTTAGAAAAAATGATATCATATCACAAACATTCTCGATTTCACGTTTGTTTTGCCTTTTTTGTTTTTCTGATTCATTTAAACGTATACATAGTTCGGATCATTTCATATAGAATCATAACACGCTAAGGCTTTCTATATATAGTCGAGTCATTAACATGCAAAATATCACCACCTATCATTTGTTACAGGAGAATAGGTGTATGTACTTTATTGCAGATATATGCCATTTTCAGACTTTATAACTCAGATCAGAACTATTTTTAAAGATTACCCTTTGCATTCGTTCGACTTCGCTTCTCAGAATAGAGCTTCGTCTTCGATACTAGACAGAGGGAAGTTTAAAACTAGACTCTGCGGGAAGGGTATTTAAAGATATAGTTTATAACACAATCTTAGAATTTCCCATGTCTATTATCTGACAGTATTATTCATACAAGAGCAAACATCGACTGACATTGGAATACAATATAGAACTACTTCTTAAAATTATTAATCTAGGTCGTTTCCATTACAAATGATACCGGATCATCAAAATTATATAATATTATTTCTAAATGATTTATTTTCTGTCAAATAAATAGCTCTTGCTAGTAATTGAGTAATTTGCTAAAGGCACACCTGCGTAACTATTTTAAAAGATAATACGATATAATTGCATTGCTGATGTAATAAATCGAGTATCTAATCAAATATCATTTAGCAAATCAGCATGTGAAACGTAGTCTGGGTCCAAACCCGTGAGAAGTAGAGGGGGTCACAGAGCCTTGTAGCTAGACTAGTGAAACGGAATAACTTAATTTATAGTTATATTAGCAGTACCACCTTTTGATAAAATCATGGGTTTTCGAAGCAAATATATTAAAAGTGCATGGTGTATCAAGACTGCAGGCCCGTAGCCAGGATTTACCAGGGGGAGCGGTTTTACTAGGTGGGGACTGCCAAATTTTTTCCCAAGGGGACGAGTTTTTTGACAGTTTGGCAAAAAAGCATGCAAAAAGTGCTCAAAATGGTGTGAAAAACTTTTGAAAGATTTTCTTGCCAGCTCCCTCCGCCTCCCCCCTGGCTACGGGCCTGGACTGGTACTTATAGCATATTTTGTCTCGATGTCATATTCATCAATCCGCTTCACTATTTCACTCCACCATTTCACGGTAAATGATCTCGGAATCGACGCGATGCGTTCTTTCCAGACCCTGGCATGTTGCAACCGCACTTGACTTGTGATATAATGCCGAAATAGATCTTAGATCCCCGGGAACGGGATGGACAGACAATCACCGTTGCTTGTTTGGCGTCAATCTATTGAAAAGTGAAACGTTTTGTGTGCTCAAAATTCCCTTGCATTCTACCAACGGGAGCCGAGGGAACAAAGATGTCTTGTTTGCTTATAGTGAAACGTTTTGCTAAAAATCAAGCAGTCAGAGTCTGATGACTTTTACACACTGGTAATGTTGCGCCTTTTCAATAGATCTCATACCTAGAAGCGTAACACGTAATATTATAATTTACAACTAGGGCGCATTCACTTAAAGATTTATTCGTGAAAAAACTCATGAACAAAATAAATCTTGTAGATTTATTGATCTTTGGAAAAACCGTACGACATCTCCTCGCGCATTTTTAAGTGTAACGGGAATTTGCCCAGACATACAAAAATAAGATAAGATATGGATACAAATCATCCAAATGTGTGCAATGCAATTTTGTTTCATATTCATTATAATAAATGAGTGTTTATGGACTCTAAGTAGTACCATTTGGATTTGAATGTCTGGATTGATATTTTTGCTAATAGTTTTCAACAATATTTATAGGCCTTTGGTTGTTTGGGCAATCTACTTTAAACACACAAATTCCCTGGTGCGTTTTGATATAATAGACTGTGAATATTAAGAGTGAAGATATTACTGCTTCTTACCTGCTCCAACCAAACGTTTGTTGTCAGTACCTGGTTCACTTCATCCTGAAAAGTAGTTGATTAATTTATTTTAATTTTTTAATATTCATACTAGATAGTCGTGTTTTTTAGGTGTTTATAGGAATAGCTTGCAGACTTACATGTATCTGTTTTTAACATATGCATAAGTAAGTAATGTGTTAGTGAGATAGCAATCGACATCATTTGACATTCGTTCGACTACTCTTATTAAAAGGGAGCTTCGTCTTCAGTATTTTATAACAAGATTCTGCGCGTAGGGTAGTTTATAACTAGACTATACGCGCAGGGTACGTATATACAATAGACAAGTATTGGTCCCCTAGCTAACCTCCCCGCTTCTCCAACACCACCATACCAAGTACCATTCGCATTCGTTTCACTTAGTTTGTAAGTAGACGAAGCTATATGATACTAAGAAACGTTTTGTCAAAATATATAGCCTATACTAAGGCCCCACTATCCCGGCCCTGTTAATCTCTCTAAAGTATCACAGCTTGGAGGGAAATTGGAGGGTGGATGTTTGAAATTCTCTTTGCAAGACTGCTGGACAGAACTGCACTGAAGACGGAAACATTATTTATAATAATAGATACAGAAGAGCGTTAAGTATGTGAGGAACCCTTTCATCAGCCGATTTACGATATCTCGACTGTACAATTATCACCCCGATTAACAAGATCCAACAATATAGTCGTTGAACATAAAATATAATTATAGCTCAGTGGAGAATAAAATACACGTTGCTATATCTTTAACCTTAGTTTTTAGTGGATTAGTTTTGATAAACAATGGTTGTACATGAACGCACGCAACTCTCAGATGTACCAAAGACCTTTACAATTTTTTTATTTTTTATTTTATCAAATGTAGGCAATGTCGTAACGGCTGGATACTTTTCAAAAATGTGTTATCTTGTCACTTTAACAACAAATAAAGATTTGTGTGGATTTATTTGCTTTTTGTTTCCATGGCAGCTGCGGGGGGAAATGAGAACTTGAGCAAGTTGGGATCGCGGACGGAATAGCGTGTTGAGCACATTCTATAGTAATTAAATACTAAAAGTCGTGTTTTTCAGGTTTTTATAGGAATAGCTTGCAGACTTAGTTGCGTACATGTATCTGTTTTTAACATATGCGTAAGTAAGTAATGTGTTAGTGAGATAGCAATGGACATCATTTGCATTTGTTCGACTACTCTTATTAAAAGGGAGCTTCGTCTTCGGTATTTTATAACAAGATTCTGCACATAGGGTAGTTTATAACTAGACTATACGCGCAGGGTACGTATACAATAGACAAGTATTGGTCCCCTAGCTAACCTCCCCGCTTCTCCAACACCACCATGTCTAGTACCATTCGCATTCGTTTCACTTAGTTTGTAAGTAGACGAAGCTTTATGATACTTAGAAACGTTTTGTCAAAATATATAGCCTATACTAAGGCCCCACTATCCCGGCCCTGTTAATCTCTCTAAAGTATCACAGCTTGGAGGGAAATTGGAGGGTGGATGTTCGAAATTCTCTTTGCAAGACTGCTGGACAGAACTGCACTGAAGACGGAAACATTATTTATAATAATAGATACAGAAGAGCGTTAAGTATGTGAGGAACCCTTTCATCAGCCGATTTACGATATCTCGACTGTACAATTATCACCCCGATTAACAAGATCCAACAATATAGTCGTTGAACATAAAATATAATTATAGCTCAGTGGAGAATAAAATACACGTTGCTATATCTTTAACCTTAGTTTTTAGTGGATTAGTTTTGATAAACAATGGTTGTACATGAAGGCACGTAACTCTCAGATGTACCAAAGACCTTTACAATTTTTTTATTTTTTATTTTATCAAATGTAGGCAATGTCGTAACGGCTGGATACTTTTCAAAACTAATGCAATTAATTCAATTTTCTAAAAACATTACATTACCTTAAAACAGGATAGAAACGTTTTGGATACAATATACTGTTTAACAAATGTGTGGGAATTGTGTAGGATATTACTGTCTCTAAAGTCAATTTACCATTCTTCGATGTCACTTATCAACTCCTTGCTCCTTGCACTCCTTGCTTTTCGAGTTATGGTTTTTTAAACGAGGCTCTCGTGTTAGAAACATGAATTAATAACAAGTTTAATTAGTTTTTATTATAACTTCTCAATTTTATATCTGTTATATTAAGATTAATAGGAGATTAATCGTTTCTGATAATTTTTTCTGGACTCCCGTACGGGAATATGAACGAATATATTGATTGAAAAATAGGTGTGAAAATCCCCATGTTAAACTTATGGGGAAAAACAAGGAAGTATGAATTTGTTCATCCGCGAACTACATCATGGGAAATATTTTGACCCTATAAGGAAAATATTTCGCGTCTCCTCTTTTGAAGAAGGAACAACGAATACGACAATCATAGCACGACTAGAAGCAGCAGAATCCATATCAAGATGGCTTTGGCTTTGACAAAAACTAATGCAGGGGGGAAGGGGATCCGTTGTTATCTGTATCCCCTACTCCCCCGTGAAACGGTGTGTCCTGTAGAGAAGATATACAGACAGACATATGGTGCCGTCTTTCTATCAACCAAGTCACCTGGTTTCATATTGCGCTTCAATTGGAGTTTCAATATGTTTAATTATTTCCTCAAAGGTCTTGTTTAAAATGACAAGCAATTTCACACCGGAATAGCCTGACAACGGTAAAGTCAGATACCGTCGTCACAAATGGCGGACATAACCGTCCCTTCAACTCTTTAATCTTTCTTGGGATTTTATCGTCACTAATTCTGTGCATGTATTAAGCTCGTGTGATGATGTATTATATGAAATCCCAATTTCTATCAAATGGGGCAGTGAATTGCCACAGTATAGCGTCTTCAATTACCCCTGTTACACAGGCCAGTTGAAAAGCTTCGTTACGAAGCAATTTGACAAAAAGCTTCGTAACGAAGCAATTTTGGGCCAGTGTAACACCTCCGCCTGTTTTTAAGTACGTATTATTATAATGCTACGTTTTGATTAAAATAATTACCTATTTGCGTCACTGATTGACGCTAACTCAAGCCCTAAACGCCACGTACAAATGTGATTTACCGTCTTTCGTAGCATTTCATTCGATTCCCTGCCTTTCCTCGCATTGATATGACAAAAAGTATTAAACTAAAAACGCAGGTGAACCCGGCCGGTGAATCACATCAGGGAATATAGCCGATTTGATTGATTCGAAAATGTCTCTCTTCAGAAATCGTATTCAACTGGCTATCGCCCCATTGCAATACATGTACTTGTACTAGTCGTTCCATTATTTTATTCTTCGACGATTTTAAATTGTAATAGAATTTAAACTTCATGTTGAAATATATTGAATTAATTACGTTTCAAAACTTCCGTATACAAATACGGTAAAACCTGCGGACAAGGAACGGTGGCCAAAATTGTTTCTTGTCGACAGATATTTGCCACAGAGAGGCTGCATGTTTTAGGCCAGCCCCAAACACTATTGATGTGTCGTAAGACGATGCTTACAACTGATATTCAAGTGTATTTGCGCCATTTTTGAATTCAACGAACAACTGATGGATTAACATACTAATTTATATCAAACTCACTCAAATATGCATGGAGTATTGGCGAGACGGGTAATATTCATATTAAAATAATGTACCATCAGAAAGGGATTTTTGTTATGCTTTGAATGGAACAAGTTTGAAGAAAAACGGTGCAGTATGAGACTCGCAATCCTTGATTTTCAAGCATCTGGTAGGTCGAAAATTCAAATTAACGATCGAAGTTAGGACCGCGTGAGTTAAACCACCAGCCGATCACCGAGATATTTTAGTAATGGCTACACTATTTGAAATATAACTGAGAAGTCCATTTGGAAATTGAACGTTTTTATACGATATTACATACTAGTCGTCTGTATAAACCCCAAATCCAATTCCTCCTAGTAATTAACATAGGCCTATTTTTATGCCATATGTTTTCCAAAGGAAATGATAGAAAATGAAAACAATACTTGTAATCGTATTGACAGCTGAAATATATAAAAATCGAAATGATAGGAAAAATGTATGGACATGTGTACGGAATGATCACATTCATCTTGTTTTATTTTCCCGAGAATTTTGAACTAGTCGTTTTCTGTGCTGACTTGTTAAAGTGTCTCACATATTCGATCAAAATTTGCCATGCAAACATGTTAGTCTACTTTACTGGCCCCCCTTGCTGTAACAAGGAACCCAAAACACATTAAAACGTAAACATAAACCAATTAGTCACTTCACTATGAAAGTGAGGGGTGTTAGTCCATGCACACAGCGTATTCTGCTAATACTTATTTGCTAACACAATATCAGTGGTCATTTACTGTGTCAACTTAGTAACCCTTGCAGATCGTGCTCACTCAAGTATTGAATAATTTTTTTATGATCTAAATGTTTGTGGTTTATAAAAAAATGTGATATATTTTAGTTAGAAATACATTAATTAATATATTCATTCAAACAGCACTAGAATGCGGGAAGAAAGAGCAATGGTGACAAAATGCAGACAGAACATTTCTGAACACAACCATACATGTACTTCATGTGTACTGTTATTTTTAGTGCTGTATTTATAGATATAATTTCACGTATTAAAATCATATTTTCCAGCAATGACTTCAAATTCGGAACCACACCCATATCACATTTTCTTCAATAACTCCAAATATGTGTAAACATTGACCATGGGCATATAAATTCAGATTTCACGAGCTCTTTCCTATTCGAGTACCTCATACACCCCTGCATGGATTTGAGTTGGATTCGTCTTTTATACGTGAGCCGACACACTCGCAAACGCTGATTGGATAAAGATTGCGAGAATCTTTAAAATAAAGATTAAAAATTAGATTTTTGAGTTTGATCAATGGTTTATATCAAAAGAATAAAAATATTAATCATAATAAGTGGATGGGGCAGATGAGTAATGCGCACGCGCAACGAAGCATTTTAAGTGCAGTGTAACACCAAATAATT